ATTTTTTATATGAGTTAGAGTGTTAGAGTATTTCTTATACTGACGCTTTTCAGGTTCTGTGCCATTCAAGAATAAAGTTTTATGAAGTTTATCTCGAATTTTCACAGATCGTAAAATCCCTGGTGTAAGCCAGGGTTTTTGCTTCAAGCGACTTTCTTTCCTACTTAATTTTTTTAGAGGGGGATTGCTTGTCAATCAATGTCCTAATTTTGTTAATAAATTCATCAAAATGGAGTTAAAGTTATCTGCACTAATCTCATGACCAGAAGTTTCAGTACTGAAAACTATCTGAGCTTCATATAAAAACTGTTCATGATTAAACTGATTCATGTCGCGCTTCATTTCTGGAGCACATTTCGGGGGTGAGTGTTCGATCTCAATCCCACAAAAAATAGGATAGTGGTCTGTCAGGCTATCGATTGGTAGGAAAATATCGGAATCGCGATTTTAGATGGGACATAGCCATTTTAGTATGTGGTATGAACCAATGAACATATATACAATGAGTGGAAACTTGCAAACTTTTGCTCATTGTGGCATTGTCCCCTGCATTTTTACGTCGTCCAGCTAAATGGTTCGCTGCATATTAAGAAAACGCATTGCTCGCTGCCAAAATCCCTTGCTTCAGTCGAGTCGGGTGCGAAATTGGCCGTATTAACTTGACTTGAGGTCTTTAATTCTTCAATACATATTTGATTTTTGGGTTTCGAAGTATGGTACGCTGAAAGCATACAACTATGAGCATATGCTTATTGGGAATGCATATCTATTAGACAGAAAACGTATCTACAGAACAGAATATGAACCAGTCGCCGAGAGGAGTGCGGTTATTTATGTATTTATTAATTGATATAACATGGGATTTACATATTTATCCAAGGGGAGAGGAAAGTCGAAAAGAAGGCCTAAATATATGGCGAACCACGGCCTCTCTCAATCATGGCTCTTTTTCCCATATGAATCACATGGCTCTGCGAGCTATTCGTTTACTTATTAAAAATACTGATTTTAACTATAAATTACTCTGGGATATCTTGCCATTGGAAACAAAAACCAGAAATTGGAAGAAAAGCAGGGAATGAAATGTGTGTATTATGTAATGGAGAACCTGAGTTTTGATATTTATGAAGATTTTGTTTCAGATATATTAAAATTGATCAGAATACATTTTGTTATCAATATGATTCTTGCATATTATTTGATTTTAACGATCCTTTATATAGTCGTATAGATACTGTTGATTCGGATGCAATTATACTTTTGTAATCAATAGTGAGAAATATTTCATGACTGCTATTAACTATGTGAGCTATTTTTTCTGCAATGCAAAATATTTCCTTCGTCTGCTATTTACTATGTGAATTAATTTTTCTGTAATGTAAAGTATTTCCATAACTGCTTTTACTATGTGGGCTGTTTTTTCGGTACTCGTAGTATGTGTACCAGGTTAGGTTACGATTCTCCTTATTTTTGTTATATTAAAAGTTCGGGAATTGTCTGTGTTACACAAGTGAATATCCCCCTACCGATTAGAATTTAGTCCATTTACACAACTTGATATAAAGTAGGCGAACAAAATTAGTTACCTTCATATTGGTACACATACTTCTGGAGCACCATTTTTTTTGTAATGTAAAATATTTAATATGTGAACTAATTTTTCTGTAATGCAAAATATTTTCCACAGCTTCTGTATTTTTTATATGTCACTTTTCATTTCATCGATAATACACATTGTTCATTCTTTGTGGAGTTTTTGGTAACTTTACAGATGGAATAAGACCGACATTCAGCTTTTTCTGTTTCACAACTGTAATACAAAAAGGTACTCTTGAAGTATGTAAACCCAGTTGGTAGACACCGGAACCATGTGTACCAGGTTAGGTTCTACTACATACAAACATTCCCAAACTTTTCAAGCCGCACCGCACCCCCTTTTTAGAATTGTGAAGTCTTGCGCCCCACCTCAAAAATAATTAGCTAACAATAATAAGCTACAAATAACAGTAGTAAGGCGTAAGTATGTTTTATTGGAGAACATGTGGAAAAAAATAAATGACAAGTTTTGATATGCATAAAATTAGCCAAGTCCAGAAGTCAGTATTTTAAACTAATAGAGAGAGATAGTTTATTTCGTTCGTCAAACCATGAACATATATAAATTATAATAAAAATAAAAAACAGATGCTCAGGTGTTTGACTGGGAGACAACGTTACAACATTTCGGGTCATTTAACAGGTTCGGTGTTAAATTCTTCAATACCTCTCATATACCTTATTCACTATATACATTATTCACAAAAATTTTTGATTTGGAAAGTACTAAATAATCATGTTTTGTCCTAAGATCATCATTTATTCAGCTGATAAGTTGACATGTATTGCATATCAACTGCATAAAAATGGGTTAGCGAGGATACCTATTATTTGGAAAATTTGTCTACTAAAAATGAATGTAATAGGACATGGATTTTTTATAAGCAAAGATGGGGAAAATTCTATTATTATAGCACTTTAATTATAAACATTTGATAATAGTAATGCAATCATGAGTAGATTTCTTTATACACTATAATTTGAACACATCAAATTATAATACTTGATTATGACTGGCAAGTGATTTGGAGGATAGTAACACACAATAATACATGATCAGGATTTGACCCTTCTCCATCAGATATATATATGAAATAAAGTGCTTATGTACATATCTATATTCGGCTACAGAGCACGTAACATAGAATGAATTTTAAGGCGAAATATTGATAATATACTGAAATAGCAATGATACCCAATAGGTTATTTTTAAATAAGTATTACCGGTACTAAAAAATAAATAAAGTGCTCATATACATATAGATATTTGGATACAGAGAAAGTATCATAGAATGAAATATAAGGCAAAAAACTGATAACATACTAGAATAGCAATTATAATAAACATTATGATACTTTTAAATGAAGTATTACTAAAAAATAAATAATGTGGTCATGTACATAGATATTTGGATACAGAGAAAGTGTCATAGAATGGAATTTAGGGCGAAATATGGATGCAAGTATGATAAACAATTTGATATTTTTATAAAAAGTGTTACTAAAAATTAAAATAATAGATTATGGAGTTCCAGCAAGTGTGCTCATAACAAATAAAAAGATAGCAATTCATTTACCACAGTGAATTAAATTCATTACACATTACTACTTGCTATAACACAGCAGGCACATGATACTCATCGTGTTTTGAACATTTTTAAAGGTTTTGCTCGCTCTCCAGAACTCTCCATTTTTTATTTGTTTGTATTGTCAGATTGTGGACTTTTCAAAATAAACTATCTCTATCTATATCAATGAATACAATATCCCAGGTCCCCACTTGGCTGGTTCATATTCTGTTCTGTAGATAAGTTTTCTGCCTAATAGATGGTATGTATTCCCAATAAGCATTACAGTATGCTAATTCGTTCACTCAATGAGTGATTTTAATTACGGTAAATATAAAATAATATATATAATATAAATAAGTTCATATTCCAGTTTGCCTCCATGATCCAGTATTTATTTTGTTCAATTCCAGTAGTAATTCATACCATAATTAGGTTATTTTAATGAATGCATTGATATAAAACAATAAAAATAAAATTAGTTAATTTAAAATACATATCATAAACATATAATTTTCTTTTTAACTAAATTTTTCATAAATTTTTCAATTCCCTCTCAAATGGGTTGTTTTTCTATAATTCTCTATATTTTTCTACATATTATGGCCATTTTTATCTGCTTTTTGAGAAAGGCAAAATGTGGTGTTTTATTTTCGAATATAATAGAATTTCTCATGGTCAAAATTTTATATCTCACTATTGATTACAAAAGTATAATTGCATCCAAATCAACAGTATCTATATGACTATGTAAAGGATCGTTAAAATTAAATAATATGCAAGAATCATATTGATAACAAAATGTATTCTAATCAATTTCAATATATCTAAAACAAAATCTTCATAAATATTTTTTGTAAATTTACAATACATGAAAATATGTGAAACAAACTCAGGTTCTCCATTACATAATACACACATTTCATTCCCTGCTTTTTTTCCAATTTCTGGCTTTTGTTTTCAATGGCAAGATATCCCAGGGTAATTTATAGTTAAAATCAGTATTTTTAATAAGTAAACGAATAGCTCGCAGAGCCATGTGATTCATATGGAGCACAGAGCTATGATTGAGAAAGGCCGTGGTTTGCCATATATTTAGGCCTTCTTCTCCCCTTGGATAAATATGTAAATCCCATGTTATATCAATTAATAAATACATAAATAACCGCACTCCTCTCGGCGACTGGTTCATATTCTGTTCTGTAGATACGTTTTCTGTCTAATAGATATGCATTCCCAATAAGCATATGCCCATAGTTGTATGCTTTCAGCGTACCATACTTCGAAACCCAAAATCAAATATGTATTGAAGAATTAAAGACCTCAAGTCAAGTTAATACGGCCAATTTCGCACCCGACTCGGCTGAAGCAAGGGATTTTGGCAGCGAGCAATGCGTTTTCTTAATATGCAGCGAACCATTTAGCTGGACGACGTAAAAAATGCAGGGAACAATGCCACAATGAGCAAATCTTTGCAAGTTTCCACTCATTGTATATATGCTCATTGATTAATCTTTTCATCTTATCTCATCAAATTGTGGAAGATAAAGATGAATTCCTCTAGTTTAGAATTGCATTTAGAGTGTTAAAACATTTGCATCATGTCTTCATTGTATAATTTGCAACTTAAATATAGCACAACATAATTACGATTTACGATAACAATGAAACTGAGAAAGCCACGGCATAACGCCTAAAATTGCATAAAAAATGACTCCTGTAGTTTTCTTATTTATTCTAGAATATAGTAGTTGTACTAAATAGTATACTGCAGTGTTATAATTCCCATTAAATGAATTTCTGTTCAGGGTTATAACTCAATATTGAAAAATCTCGTCAGTTCAAACTTTCCATCAACTCCGGATGTTCAACAATTTTAGAAGGATAAAGTTGTACAATGATTCCTTTCTCAATGAGCTTGTTCCACATTGAACTAATTTGATGAATAGTTGGATTTAGGGTTGGAAATGCCGACCAGACAACCCATTCACTGAAAAGATATTGAGATTCGATATAAATCGCTCCAGAAATCTACAGATATGCAATTGGGTTGATGTCACTTTTTGGAAAATTTGTTGTCTTATGTTGCTTTTCTCCTATTCCCACCTTACATGCAATGTGTAACTACTTCACTAGTGAGTAGACATTCCTTGTGAATGAACATCCTTGACTGGTTTTAAGTGATCAATTTTCATTACTCACTGAATATATTATTTACTCTTGAGTGAGTCTAATTCCTTTTATTGTATGTTCTATCAATGCTGCTGAGAATAAATTGTCATTGAAACTAAATGAGAAGTGGCCTAAAATACCTGAAAGACTGCAGAATGCATGGACTAAATAATTCTTTTTGTCGTATAGAACCAGAATATCACCATTGAACAAGGCATCATCTGAATATTAAAATGTTTTAACTATTTTTAAATGTATTCACCGTAACCATTTTAATCTGTAAATTCAATTATACATTACCTATTTTTTTAGCATTATTATTTGTTCCTCCGTCTTGTGTTAGAGTGTGTGAAGCCAAAACAGCTGGTTCTGTATCAAAATATTGAATTTCTTATTTATTATATTTCATTTTAACTATATAGTCATATCCAAAAATAATACTTTCGCTCTTCATCCCATAATAAACGCCGTCAATTCGTTTGGTCCGATCAATTGTAAACGTTTGGGGAGGAGAACTGAAATAAAGTAAAATGTTTTTTTTTACATACAATGTTTTTAAAATTACATATCTTCTGTTTTTGAATGTATCTCTGATTTGGAGACTGAGTAGTTTGATCTGTCCATTCAAATGTAACAGAATTCGCTTATATACTTTAGTTTGAATATTGCAGTGTTTTAGTCATTTTTTCAGTTTTTTTTTTCAACTTTATTTGAAATAAATTATAAACTTACTTCTCATGTAAATTAGTAACCACCATTTGCATTCCTTCATTTGTATTGGAGAAGTTCTGTAGTTTTGCACCTATAACATCTTCATTCATGACCTCATCGTTGGTGTGTAGCACCAGATACCAGTCATTCTTAACCTGCCACACAACATATGGTTTGTAATTTCTACTGATAATTCATTATGCAAGGAGAGTTTTACTAAATCTCAACTGTTAACACCTGTGACACATTTGAAAAGTTGAGTGAAGTGAAGAGGTTGAAATCTCCAGATGTATTATTGTGAGATAATGTATCTGAAGTCCTAATGCTGTCTTAATCAAACTTTTGGAGAAAAGTGTAAGCGGAAAACGACACATCTTTTATATATATATTAAAAACCGACTGGAAGTAAAGGTTTTACAATTTAATTATATACATACCTTATCCCAGTCAATGTCCTCATTGTTCTCTGGAATTTTACATTCTTTTGCCAGATTAATCTCAATGCTTATACCAAGCATCAAAAGTGAAATACACAATATGTTTTTCAAGGTCAGCATTTTATTTTAAAGTAGCAAATCTTAAGTTTGAAAAAACACAAAATTAAGTCTTTTATAACCCGGGAAACTTTCTAGAGTTTAGTGAGTTATCCAAACTTACAGAAATCTGTGACATTTCAGAATTATATAATGATAGTTGCAGCGAAAAGTCTATAGATACTGAAGCAATAATATTTCAATCGGAAGAGCGCAATTGACATCCTCACCTATCCAAGTCATAGTACAGACTGTTCGTTACAGGCTTTGCATTCTGTACATATATTTGTGCGCTTGATGATGTTATATATTCTAAACAAGGCTGTGGGAAATGCGTAATTTTTTTTGTTTATACTGTCTGGGAATGTAGAACATGCATCGTTTCATGGAAGAGGAGGCAAAAAGGGATCAATAGATTCACATTTTCAAGAACATGTTCTCCATCCAATCTTTTTTTCTGTACAAATATGTAAATTCTATCATATCCTAATTTTTGATGTTTCATCATTGGAGTGCTATTTACACACACCTATACAGTAACAAATATAGGCTGTAATGGACATATACACTCTAATGCAGTGGTCGGCAACCACCTGGCCGCGGCCCATCGCCGGTCCGCGGAAAGGTCACTGCCGGTCCGCAGAGAGGTGACACAAAAATGAACAAGGCCGTAATATAACCTCTACAATGTAACAATAAACCCTACGACTAAAAACAGCACCCAACAATAAACCAGACAAACACCAGGGGTCGGCAAACTGCGGGCCAAATGCGACCCCCGTACTAATTTGTTGCGGCCCTCGAACGACCCGACATTTAATACATAAAACAAAAATTGATCCCAAATTTATTATGGTCTCTACACGGATTTATGTGGTGACAAGTGCTGCTGTACGGCGCTTGGTATGTTACAAGTAGCGTCAGTTGTATGTCGTTCGAGTTAATTTTAATTTTTAAAATTTGAAAATGAGGCTCGAGCATTTCAAAGTGCTTGAACGGTTAAATATTTTTCTTTCTTGCGCATTCCAAAACCGGTTTGCTCTATATGCCCAGTCAGCATCGCAGTTGTTAAGGGTTTCAATGTTAAACTCGTTACGAAACGAGTCGTCGAAAACCCGGGACTAGGTAATCTGTGCGACAGTGCAAAACGTGTAATTTGCACGTTCGGAAGAACATATGGCCTTGAGCAGCTTTATCTGAAATGCATTCCACTTAGATTAAATATCGTACTCGCTTGTCAGATCATCATTTGGACGACAAGTTGTTATAAAAACATCATCTTTTACATTGATATTAAGTAAATAAAAACAATGTATTGTTGGATAATATATTGAAAAAAACGACACATACACATCTCATTGGGACAGGCTTTCAACAGAGCAAGGGCAGTAATGCGAATGCGTCAGAATTTGAAGTTTAATTAATGTAATATTGCGGCCCGCGCGCTACCGGTAATGTATATATTTGGTCCGCAAATACATGAAGTTTGCTGATCACTGCACAACACTATTGAGCAGTATGTCTGACTTTATAAACAAATGCCATGTCAGTATGTCGCAATATTGCTGGGTAAATTGTTTTCTCTACGCCCATATAAGAATGTCTCTCATCAGTCCGAATAAGATCTCCCCAACAAAATGATACAGGCATTGTTAACTTTCTCGAAATCTTACCAATGTGAGGCCTGGTTTTCAATATTGATTACTACAAAAACGAAATATCGAAGTGTAAGAAACCACCCGTTTCGTGTGTCAATGTCGACCATATCTCGAATATGGAAACAGTTGATAGTCATCAAACAAATACAGATATCGGATTAAATAGCATCACCGTCGTTTTTAGTATATTGTCAACAATCAACATAAATTTCCTGATGCGTATAACTTATTGCATAGGCTTTTGGTCAGACTTTACCGGTCCGTCACTTGAAAAAAAGTTGCCGACCACTGCTCTAATGTACTGTGATATCCACCCCCCAAAACACCAAACCACTTTATTTTTATTTAAATTTATTAACAATGAACTGATTTTTTTTTTATCTTATCATCAAATTTTGAAGGATAAGGATGAATTCCTCTAGTTCAAAATTCCAAACAAGAGCGTTGAAACATTTGTATCATGTCTTCATTGTATAATTTTCAACTTAATTCCAAATCGCTAGTCACATATGTGAAATTGTTGACGCGACTCGGACAGGAAATCAATGATTATCAATCCTTCATAATCACTTATTATTGGTTTAGCATGTATTTTCAGTCATACATATCATCCCTGGCACTGTGATGTTTTGATAAATATGATTTCGACTGCACCATACTTGGCAGAGGTATCGAGATTTTTTAAACCTGAAAAAAACGTAAAATTAATGGTAATTTCACGCGTAGCGGCGCGCATTAGAATGTTTACATCTTTCTACGCGCATTTTCGTTGAAAAATTTAACATTTTTTGCATTGAGGAGGGCGTGTGGACTAATAATTAGAGGTGTGACGTCATCAAAATTGCCAATTGAAGCCTTGAAATTGAAAATTCTGTAAATACAATCGTGGATTTTAGAGTAACCATTCTGCTATAATAGTGATTCTGGTGTTGTTCTGTTGGAAAATAACTCAAGAAAACGTTGAAATAAACATTAATCAATTAGGAATAATTATTAACCCACTACTAGACACAAAATCTCGCAAGTTCAATAGAAATTTCGGAATTTTGGCGTAAAAATGTTTTTTTTTTTAGATGAGTGCGTTTTACATATATTGCCTAATAGAGCTCTATCACACGCTAATATAAAGCCACGAGTGAAGCTTTAGGGCCTAATGGTTGACAAACAAATAATCAAAGTAAAATGGCATCAGAACGACCGGCTGGGGAGGGTTTTAAAATGCGCTGTTCGAAAAAAATGGTGCTCCAGAAGTATGTGTACCAATATGAAGGTAACTAATTTTGTTCGCCTACTTTATATCAAGTTGTGTAAATGGACTAAATTCTATCGGTAGGGGGATATTCACTTGTGTAACACAGACAATTCCCGAACTTTTAATATAACAAAAATAAGGAGAATCGTAACCTAACCTGGTACACATACTACGAGTACCGAAAAAACAGCCCACATAGTAAAAGCAGTTATGGAAATACTTTACATTACAGAAAAATTAATTCACATAGTAAATAGCAGACGAAGGAAATATTTTGCATTGCAGAAAAATAGCTCACATAGTTAATAGCAGTCATGAAATATTTCTCACTATTGATTACAAAAGTATAATTGCATCCAAATCAACAGTATCTATATGACTATATAAAAGATCGTTAAAATTAAATAATATGCAAGAATCATATTGATAACAAAATGTATTCTAATCAATTTTAATATCTAAAACAAAATCTTCATAAATATTTTTTGTAAATTCACAATACATGAAAATATGTGAACCAAATTCAGGTTCTCCATTACATAATACACACATTTCATTCCCTGCTATTTTTCCAATTTCTGGCTTTTGTTTTCAATGGCAAGATATCCCAGAGTAATTTATAGTTAAAATCAGTATTTTTAATAAGTAAACGAATAGCTCGCAGAGCCATGTGATTCATATGGAGCACAGAGCTATGATTGAGAAAGGCCGTGGTTTGCCATATATTTAGGCCTTCTTCTCCCCTTGTATAAATATGTAAATCCCATGTTATATCAATTAATAAATACATAAATAACCGCACTCCTCTCGGCGACTGGTTCATATTCTGTTCTGTAGATACGTTTTCTGTCTAATAGATATGCATTCCCAATAAGCATATGCTCATAGTTGTATGCTTTCAGCGTACCATACTTCGAAACCCAAAATCAAATATGTATTGAAGAATTAAAGACCTCAAGTCAAGTTAATACGGCCAATTTCGCACCCGACTCGGCTGAAGCAAGGGATTTTGGCAGCGAGCGATGCGTTTTCTTAATATGCATCGAACCATTTAGCTGGACGACGTAAAAAATGCAGGGAACAATGCCACAATGAGCAAATCTTTGCAAGTTTCCACTCATTGTATATATGCTCATTGTTCTGCCAAATGAAGAATTTCCATTCAAAAAACAAAAAAGGCGTAACTTGACTTTCTCATTACGACTGTATTTATTTGCGACCTAATTTGGCCGAATATTTACTGTTTTAATAAATTGTTTAAATCTTGAAAACCTGTCGTGGTTTCATGCTTCCTTTGGGTGGTTATAGTACGTTTCCAGGCTTGCAAGAAGGTTGATCTTCCTATCGATTTGGGTGGGGTTGTTAGGGTGGAAATGTTAAACACCTACCCAAAGGGTGGAAGAAGTAGAAAACCTTGTGAACCAAATATTTCGGTGGGAATTCCCACTTTTTTCATTTAGAGTGTACGGTAGTTTTCGATCAAATTTATTAATCATGAATTAATCTTTTTATCTTATCTCATCAAATTGTGGAAGATAAAGATGAATTCCTCTAGTTTAGAATGGCATTTAGAGTGTTAAAACATTTGCATCATGTCTTCATTGTATAATTTGCAACTTAAATATAGCACAACATAATTACGATTTACGATAACAATGAAACTGAGAAAGCCACGGCATAACGCCTAAAATTGCATAAAAAATGACTCCTGTAGTTTTCTTATTTATTCTAGAATATAGTAGTTGTACTAAATAGTATACTGCAGTGTTATAATTCCCATTAAATGAATTTCTGTTCAGGGTTATAACTCAATATTGAAAAATCTCGTCAGTTCAAACTTTCCATCAACTCCGGATGTTCAACAGTTTTAGAAGGATAAAGTTGTACAATGATTCCTTTCTCAATGAGCTTGTTCCACATTGAACTAATTTGATGAATAGTTGGATTTAGGGTTGGAAATGCCGACCAGACAACCCATTCACCTGAAAAGATATTGAGATTCGATATAAATCGCTCCAGAAATCTACAGATATGCAATTGGTTGATGTCACTTTTTTGAAAAATTTGTTGTCTTATGTTGCTTTTCTCCTATTCCCCACCTTACATGCAATGTGTAACTACCTTCACTAGTGAGTAGACATTCCTTGTGAATGAACATCCTTGACTGGTTTTAAGTGATCAATTTTCATTACTCACTGAATATATTATTTACTCTTGAGTGAGTCTAATTCCTTTTATTGTGTGTTCTATCAATGCTGCTGAGAATAAATTGTCATTGAAACTAAATGAGAAGTGGCCTAAAATACCTGAAAGACTGCAGAATGCATGGACTAAATAATTCTTTTTGTCGTATAGAACCAGAATATCACCATCGAACAAGGCATCATCTGAATATTAAAATGTTTTAACTATTGTTAAAGGTATTCACCGTAACCATTTTAATCTGTAAATTCAATTATACATTACCTATTTTTTTAGCATTATTATTTGTTCCTCCGTCTTGTGTTAGAGTGTGTGAAGCCAAAACAGCTGGTTCTGTATCAAAATATTGAATTTCTTATTTATTATATTTCATTTTAACTATATAGTTATATCCAAAAATAATACTTTCGCTCTTTATCCCATAATAAACGCCGTCTATTCGTTTGGTCCAATCAATTGTAAAGGTTTGGGGAGGAGAACTGAAATAAAGTAAAATGTTTTTTTTTACATACAATGTTTTTAAAATTACATATCTTCTGTTTTTGAATGTATCTCTGATTTGGAGACTGAGTAGTTTGATCTGTCCATTCAAATGTAACAGAATTCGCTTATATACTTTAGTTTTAATATTGCAGTGTTTTAGTCATTTTTTCAGTTTTTTTTTCAACTTTATTTGAAATAAATTATAAACTTACTTCTCATGTAAATTAGTAACCACCATTTGCATTCCTTCATTTGTATTGGAGAAGTTCTGTAGTTTTGCACCTATAACATCTTCATTCATGACCTCATCGTTGGTGTGTAGCACCAGATACCAGTCATTCTTAACCTGCACACAACAATATGGTTTGTAATTTCTACTGAATAATTTCATTATGCAAGGAGAGTTTTACTAAATCTCAACTGTTAACACCTGTGACACATTTGAAAAGTTGAGTGAAGTGAAGAGGTTGAAATCTCCAGATGTATTATTGTGAGATAATGTATCTGAAGTCCTAATGCTGTCTTAATCAAACTTTTGGAGAAAAGTGTAAGCGGAAAACGACACATCTTTTATATATATATTAAAAACTGACTGGAAGTAAAGGTTTTACAATTTAATTATATACATACCTTATCCCAGTGAATGTCCTCATTGTTCTCTGGAATTTTACATTCTTTTGCCAGGTTAATCTCAATGCTTATAACAAGCATCAAAAGTGAAATACACAATATGTTTTTCAAGGTCAGCATTTTATTTTAAAGCAGCAAATCTTAAGTTTGAAAAAACACAAAATTAAGTCTTTTATAACCCGGGAAACTTTCTAGAGTTTAGTGAGTTATCCAAACTTACAGAAATCTGTGACATTTCAGAATTATATAATGATAGTTGCAGCGAAAAGTCTCTAGATACTGAAGCAATAATATTTCAATCGGAAGAGCGCAATTGACATCCTCACCTATCCAAGTCATAGTACAGACTGTTCGTTACAGGCTTTGCATTCTGTACATATATTTGTGCGCTTGATGATGTTATATATTCTAAACAAGGCTGTGGGAAATGCGTAATTTTTTTGTTCATACTGTCTGGGAATGTAGAACATGCATCGTTTCATGGAAGAGGAGGCAAAAAGGGATCAATAGATTCACATTTTCAAGAACATGTTCTCCATCCAATCTTTTTTTCTGTACAAATATGTAAATTCTATCATATCCTAATTTTTGATGTTTCATCATTGGAGTGCTATTTACACACACCTATACAGTAACAAATATAGGCTGTAATGGACATATACACTCTAATGCAGTGGTCGGCAACCACCGGGCCGCGGCCCATCGCCGGTCCGCGGAAAGGTCACTGCCGGTCCGCAGAGAGGTGACACAAAAACGAACAAGGCCGTAATATAACCTCTACAATGTAACCATAAACCCTACGACTAAAAACAGCACCCAACAATAAACCAGACAAACACCAGGGGTCGGCAAACTGCGGGCCAAATGCGACCCGCGTACTAATTTGTTGCGGCCCTCGAACGACCCGACATTTAATACATAAAACAAAAATTGATCCCAAATTTATTATGGTCTCTACACGGATTTATGTGGTGACAAGTGCTGCTGTACGGCGCTTGGTATGTTACAAGTAGCGTCAGTTGTATGTCGTTCGAGTTGATTTTAATTTTTAAAATTTGAAAATGAGGCTCGAGCATTTCAAAGTGCTTGAACGGTTAAATATTTTTCTTTCTTGCGCATTCCAAAACCGGTTTGCTCTATATGCCCAGTCAGCATCGCAGTTGTTAAGGGTTTCAATGTTAAACTCGTTACGAAACGAGTCGTCGAAAACCCGGGACTAGGTAATCTGTGCGACAGTGCAAAACGTGTAATTTGCACGTTCGGAAGAACATATGGCCTTGAGCAGCTTTATCTGAAATGCATTCCACTTAGATTAAATATCGTACTCGCTTGTCAGATCATCATTTGGACGACAAGTTGTTATAAAAACATCATCTTTTACATTGATATGTAAATAAAAACAATGTATTGTTGGATAATATATTGAAAAAAACGACACATACACATCTCATTGGGACAGGCTTTCAACAGAGCAAGGGCAGTAATGCGAATGCGTCAGAATTTGACGTTTAATTAATGTAATATTGCGGCCCGCGCGCTACCGGTAATGTATATATTTGGTCCGCAAGTACATGAAGTTTGCTGATCACTGCACAACACTATTGAGCAGTATGTCTGACTTTATAAACAAATGCCATGTCAGTATGTCGCAATATTGCTGGGTAAATTGTTTTCTCTACGCCCATATAAGAATGTCTCTCATCAGTCCGAATAAGATCTCCCCAACAAAATGATACAGGCATTGTTAACTTTCTCGAAATCTTACTAATGTGAGGCCTGGTTTTCAATATTGATTACTACAAAAACGAAATATCGAAGTGTAAGAAACCACCCGTTTCGTGTGTCAATGTCGACCATATCTCGAATATGGATACAGTTGATGGTCATCAAACAAATACAGATATCGGATTAAATAGCATCACCGTCGTTTTTAGTATATTGTCAACAATCAACATAAATTTCCTGATGCGTATAACTTATTGCATAGGCTTTTGGTCAGACTTTACCGGTCCGTCACTTGAAAAAAAGTTGCCGACCACTGCTCTAATGTACTGTGATATCCACCCCCCAAAACACCAAACCACTTTATTTTTATTTAAATTTATTAACAATGAACTGATTTTTTTTTATCTTATCATCAAATTTTGAAGGATAAGGATGAATTCCTCTAGTTCAAAATTCCAAACAAGAGCGTTGAAACATTTGTATCATGTCTTCATTGTATAATTTTCAACTTAATTCCAAATCGCTAGTCACATGTGTGAAATTGTTGACGCGACTCGGACAGGAAATCAATGATCACTTATTATTGGTTTAGCATGTATTTTCAGTCATACATATCATCCCTGGCACTGTGATGTTTTGATAAATATGATTTCGACTGCACATACTTACATACATACGTAAAATTAATGGTAATTTCACGCGTAGCGGCGCGCATTAGAATGTTTACATCTTTCTACGCGCATTTTCGTTGAAAAAATTAACATTTTTTGCATTGAGCGGCTGGGGAGGGTTTTAAAATGCGCTGTTCGAAAAAAATGGTGCTCCAGAAGTATGTGTACCAATATGAAGGTAACTAATTTTGTTCGCCTACTTTATATCAAGTTGTGTAAATGGACTAAATTCTATCGGTAGGGGGATATTCACTTGTGTAACACAGACAATTCCCGAACTTTTAATATAACAAAAATAAGGAGAATCGTAACCTAACCTGGTACACATACTACGAGTACCGAAAAAACAGCCCACATAGTAAAAGCAGTTATGGAAATACTTTACATTACAGAAAAATTAATTCACATAGTAAATAGCAGACGAAGGAAATATTTGCATTGCAGAAAAATGGCTCACATAGTTAATAGCAGTCATGAAATATTTCTCACTATTGATTACAAAAGTATAATTGCATCCAAATCAACAGTATCTATATGACTATATAAAGGATCGTTAAAATTAAATCATATGCAAGAATCATATTGATAACAAAATGTATTCTAATCAATTTTAATATCTAAAACAAAATCTTCATAAATATTTTTTGTAAATTCACAATACATGAAAATATGTGAAACAAACTCAGGTTCTCCATTACATAATACACACATTTCATTCCCTGCTATTTTTCCAATTTCTGGCTTTTGTTTTCAATGGCAAGATATCCCAGAGTAATTTATAGTTAAAATCAGTATTTTTAATAAGTAAACGAATAGCTCGCAGAGCCATGTGATTCATATGGAGCACAGAGCTATGATTGAGAAAGGCCGTGGTTTGCCATATATTTAGGCCTTCTTCTCCCCTTGGATAAATATGTAAATCCCATGTTATATCAATTAATAAATACATAAATAACCGCACTCCTCTCGGCGACTGGTTCATATTCTGTTCTGTAGATACGTTTTCTGTCTAATAGATATGCATTCCCAATAAGCATATGCTCATAGTTGTATGCTTTCAGCGTACCATACTTCGAAACCCAAAATCAAATATGTATTGAAGAATTAAAGACCTCAAGTCAAGTTAATACGGCCAATTTCGCACCCGACTCGGCTGAAGCAAGGGATTTTGGCAGCGAGCGATGCGTTTTCTTAATATGCATCGAACCATTTAGCTGGACGACGTAAAAAATGCAGGGAACAATGCCACAATGAGCAAATCTTTGCAAGTTTCCACTCATTGTATATATGCTCATTGTATGAACATAGCGGGCATAGCCATTTCAGTAGGGACATAGCGGACATAGCCATTATAGTAGGGACATAGCCATTTTAGTAGGGACATAGTGGACATCGCCATTTTAGTAGGGACATATCGGACATAGCCATTTTGGAAGGGATATAGCCATTCTAGTAGGGACATAGCGAACATAGTCATTTTAGTAGGAAATATCGGAGTCGCAATTCTAGATGGGACATAGCCGTTTTAGTAGGGACATATGGGACATACCGGTACCGGTAGCCATTTTGTAACTACCCGCTGTATCGTATCAGCTCAGTTAATCATGGACGGTTGTTTTAAATTTCACTCATTCTGCCAGGCCAGTGGAAGCATTTATTTTGTTGTGAATGGGTTGTCGATTTTGGGGAATGTTGTAATTGAGATAATAATAATCATAATAAAATATTTTTCAATAATATTCGAAGTGAAGGCGAAGTACCGTATTAATCATATATTGTGAAAAGTCAGTCAGGTCAGCTGGTCGGGACTAAATACCGTACCGTACCGTAACTCAGCGCGTTTTGATGTTAGAATGGATATCATCTTGATCCAAACATAAAAAATATACCGGTAGTGGATATCAGGATATAGTCTAGACTAGACCAACCACCGATAAAAGTGAAGAGGCCAAGAAGTTATTTTCATTAAATGTAATTTCTGTTATTTGTTTAAACAAAAACAAAAAAGAGTTCAAAATTTTCAATATTCTGATATTTGCATAGAGCTGTACAGTGCATACAAACTACTGAACTAAAAAGATGATAGAGTTTAACAGCTATACAGACTCAGCAGATTAGAAATTATTACTTAGATCTGTACGGTACCTATATTATGACTTTATTCGGACAGTATAGCCTAATAGAGTAGCGGATAGCCTATGACTGTATGATTATCTTAAATGTCAGAATGTTAGGTGAACTATGTCTGTATGTAGGTCAATTATGCAAAGTTCAATGGAATATGTTCTTGAAAGGACCAGCTATGGGTTAAGTTAATAATGGTGCTTACATGCGCATTAAGCTTTTCTGCACCTGGCCATGTAAAGAGAGTACAAACCAACAGGAGATTTTATATTTATAGCCCACAAGTCCTTGTAACTCCAGAACTCCTTTTCAATAGTTTTTATTGATATCCGTAGCTGTTAAACTATCATAATTCAGTAATTATGACCTTTAAGTAACATGATTCAATTCTGTATCACCTAAAAATATTTTCCTGGTGGTGGTTGCCAACTCGCAATATATTTTCATTTTTTTTAATATCTTTTACATATTCTTAATCTCTCACTATAAAATATGGATTTTATTACTTTTGTTATTTGTAAAAAGAAAAATTCCCCATTATGCTGCAAAGAAAGTCGTCCGGGCTTGTTTATAATGTTAAAGATAATTACTTACTGTATTTCAAACTCTACCAGCAATGTCCAGCATACATAAATATTACAATAACCTTGACCAACACACAGGGCATGAAGTCAAGAAAGCTATTATCAGAGAAAGTTTAGATGTGATTTAATTTTAAACATGCAACATAAAAGTATTACCAAACGAAGTATCATGAAGAATGAAAAACTCAAATCAGGTTTTAAAATTTGTGAGCATTGTAATAATACATAAATATAAGTGAAAAAATGCAATGAATTACTCTCTGATCGGGCTTGGGAACATTGTATTTCATACAATATCAACCTTTCAAGACTGTAAAATATTAATAACAACTAACAACACTTAATTTCTTGGGAAAAATTCAAATGACCACATAGGATATCAGGTATTAACAAACATTGTTATCATTATTGATTTTAAGACAAATTCAAATAAAGATTGTTGTTACTGTACACTGACAACATACCATTGTGTTGATTTGTGGGATTGGGTATCTCTGTAATAAACCTTTTGTTCTCTGGAATGTGGTTTTCTCATTGACAGATTGAAATTTTGTCATGTCTCTTGTTGAAAAATATTTAAATTACTTAATTTGTATTATGAATAAGTAGACTGGTCTTGTTTTATGGCTTGCTATAGCTTTGCCATTGTATATGTATAGAATGTTTTTTACATCTGGATTGGTAGAAATGTTTATTTTGTTCAGTGAGTTTTGCTATGCTATCTACTGTGTTGTATTATACCAAGCTAATTTCATTCAAACAGTTGGGCTCCACCTCATTGAGCATTGAAATACAATGGCTATTGTGCCTCTGATTACCCTACATTGGTTCACAGGTTAATTCATGTAGAGGACAATTACCGGTATGTGTGAAGCGGTTGTTGGACTCCTTGCCATTATAGGGTGGTTCATATATCTGTTGGTTGGTTATACCATCCTCCACCATACATCTGAAACAAATACCTGATTAATTATTTCCATAATCGACATGGACAGAAAAAGCCCATGATTAAGCCATCTTAACAGCTTTCCTCTCCTCGGAATATAAATTTAAAAGGCCTATGCTCTACTGCATAGCAGTCATATTGTGACTCTTGCTTAAAAAAAGTTACTTTTTCTTAAAAATACTGATTTTTGAATATGTTCTAGTACCGATAATTAATCCCTAATATTGATGTTCCCGATTGACTCTTGCAATGGTTGATATACATAGTATAATATTTCTTCTATACAGGTGCTATATAGCAGTATACGTAATTAATCACACAATGAGAATATTTCAATAAAAATCTATAGATCCAGATTCGAATTGTTGTTGTTGGAATGCTGTATACTCTTCTAGTTGGAATAGGATATAAATTTTGATAAAATGATGAGATATTGAAGTTGGAAAATGGGGGACAAATCTAATCGTTCTACTGATCTACCTGCTCAACTGAGAAGAAAGAAAAGTTTTCAAGGGCGTCAGTACAAAAGACGAACCAAACCACTCTCAGAACAATACAGTTCACAGTTATCGAAAGTTCTTGGTTTGACTGTGCGACAGAATTGTGCATTTGCTTGTAATGAAGCAACAGGCAATGTAGCTTATCCAGCTGGAAGTGTAATTGTTATTGCTCGAATTCGATCAAATAAACAGTTTTACATTTTTAATCCTGGTCATAAAAGCCTAACTTGTATCAAGTTTTCATTGGATGGACAATATGTTGTGACCGGTGAGCTCGGCCATCTCCCATGCGTCAGAGTATTTTCAGTATCTGAAAAAAGTCAGATTGCCTCATTTCAATCTCATAAGTTTGGCATTTCTTGCGTTTCTTTTTCACCCAATTCTGAATACATTGTTTCTATTGGATATCAGCATGATAATGTCATCAATGTTTGGAACTGGAAAAAAAATGTTCTCGCCGCTTCAAATAAAGTTTCGGTTAAAGTTAGATCGCTTGCTTTTGCAGAAGATAGTAGCTATTTTGTGACCGCTGGAAATCGCCATGTAAAATTTTGGTATATAGAGCAAACGAACACTCCAGAGACTGAAACAGTGCCACTAAAAGGACGTTCTGGGATTTTAGGAACGGTTCGAAATCACTTATTTTGCGATGTTGCCTGTGGAGTCGGTTGTGATAGTCTTTATACATATTCACTCACTCGTACTGGGATGTTATGTCAGTTCAATGAAAAACGTACATTGGAGAATTCAATTCAACTACAAGCCAGTGCAGCGTTTTGCATGTCAGTTGTCAATGGTACCATTGTGTGTGGATGTAATGATGGTATTATTTTATTACATTCATCAGCTGATCTCCAGTTTTTAAATTCATTTAGCTGTTCTGATTCTGAAACTGACCTGCATGACATTGTTGCTGTTAGTATGGACAGTCAAAATATGTGGGTTCATTGTGTTGATACAAATCACATTATACGTGTATGGGATGTTTTAGATTTCAATAGTCCTGTGGAGTTTTCATCATGTCATTTTCATTCGGAATGTATATGGGATATCAAAGAGATACCGTCCCCATCTACAGACAGCAGTTCATTGTTTTATTCATGCTCGAATGATGCAACTGTTAAAATGTGGAATCTCACAGATGATGATGCATGTGTAATGAAAAGTAATATTTTAGTCAACTCGAGCACTGTATCTAATAATGGCTCCAATATTAAACCTAGCAAAGTTGGTATAAGAACATTGTGTGTTTCTCATGATTCCCAATACTTAGCTGTTGGTGACAGGGGTGGATTTATCCATATTTATCAACTCGATGATTCTATGAAACTTACTCAAGTAACAAAAGTAGAAATGCATGCAACAGATCTTCTAAGCCTTACCTATGATCCGTCGGATAAAATGTTAGCATCGGCAAGCAGAGACCGTTGCATATATATTCTCGATTCAAACAATGCACCTACATACACAATAAGTGATCATTCTGCAGCTGTTACTGCTGTTAAATTCATTCATTTGAATGATAAATTACGATTGATATCATGTGGAGTGGACAAGTCTTTATATTTTTGTACTGTTATAAATGAAGAAGGCCGTGTTGAAATCACACGCGATCAGCATATTGTTGAAAAGCATTCCATGCATGATATGACTATAATTAACGATACTGTTTTAGTCGCTTGTGGAGCAAATTTAAGGGAATATGACATTGGATGTGGAAAAGCCAGGCGTTTAATACGGGGCCCTGAATCGGTTTCTACTGTGTTGCGAGTTATTGCAGACAAAGATGGGATGATTGTTGCTATTTCATGTTCCGATAAATTCATATATGTCCTAAACTACCAAACAGGAGAATTTTTGTTCGAACTCAGTGGCCATTCTGAAATTTGCACTGCGCTTGCTTTTATCAGTAACTGCTCTGATAAAACCCTGGTTACAACATCAGCTGATAGTTGTATGTTTATTTGGAAACTCAATCGATGTGCTCAAATTATTGAAGACTCTACTTCTCATTCTGATGTTCAAGGATGTTTACAGAATGATATTGGGGATCCTATTTCAGAAGAGAACGAAGTAAATGTAACAGCATATTTTGGTAATTCAAAATCTATTGAGCCTTTTCAATCTGACTGTTTAATGAAACCAGATGGTGCTGATAATGGAGAATCCGATACTGATGAAAATGATAATGAACCAGATGAAGTTACAAGTACTATTGAAATAGATATGGACATGTCATTACCTACTTGGCTCACAGGTAAAAAAGACAAAATAATCAAAGGAAAAGCACCTGGTGGAAAATGGGCCAGCAGATTGCAAAATCAATATAATGAGGTTTCTCTTCTTGATACTCCACGAACTGTCATGGAATGGGAAGATATTTGTGCAGATTCACCTGAGGATTGTGATAACGAGGATTCTACAGCACTTGGCCCTGATGATCAGAATCATATCATTATGGACAGCCAGCCTTCCGAGCCAACAGAAAATATAACCGATTCAGAAAATGGGAACACTGAAATATCTCAGCCAAATAACAGTAAATGCAGCGATATTGAACTGGATGAAAAACAAAATATAGTGCAGACTGAAGTAAAGGAAAATGAAGACCCCAGTGAGAAAATGGAAGTGCTGGAACCAGAGGGTCATAATCATAACATGCTTGATGAAAGTAACAAGGCCTGTGGTGCTCAGACTCAAAGTAATGGGGATATATCTCCTATTAAAAAGCCACGATCAAACGATCCTGATTTTATTTGCACAAGTACACCAGCTCCAGCTATTCCTCCAGCTTTTGCTAACTTTATAGAAAATCTTTCAAAGAAAAAACCAAGAGCAGTTCCGTCATCTTTGCCATTACGAAATTCATACAATAGTTTGGAAGAACGACGGAGTCCGAAAAAGGTTGAATCTGAAACGACCAGTGTTTGTCATCCACTAGATGATCATGAAAAAGTAGCAAATGAATGTCCTGATTCTGCTACAGAGGATTGCAATGATGTTGTTAACAGTCTTTTTACTGCATTTGGCCGAGCGGAATCTATGTATCAGAAAATATCAAACGAATGTGATAATGTGGATTCCAATGATGTAGCCAGAAAACATTTATCTAACGCATTTATATCGTTACAAGATAGAATAAACCAACTACAGTTAGGAACTGTTCGAGAAAAAGATTTCGATAATATTGATATGAACAGTTCACCAGTATTGTCTCTTTTGCGAGAGTATTCAGATAAACTGTTTGCGATGGTCAAAGAGGAGACTCAGAAAAAATGTTTAATCAAAGAATAATAATTTAACCCGAATTGTTTTAAATTCAAATCAAGCGTTGTATTACTGTATATATTACAAAACTGGTCAGTAGCGAAACATTCCAACATAATTCCTGCACTCGCCCGAACTTGCCATTGACTTGGGTATTGGTAGCCTGCGAATGGCTCTCTCGCTAGTTCCATTTCTTTCATTATTATCTTTTGTATTGTCTTGTTTATTTATTTGAGAAATCAGTAATTTTCAAATTTATAATCGATCTTTTGTATTATATGCTGTGCAACTGTTCACACATTAATCCTGTGAAACCATGACATGTAATGTCAATATACTATGTAATCATAGGCGTAGATGAAGTTTTATCCCGAAAACTTTGATTGAACTCAGCGGAATTTATCGTGGCACATTTGGTACAAATCGATTTATAAATCATAACCACTAGGTAAACCAAGTAATGTTGCTTGCAGATATATTTCATACTATGCTTATTCATGCCTTTTGCACTGAACAAGGTCCTGTATAAGCAGCCATTGATATCCAAGAACATCTAAAGTGCCACTATTGCTTACCCAATTAATTACACATTGGTTGAGGGGAGGAAGCATTGGATTTGAACCTCAGCAAGATATGTAATTCGTGATATCAATGCAGTTAAGTTCAGCACTATAACAGCTAAGCCATTGCGCCGCTCAGCAAGCTAGCTAGACTTGGCTGTTAATTATTATTCTCTCATTCCATCCATTTCCATACTTTTTGAATCGCCCTTTTTTGGGTGTTCCCGTAGTATTCGTACTAAAAAAGGCGCACAACCTGAACATAGTATGTGTACCACGTTAGGGTTAGCAGGTTGTGCACCATTATGGTACGAAAGCGCCCTTTTTTGAATTATTTACTTCGATATCACTGTTCATCATTATTGTGTCTTGTTTGAAACATGGCTTTGGAGAGTCTTGAGAAAAATATCCAATTGACGCCTGACTCTGTTTTGAAAAAAATGTCGACTCTCATCTGCAGGCTGATTTAAATTTTGACTACGACTTTTGTTCTAACTCCAGAAAAAATCAAATTTGGTAATAAAAACTTGGCGTATAAAAGCCTTCTTTGATAGGCTTTTAATAGGAATGTTTAGTCTATTTAATTTATTTTGAGTTTTCGAAACTCCCAACTCCAAGTCCTAATTTTAAGTTTGTACTCGGCTGAAATTGATCCCACTTGTAAAACACTTTATAAAAATGTAACCACTGTTGGTTGTTATTTTCCACTGAAATAAACTTGAACAACTTGAATTAACTTTTTATACCTCCTACTAACAACTAGGCTACTACTTATTGATTGATTGTCAGTTGTCACTGTGATTACCTCTATATGTCAATCCATATGATTTTGTATTTGACGTTAATTCATATCTTTCATGCAGAATCATTATAAGGATTAGGTTAAGCAGTTTGGTATACTTTTGTAGTCATTTTATATCTAAGTCTGTGTATTCTTTGTAACTATGTGAGCAAATTTTGGCTGTTACTCTTATTGTGTGTTGTATTCAAAATCTGGGAATTTTTTATTATTGAAGAAACTCATTGAAATTTTGTTTTTTAAAATTACCCAAAAAACATTCTGTATTCAAAATAAACGCTGCACATTATTGATAAAGAAATGGTTTGTGTTGTCCATTTTGTGAGATTTACTCATGGCAAACAATTGACTAAAATAATAATAATATTCAAATGACTACTTGCTGTATTTGCATTTAAATTAATAAAACGCTTAGAGTTGAATGCTTGAAATTTTTGAATATTTTTTATATTTTGTGCTTTATAATTAAATGTTGATGATTTTTGTGATTGACCTTTGATCAGAACCTTCTGTTTTGAAAAATTGATATGCATACACACATACATTAGCACGTAGCTCACCAAGTTTTCGATACTTCTCAATTTTCAATGTGATGTCTCTAAATGAGCCCACCACTTATTTAGAAGGGTTTGTAATAAGTTTGGTCAAAATTGAATGAATTACTACAGAATTTCGAATACATTTGGATATAATAGATTTGACCAAGAAAATGAGTCTTATCTTCAGCAGAGAAATTTAAACACACAAACCATTGTAAGTTCACAAAAATTGTATTTGATAATGCATAATGGTACAGATAACATTGTTTTGATTGATATTCTCTTTTTTTAGGTGTCAATTAAATTTTTTTTTTTCGTTGATACATGTCAAGTATCAAAATGAAAGTGTTTTGAATTATTCCTTAAATCAAACACTATCAATATCAAATATAACCAATTTTGAATTTATTCTATTCATTCGTGCATCCCTGCCTTAAGTCAACTACCTTATGTTTTGTCATGTTCAAGCTTGCATCTCGCGGAGACGTAGCATAGTGGCATTCAGTTCTAAATTATTCCTTGAATCAAGGATTAACAATATCAAATATTACCAATTTTGAATTTATTCGATTCATTTCGGACATTCCTGTCTTAAGTCGACTACCTTTTGTTATACCGGTATGTATTTTTTGTCATGTTCAAGCTAGCATCTTGCCGCGATGTAGCATAGCGGCTTACAGAAATGTTTACTTATTTGCGATGCTGCCCACTCTGTTTGCTTGGCTCACCTATTAAGCAAACATATCCTATATATGCTTTTGTTTTTTGATGGCCACGATGTTCCAACATTACGATAATGTGGTCAAACCATGCCTATGTATGCTTTGATTATTTAAGATGTACGATTTATAAGCCATGTAATGTAAAGTGTTTTTTTACACTGAATATTAGCATTGTGACATTCCTTGCGAGTACAAATCATTTACAGTACATTATTAACTTTTTTTTACTCCATATTCTTTTCTCTTTTTCTCAATGCTTTAAAATGATATAAATATAAGAGTTTGCCTGTTCATTTCTTGTGACTTGTGAAGCAAGGATTTCAGCTACGGTACTTATTGTCCAACATGGTTATGGCTTTATCCTGCTTTGGAAGAAGTATATTTATCAGGTAAGCTTTAATCTTTGCAGATTCTACTTTGAAAATAATATGACAAGCAGAACTGTGGTATATGTATTGATTAATAGTTAATGAAGCCTATATATGTTTTTAATGCAATGTATTCATATGTATGAGCAGCCACTGTTAGGTTATACACTAGTATAGTTTGAAAAGACAGGAATCTTACTGGTTCGGCATTGCCTACAGTAACTAGTTTATTCCACCCTAGTGTGGGAATGGGATTTTAACCTGCGGTGCCATCATAGTAATCAAGTTTTAATGCTTTAACCACTAGGCTAACAGTTCTCAATTTTTTTTTGTTTGTGCAGCGACAAATTATCAGGTAAAGAAACTCACGGCACTTACATGAAAAAAAAATTGTTCACTCGTTTTGCTAAACTCTGTTTAGAATATAAATTAACTGCAGCTCGCAAATTGCAGTAGTGTCTACCTGTATTGTTACGTAACAATAGAAGTAGACACTAAGTAACAGGAAGTAAACGACATAGAAACGTAAAATGAATTTATTGATTCATATACACATTTAAAATAAGAAACAATAAAACATTTATAAAATATACAATATATATGTTAAATATTTCAATTTTGTTAGTTTTCGGGGTGTACAGGGCAAATTGCCACTGCTGCACTCGGTCATTGCGCCCACAAGAAATTGTATGAGTATGTTCAAGTTTTTACCGGAATATTTTTCACTTCTTAAATGTTTCATTGTTCAAAAATTTGTCACTTCAATATTGAATTGTTAATATTAAAACGGGATAAACTTGGGTTTGTTTATTCAAAGACCTGTATCTATTGGTCTATGGGCAATTTAAACCATAGGTCAAATGTATCATCAATTTTGCATGAACTCACCACAAGCTTGATACTATTTTGTGCTGTATATTAAAAACGCCTTGGTATTTTCTATGTAACAACATTAAATTGTCGGAAGGATTATGCATTACCAAGTGCAAATGCATTAAGGAAATTACCATAACATAAATGGACATTGGACAGAATGAAATATTGCACATTTTTTCATGTCTATATGCACAATAAAATAGTTTAATCAGAATACAATTATAGACAGAGAAGAGTTGAAATTTATGTTGAAAAATAGAACAGTGAGATTTTAAATCGAGGGTCATCTTAGATAGTACCAGGCGTCAACTGGTATATTTATGTGTCAACCCACCGTATCGGCCTACCGTAAAGCCTTATTCGGAGTGAAAAGGCACATATTAAGAACCTTGCACAAAAAAAAAACATTAAAAACTTGTATGGTTCACTTAGTCAGCTTGAAATCGACAACTTGTAACCCCCACCAAATTACTTCACTGGGTAATAGGACTGGGAATGATTGATCGGTTAACGGTTACAATTTATTTTGACCTTTAACTGACATCGCAGGTAATAATCACTGTTACTGTACAATTTCCTCGAAAATTATTAGTTCACTGCAAATACGGTAAATCTCCTGTGGCGTTTAATTTAAAAAAATATCACTAACTCAATTGGTAAGCATCATGAAAATGTAAGAAATAAGTAAGTATTGCTGATTATGAAAATTCGACAATGAGAAGTTTCCGGTCTGAATATATTGTACTGAATACACGCACTGATGGTTGCGAAATCACTGTGACGTAACAAGCATAACTTCCAACTTATCGTCAGTCAGTCACGCTACGGTTAAAATGTTTTCACTAAAATTCCCAGCCCTATTGGTTAAGAGATTATGCTGAAGCATTTTATTACAGACAGAACAAAATGGTTGTTCGTACTCTGTCTTCATCTAAGTATCTGCAATCAAGCTCTGTTGATGCAAAATTTGAGACGGCCAAACAACAACTAAACTCTTTCAGTAATGATCCTGGAAATGAAACAAAACTCAAAATATATGCTTTGTTCAAACAGGTTTGAGTCGTTTCTTGTTAAAGATTAAATATCATGTTTTTAATACTGTTATTCTAATCTATTATCTTTGAGAAAAGATGCGAGCTATTTTGAATCCTCCAAAATAGTGGTTCAAAAACTTTTTAACCCGCACCCCCTTTTTAGAATTTGTCAAGTCTCGCGCCCCACCTCAAAAATAACCAGCTAACAATAAGCTACAAATGAAAAATAGTAAGGTGAAGGTATATTTTATTCAGAGAACACCTTGAAAATATGTATACATAATAAAGAAATGTAACTAATGAAGAAATGTAAATATCCAAAATAAGGCAGGCAAGATCAAATATAATGAATATTTTCCTTTTTAAATATCTTCATGCCCACTCAAATCGTCTACGCCCTTATTGTGGGGCGCGCCCCATTGTTTGACAATTCATTAGACATTTGTCTAAGTGTAATCGAAGTCGTGATAAACAATAATTTAATGAATATCATAAATACTTTTTCATAATTTGACTGAATTTTAAACAGTTGAATGTGTTACAAATTATGTTACTATATTTTCAAAACAAATATCATCAACAAATCATTTATGAAACATTATATTGCTGGTTGTAAAATTAGAAAGATTATTCTCAATATTTTTCATGATTCTTTACTCGAACATCTCCCAGAACTCAAATTTCTTTATTAGTAAGTTGTTCAGTTTTGTCTCACTCTCCAGTCTTGTATATAACGAGGAAATATTTTGTTATTGCATTATTTAAGGCAACAGTAGGAAAAAACACAACAGACAAACCAGGAGCTTTAAATTTTGTTGGGCAATACAAGTGGTCAGCGTGGACAGATTTGGGTGACATGTCGAAGGTAATATTTCTAACTTCAGTTTTTTAACTTAATAGAAGTGGTGACATCCAAATTATTATTGTGCTAGTATATAGATTTATGCCGGTTTCACATGTTTGAATCTTATAGAAAAGGCCATGTTTAAGAGACTGAATGTAGCAAACTCGGATAGCATAGAACTTTTATGGTTATCCGGATGCAAGAGTCCAGTTCGGGAGTCCGGTTATGGGGATAATTTCAAACAGTCATTGTTCCATATACAAAGACTAATGGTGATGGAAACCAGTGTTTCTCAATGTGGTCTTTCGTCTCCTTCCCTTTGGTGCCTTAAGAATTTTTTAAAAATAAAGTTTTCATTGGGCCTACAATGGATTACAAATTGAAAATGGAGCGTTTATCACGCCTCCCTTCACACTGAAATGCATTTTTTTTTTATTAATTCTGTTTGTACAATTTGTACTTTCTGCATGTGATAAAATATTCTACTGACTGACTTACTAGAGGGGATTTACGCTTTATTAAGTTGAATCAAGGTATGAAAGTACAATTTGACAAACTGATGGACAGACACAAGGATTAGGTTGGCCATTGACCTCTTTACTGTATTGTTTATATTTATATCAAAAAACACTTATGATGCCCGAAGTTTTTACTAAAGGTTTCGTGGGTCTTAAAATATCTTTTAAAACTTTAAATGGCCCACAAGAGCAGTCTTTTTTGCACATGCCTATCCATGCGATTCGAACCTATTAATCTATGCACAGATGCAGTCTGATGGCAAGCGTGTTCTTGATGTGCAGCACAATATGCTAACCATCAGATATCCCCCAATTCGGTACTGCCCTTAGTGTGTGTACCAGGTTAGAGTTTTATTCCGATTTTCCTCTTTTTAGTCTCATGAGTTTGGGGACTGTCTGTGTTACCCAAGTGACTATACCCCCTGCCCATAGGCTTCCGTTTCGTTACACTTGATGTAAAGTTGGCGAACAAAATTAGTCAACTCCATATTGGTACACACACTTCTGGAGCGCCCTCAATTCTCTACAAGAAAAGACTTGTTTATAGTCAAATTTTGCTTCTATTTGCAATTATAAACTGTAATTTAGGATGAGGCAAAGCAGAACTACATTGATCTGGTTTCTGAATTGGCCAAGGCCGAAGGAAGTTCTGTAGATGCCGAACCACAACAAGAAACAGAAACGGATGCAAAAGTTTATGGATCCGGTGTGTTATTGGTCAAAACTGAAAATCAAATTATGACTGTAACGATGAATAGACCTGAACGATACAATGCAATAACTGTTGATGTAAGATAATTGAAATGTATCTTGGTTTATTTCGTGTTTTTACAATTGAGCCTTGGTTATTTTGATCATAGATTATCATTACAGCCTCGTTTATAGCTATGATTTCCTATTCTGGATAAATCACCATAGCATACTGACTTGACCAGTCACAAAAATTTGATTTCATCCATATGTTCATGGATTAATTGTCCAAGCATATACTAGTTCACTTATCTTTTTGTATATTTACTTTTTCATCTTTCTTCCAAGATGTATGAAGGACTGATTGAAATTCTCTCTGATGCAGCAAATGATGATTCTGTGTCTATTGTCGTGTTAACTGGGGCTGGAAAATATTTCTGCAGTGGCAACGACTTGAAAAACTTTGCCGGTATTACTCCTGCCAACATGAAACAAGTAGCTATGGACTCAGCAGTGTTATTAGAGTAAGAATCATTCATTTTTTTGCAGAAAAGTGGGGGAGGTAGCCTAGTGGCCAAAGTGTTAGACTTAACTATGATGGCATCGCGGATCGGATGCTAATTGCATAGGATCGTATTCTTGTGGATTGAATTGTTTCAAATTCAGAGGTATCGCTGCTCGTTAACCGGTATTGATATTTCAACCCTCTCTTCGTCCTGAAATGCCATATTCCAATTTGTTCATTATATTATTCGGTTCCATTACATTTGAACCCACGTACATTTGAACCCATGACAATTGCACCTGTATGCTATTGCACCTATGGAATTTTTTTTGTTTTTCGGATAGTTGATCCCATACTAACCCTAACCCATGGGTTTTAGCACCCGCATATAGATTGAACCCGTGGATATACACATGGGTTCAAATGTACGTGGGTTCAAATGTACGGTCACCTATTATTCATATAAAGTGTATTCAAGTGTGGGGGAAGAGTACTGATTACAACGTTCTACAGTATGGAATATATACAATGTCAAATATATTTAAGTATTTGGATTGTTCTGAATATATCTACTTTCTTGTATACCAAGGAAAATTCTTTTTTTTTTTTGCTCACAGACGATATGTGGCTGCCTATATCGATTTTCCTAAACCTCTGGTTGCCGCAGTAAATGGACCAGCTATTGGAATTCCAGTGACGCAGTTAGGATTATTTGATGCTGTCTATGCAAGTGATGTAGCAACTTTTCAAACTCCATTTTCCAAGATTGGACAAAGTCCTGAAGCCTGTTCTTCCTACATATTTCCAAAGCTAATGGGTCATTCTAAGGTATTTCTTTTAATAACTAACATATATGTTTTGTTCACGGTGACCAAAAAGAACAAAACTCTGGTCATTTGGAACATATTCTAGACTTAAGAATCTAAAGAGAAAATAACTTCTGTGTGAAGCGTCTTAGATTAGTGAAACTTTTGGGTACAATCCAGTCAAAAAAACACTAACAGAAATTCAAGTGTTATATATATTTTCGTAAAAGTAATTAAGAAATTTAATAATCCTATTTCTTTGAATCATCCTGTATTATTTTCAAGATATGTTTTAAAGCCATTCTGTGTGGTCGTGGTTTGCCATATGATTAAGCTGTTTTATCGACTCTCCTCCTCTCAGGGATAAATTTTTCGACCATACAACCTTGTCATATTTAACTGATTATTCTCACACATTATAATTATATTGTAATACACAGACTTTTAGAATCAATATTAATTGTTATTTACAGGCATGCACACTGCTACTATTCAATGAAACATACACTGCTTCTGAGGCTGAGCGTTTAAATTTGGTGACCAAAGTTTTTCCCAATGCAAATTTCCAAGAAGATGTAAGAAAAGAGATTGAAAAAATGGTAAAACTACCTATAAAGGTTAGTGACTAATTAAATTTAGACACTTATAATATCTCTTCATTGTGTATAAATCATAACTTTTAAGCATGAATGGCTACTACTTTGAAAGGACTAAAATCATTCTAATTCGTCATTGACTATCCTATTTGTCCCTGGGTGAGATGGTGGACGTGGGGTTTGATTTCAATTTTAATTAACAATGATAAACCTTGCAAAGATGAAATTTTGAATCTTTTGATTATTTGAAATCCATATGACAGTGTACAGTAGCAATATTTTTGAATTCATCCTGTTAAACAGAACTACATATGATGCTGGGATTGATATATTAGGCGTGTTACATTACATGCCAGCAGATGCCGATGGGGCTTTGAAGCAGAAATGACAATTAAATGTAACTTCTCTGTCCTGATTTTATTATTATTTTTTTTTTATTCAGTCACTGGTTTATTCGAAGCGACTCGCTAGAGATTGTGAAAGGGAAATGCTTCATAAAGTCAACAAAGATGAATGTGAGAGACTCGTTGAAAGGTGGACATCAGAAGATTGTATCAAAGCTGTTATGGGATTTTTATCGAAGTTATGATTCAAGAGCCATAATGCTGTATGGAGCGATTTGCAAAAATCATAATTTAATTTTTTTCTGCAAGCACATGCAATTTGTATTGCTTGCGTAATTGCCAATATGACACCGAATACAAATAGTTAGATTCCTATTACATGAGTATAATATGTGTTGATGTGATGCTGCTTTGATTATTTTTTCTTGAAGCCTTTTTTCATCACTACCTCATAGTGATCACGTTTACACACCACCCATAGTGTTTGGGATTTTTATCAAAGTTATGATCAATAGGTGATTGCCAATATCACACCCAATGCAAATAGTTATTTTCCTGTTATACGAATACGTGTCATGATGTTGATGTGATGTTGCTTTGATTTTTTTCTTGAATCCTTTTTTCATCACTACCTCATAGTGATCACGTTTACACACCGTCACCACCCATAGTGTTTGGGGATTTTTATCGAAGATATGATCAATAGGTTATTGCCAATATGACACCCAATGCAAATAGTTATTTTCCTGTTATATGAGTACATGTCATAATGTTGATGTGATGTTGCTTTGATTTTTTTTCTTTAATTTTTTTTTCCTCACTACTTTATAGTGTTCGAGTTCAAATATTTAAATAAAAGATTCTTATCAAATTGGCAGTAGTGTACCATTGTGACTCCATTATAAATCTAGTTAATGTTAGTGTGAGGGAACTGGTGGGAGTCCACCATCAGTGTGATATGTATCAGGATGTTGCCATATTACCATTCTATATCATCTGTGCCTTATACGTACATAAACAGAAAAATTAGGATAGAATTTACATTTTTATTCTTGGGGAATGGAAACATGATAAGAAGACGGAATGATTAAATGGCAAACCATGTTTTCTTGTTCGGTTGTCAGTCCATTTCAGATATGATGGGATTAGTTGGCCAGTCCGTAGTTTCAGGTGCATGGACTCAATTGGAGAAAGCTGTAATCCACCAACGGTTGCTTGCGAGTAGTTAGCAATCACCCGAGACCATGGTGCGCCATATGATTATTATGACAAAGCCCATATTCCGGTACTGATATTTCGATAAAATTAAATTGTCATCTTGATTGTAAGAGACGGACCGGATAAAATAGCTGTCTGCGAACTATATTCACAGTGATCATTATTTCAACATGACAAACAGGTATTTCCGAACAAAAGAATTTCATAGATTCAAATGCATGGATGACGTGTCATTGGAATCAATGCTAACAATTTAAAGCTCTTGAATCAATTGCACCGTAAATTGCTTTGCAGCCTAGTACGTATGCGAAGTTGCGCCTCAAAACTTTTTTAAACGAATGATGGTAGTTTCTGCAGACGTTTTGTTGCGCAGGGAATCGCGGTGTTCGATTTGTGTAATCTATAAAATTGTAGTTATGGGTAAGCATATTTGGTAATAACTTGGAGTAAAAACAGTAAGAAGTTTAAATTTGCAATAAAACGTCATGGTACCAGGTTATCATACCAGGTATTTCGTACACATACACCTCATTTATCTGTTGTTTCGTCCACATATATCTTATTTATCAGATATTTCGTCCAGATACTTCTCATTTATCACTTGCTTTTCTCGTCTCATTCAAAATGAATGAGTAACAAAACAATATGCTTTCTTATTTTTAGTGTCCATTTCACCCCAAAATGGGACACTGTCTCAGATTTTGAATTGTTGTTGTAATATTCAAGGTCTTGAATCCAAGTAACACAGGCTTCAATTGTTCACAGAATATATTGCATGAAAGTAAATAGAAATACAACATACGTCCGTCGCTCACCGAGAGTAGTTCTAGAATGTCCTGTCATGTGGCCTAAACTAGATCACCAAATGTACTCATATTATTACGTCATAGACCAAATATAAGACATAGAATATAGCAGTATTTCATGGACATTACATCCCTCCCTAACTTAAATCTGAAATTTATCACATTAAATTTCACTTGGGAATATGCATAACCTAGAACATTTCACACATAGCTGTCACAAATGTAAATCAAGTATAAGCAATATGTTATGACACTAGATAGTACTTGGCTAACCTAAAATTTCCATTCATGAACTATTTGTCTGAAATAGTTATCAAGCACACTTATGTATCATGCAATAAACTTAAAAATGAAATATAGTACTGTGATATTGAAAAGTTAACACACTACAATGAAATTCACTTCACAAAGTAATGAAATTATAACAATCAAAATTCAGGCATAATCAACTTTATACATAACAATTTATCATTAATTGACTACACCCCTTTTGTAAGTGTAACACAATCACAGTTCATTTCTTTTACACAGCTTGGTAATGTTTATATACAGTCTATTCATGTTTGATCAAGCTTGATATCATAGTTTCAAAAATAGTGTTAGTATTAGTAAGTCACCAAGCTTGATATTGCTAAACAGTCCATATTATTTATGTTTTCTCAGTACAGTCCTTGAAATAAATGTTCATTCATACAATTTATAATCTCTGAAGCGTTTAGGCAGTTTGATTGAACGCTTTGATTTGCGATGAGCCACTATCTCGTTATGAGGTTGATCATTTGAGAAACTAGATGAAATCTGCTCATCAGCTGGAGAATCAGATTCATTTGATGCCTCAGGAATTATATCAGCAGCCACTTCCATTTCATCTGATATTTCAGGAACATGAGTCTGAAATTGTCGATCATTCACCTTTTTAAACTGAGATATATTTCTGGTTTTGTTACCCAAACCAGGACTTCTTGCAGTAACCATACTTCCCTTCACAGCAACAACAGTCATAGGCTCTGGGTTATATGCTGGAGTTAACTTGTTATATCTTCTTTGTCGAACCAACACCATGTCACCAATATGCAGTTGAGAAGCAGGTCGTGTGCAAAGTCTCTTATCAGCATACCTTTTCTGTATGGTTTTCTGTTTCGAATCACATTCTCGCAATTCTTTATCATCTGCAACTTTTATTACTTCAGGAAATAAAACTTTAATATTTCTTCCATAAAGCAGTTCAGCAGGAGCTTTATGTGTTGTTACATGTGGAGTCGCTCTGTAATTTCTTAGAAATTTATACAATTCTTGTTTCCATGATTTTCCTTCAACTGTAGCAGTTTTGATTGCTTTATTTAGTGGTTTCATGAAATTTTCAGCTTGGGCATTTCCTCTTGGCCATAACGGAGTTATTTTCTGATGATGAATTCCACAGTAGTCCATGAATCTTTTAAATTCGTGACTTTGAAACGGTGTTCCATTATCTGTCTTGAGCACTTCACAAAATCCATGTGTAGCAAATATTTTGTCAAAGATTGGAATCACGCTACGAGCTGATGTCGATTTTACGAGTTCAACTACAGGAAATCTTGAGTAGTTGTCAATGACTACCAAGAGATAATCACCACTAGGATACGGTCCACAGAAATCAGCACTAAGAGATTTCCAAACAGCTCTTGGCAATTCACTCATTCGTAAAGGTTGGAATCTTTCATCTTTTGTAACAGCGGCACAAGCTGGGCAATTTTTTATGTAGTTTTCCACCATTGAGTCAATATTAGGAAACCACAACTTTGCTCTAATCAATGCTTTTGTTTTAGCAACTCCTTGATGTCCCTCATGTGCTATGGAGACCATTTGCTTTCTCATCTTCACAGGAACTACTATACGATGTCCACGAAGAATTATGCCTTGTTCAGTTATGCTCAATTCACTAGATAAACTTTCAAAATTTCGCATTTCTTCACAGTTTCGATAATCTTGCCATTTTCCAGAAACAATGCATTTTTTCACATTTTGCATCATAGGGTCATTGAAAGTTTCTTCTTCTATTTCTTTTAGTGTGATCGCTTTTGGACAAGCACTTTCACACACATAGTTCAGAAATTCTTCTGCAATTTTCAGATCACGGTTATTCTCTGCTTTCGATGGATGACGTGACAAATAATCTGCTGGATTATTCGCTCCAGGTCTGTATATCACAACAAAATCATATTGCTGTAGTCGTAAACACCATCTTTCTATTCTTGGAGAAGGCTTTGCAGTAACATTTGAAAATATACTAACCAATGGTCTGTGGTCAGTAATAACATTGAATTTCATTCCATATAGGTACAAGTGAAAGTGTTCAACTCCCCAACGAACAGCCAGTGCTTCACGTTCGATTTGAGAGTAACGAGTTTCAACATCATCAAGACTTCTTGATGCATAAGCAACAACTTGTACTTTTCCACTTTTTGAGCTTCTTTGTGTCAAAATTACTCCTATTCCGAATGGCGATCCATCTACAATTAATTCAGTCTTTAGATCAGGATCAAAATATGACATAACCGTGTCACTTGTTAGATTTTCTTTCAACTTCAGCCAGGCACTTTCACATTCATCACTCCAGATGAAATCAGAATTTTTCTTTGTCAATTCCCTCAGCGGCTTCACAAGAATTGCTAAATCTTTAATGAATCTTGAGAGATATTGCGCCATGCCTAACAAAGACTTCACTTGTGATTTATCTGTAGGTCTGAAAGCTTCTTTGAGTGCTTTAATTTTCTTTGGATCAGGAGACACTCCACGTTCACCAAAAATATTACCATAGAACTCCATAGATGATTTGAAAAACTCACATTTTCTTTTATTAAGCGTAAGACCTTTTTCTTTGATTCGTTGTAAACATGCTCTGATATGCTTCTCGTGACCATCATCATTTTTGCTAAAAATATAGATGTCATCCGAAATATTCTTCACGCCTTCTAGTCCTTGAAGAACTTGTTCAATTATAAACTGGAATTTTTCAGTCGCTGCATTCACCCCGAAATTGAGACGTTTATGTCTATGGATCCCAAGGTGTGTACTGAACGTTGTAATATATCTGCTGTCTGGGTGTAACTCTATTTGATGGTATCCTTGATTTAAATCAAGTTTTGAAAATACCTTGCAACCATTCAGGTCATGAATTAGCTCATCCATTGTTGGCATTGGATGTTTCACCCTTTTTGATAGCTTTATTCGCAGCTCTCATATCCGTACACAATCGAATATTATCAGGATCACTGGATTTAGGTACCACAACTATAGGAGATACCCACGGAGTTGGTGTATTATCCACATCTTCACAGATATCATTTTCATATAGCTCTTTAATTGCCTTTTCCACTTTAGCTCTGGTTTTAAATGGTACTCTTCTGTGTTTTTGATGTACTGGATCCACAGATTCATCGATGTTCAGCTTTAACTGGTATCCTTTGAGTTTTCCGACACCATGAAATATACTATCATACTCTGACAGAATTTCCTTTGTACGCTTTTCTCGTTCATTTTCAACGGAATGTATAATCTTCAGTATTCCAAGTTGTTCTGCTGTGTCATTGGACATTAAACAACCTTTGGCATGTTTCATTACATAGAAATCAGCTGACAGTTGCTGGCCATCATTTGACTTCACATTTGCAGCAAATTTGCCAATTAACTGCAGTGGTTTTTCACTACCATAAGCAAATAACTTTGTATCAGCAGGACACAACCTGCAACATTTGGAAGTATTCCTCCGTATTTCTTGATACGCTTTGTTGTCTAGGATGTTAACACTAGAACCACTGTCAACAATAAAACAGCATTTAACACTATTAACATCCACTTCAACTGTTGGAAGCTTATTACAAATCTGAGACTGTTCAACCTTCATTGAGTATTCAGAATTTGCACAACTTTGAGATTCAACTTTACTTGAGTTGTTTGAGCTTGCTTTCAAATTATTAACAGAACGTGAAAACTTCTTCTGTTTTGGCTTCCTACAAAACTTTGCAAAATGACCATAATCATTGCAATTAAAACATTTTCGCCCTTTAGCAGGACACTGACCTTTGTGTGGAAACGAGCCGCCACAATAAAAACAAATTTTCCCTGAGTAATTGTTTTTCTTGCGTGTTTTGTTTTGGTTCACTGATTTGATCCGATACGCATTCTCTTGTGCAGTTTCTTCAGTGTTTCCTTCCATCACAGACAGATGAGATTTTGCCAGTTCCATTGCTTTACCATTGTCGAGTAGGGTTTTTAAATCCATCTTTTTGCTTAAACATTTTTTCCTTAATTCTGACGATTTGCATCCCTGAATTATTTGACTTTTGATTTCCCCTTCTACCTTTTCAGGATCGAACTCACAATTTACAGCCATTTTCTTAAGTCGTGTACAAAATTGATCAAGTGACTCACCCTCATGTTGTTTTGTGTTGCGAAACAAATAAATTTCGTACTCACTATTGGCTTTGGGAACAAAATATTCGGTCAATTTTCTTCTTGTATCAGCAAAAGTATCATTTTCCTCCTTCAAGGTTTCATAAATATCGTAACATTGCTCACCCATGTAGTGCAACATTAGAGATGTCTTCCTTTGCTTATCTTCATCAGAATCTTTGATATTCATTGCAAGTGTCAAGTTATCAAATCGTCCAAGCCATTTCTTCCATCTTGGTCCGGCACTTGACAAATCAGCGCAATCAAAAATTGGATAGTCCGGTAACGCAGACGCCATTTTTCACGTTTGAAATTAGCGGTGACACCAAGTCTGTAAGTAACGTTACGGTAGCACTTAAAGCAAAATTTTCCCGACGAGCTTCTCTATTCCACGTATGTTGGAGACTTAAAATAATCCTCGTCGCCAGATGTAATATTCAAGGTCTTGAATCCAAGTAACACAGGCTTCAATTGTTCACAGAATATATTGCATGAAAGTAAATAGAAATACAACATACGTCCGTCGCTCACCGAGAGTAGTTCTAGAATGTCCTGTCATGTGGCCTAAACTAGATCACCAAATGTACTCATATTATTACGTCATAGACCAAATATAAGACATAGAATATAGCAGTATTTCATGGACATTACAGTTGTTCGAGAAATATGTCTCGTAAATGGAAGAGAAGTAGTAAAAGATGTTAATGGATGGAAAAAAACATGAAAAAAGCAATTGAAATGATACGAAGCGGAGGAAAACTCGTGACTGAAGCAAGTACATATTCGGTTCCAAGGGCTACACTTCGCCGTCATGTTTATCGAACGCTGAAGAAGGTTTCAGGATCACGTAGTCTTGGTTGTTCTCCTACCTTGGGCCAGAACAAAAAGGATCTTTTGCAACATATACTCGAATTTGAAAAGAGAGACTTTCCATTAACGGTTAAAGACATTCGAAAGTTGGTGAACAAAATTTCTAATAAATTTTCAGAATCTGCTAAAATGGCAGAAAAAGACTGGCTTCGAGAACGATATGGAAACTTGATAAATATACGAAAACCGCAGCCCCTGTCAAACTTTAGTAAACCTCGATTTAGGAGAGCCTAGCAACATCACTTCTCAACCACCGCACACCATTACTATCTCGTCGACAAGTAATAATTTTGTTGCATGTGGTTTGCAGAAAGCTGACAATGATTCACCTTGTTGCAGTAAGACTATTCAGCAAACATCAGGTCCCAAGTTTAAGCAGCAAATCTCTACAGAACAACAGAGTGGTTCACCAGCATCTCCAGAGGATAGTTTATGGGATTCGAGTGACACTTCATTTGAAGAGATTCTGCCCTTTCCGAAGGCCCCACCTCGACTAAACCTCCACCTCGTGATCGTGATAAAGAGATCATAACTTGTATAAGAATACTCACCAGTGAAGGATATAAGAAAGAACTAGCAGTTCTAGAAAATAAAGAGGACTCTGATATCATAATCAAGAAAAAAAGCAAAAGCAGGGTCCAAGAAAATAGAAGCCAGCAGTTTGAATAAATTTTATGCGAGCAAGGTCAAAGTAGGAAGAATTATAAACTGGAAAGAATATGCCAAGGCTTGTGGGTTTTGTGAAGGCAGTTTTTACGATGATGAGGAGGATACAATGTCAGCAATGCCTCAAATGGTTTCATGACATTTGTGCTGGTGTTTATGGAAGAAACGTTCAAGCTTTCACATGTGAGAAGAGCCAGTAACAATTTACATATAAATAACTTGCCTGTTTCATTAGGTTAATTTCGTTATGTTATTTATGGTAAAGGACATTCAATTGATTAACTAAAGTCTGTGCATGCATCAGCAAAGCTTTTGTTCAGTTGCAAGTACATGCCTGGATGATTAATAAGTTTTCATGTCTGATGGGGTAATATGAACATCATTGCTCGCCCCCACTGTAATGCTCGAGGCTTATTATTTAGGATTTTTTAGGCGTTTTATACGCATTCAAATAGTTCAGTAGTGTGTTCAATTACTTTTGTTTAATGTTCGTTTTATAGGGCGGATTGCCGAAATCGACAGTGAGCTGTAGGGCACGTTCAAATTGGTTATTTTAATACGGGAGTCACGCTTCTATATGGTAAAGATTACGAGAAATTAAGATTTTGCTATAGTGGTGAGGTCACTGGTAGTGGTGACCGTATTTGACGGGCCTACTATATATATATTAAAAGACAAAATCCCTGACAAAATTTAAATATGCCCTGTTGACCAATTTTGCAACCAAAACACACATCTTTTTTTGCAATAAATCTAAAGAGAAGGATCGCCGTCGCTTGCTCGTGAGAATAGAATGAATACAGAACAAAACGAAAAGAGCAAAATTGTGGCATGTTACTAAACTAAATGCATGTTCTGTGAACAATAACATTTATTATAAGCGACCGCCGTCGCTTTCTCGTGAGAATAGAATGAACACAGAACAAAACGAAAAGAGCAAAATTGTGGCATGTTACTAAACTAAATGCATGTTCTGTGAACAATAACATTTATGAAAATAGCACAGAGTAACGAAGTAAAGTATCGGTAGTGGAACCGACACTACCGATTACAAAATGCTGATAATTCAGATCATATGTGACATTACAATTATCTGAATGCGACGCAATCCGTATTGCACAACAAAGCCTTCATTTGACCTATCGCTGAAAATATCGATTTTATGGATTCGCAATATCTAAAAACTCGAGGATTTGTAGCAGGGATGCACTGTATACAAAAATCCTCGACATTTAAGCACTTTTAACATTTTCCCCTGAGACAAATTTGACCCCTAGGTCCGGGAAAAACCTCGCATATGGCAACCACAGCTATACCTATACACCAATTTCCACAACCTTGAAAAATTGCTCTATCTGATTTATTGTCCAAGTGATGTTTTTCCCAAGTGCATGCAATTCATCAAAATTTATTTTCCAATAAAAACCAACTTGTTAGGCAAATAATATGACAAAATGCATCCTATCCAGGTGAATACGATCTTTTCAAATACGATCACGCCTGTGTATTTCAATCGGACTCTTTTTGTATTGACTCGTAGATGTGTGGTCTAAAAGCCGGATTTAGACGACGAGAGGCTCTGGGCTATTCCATTTATAATGCTCCCCACAGTGATGCTATACAGTCGCTATTCAAAGTGAATTATGAGGTTATGAATACCCCAAAAGGTCGTATCGCAAAGCATTGTATATTTTTTTATTTATATATGTTTGCATATATTGTGTGTATTATGGTTTGACGAATGGAATAAACTCTCTCTCTATAAGTAATTTTCAAAATTTGTGTGAAAAGCAAAACAATATATGGTTGTATTAGGTTTAATTTAAAGCAGTGGTTTCCAAACCGCGGGACAATTACGATTTAATGTGGCCCGCCGAACTTGAGTGAAAGTATGTTTTTACCTTTTTGTGTTCTAGATAAGCCCATTGTTACGTCATTATCGCAGTTTAAACACGTGATTATTCGTGACATTCGTTTTTTCATTCCTAAAAAAAGACCTTACCGAGGTAGAAAACTGTTTAATTTACGTTAAAATGAAAATGGTAATGTTTTTTTGGTGCTCCCGAAGTATGTGAACCAAGATGGCGGACATCGGAACGTAACATGGGTAACAGGTTAGGGTGAGGCGATAATTTTTTTCTAATTTTCCTTATTTTAGTCCTATTATCAGTTCGAAGACTAGCCAAGAGCCTCCCGTAGTATTTATACCCAAAATTATGGCCTAACCCTAACCTAGTACACATATTACATTCCGATGTCCGCCATCTTGGTTCGCATACTTCGGGAGCCCCGTTTTTTTTTAATTTAGACAAATTTATTTATTTGACCGTCAACATGTTAAACAAGAATATTTGAAGCGTGTCGCAAGCCTAAAAGGTTGGAAAGCCACTGATTAAAACAGTGGAATACGATATCTGTAACAGCATAGTTCTGACCTTTTTAGATACTTGAAGTGGCATTGTTCGTGACTGTGATACTAAGCGAGTTCGTCTCATACACGAGCTCCGTCTGTGGTTATTATTATTTTTGTCATACAAGCGTTACGCGCTCTTGCATTCGAAATAAAGGAAGTCTAAATTTAGGATAGACGCGGAATCCTTACGTATGCATAAGCCATAATGGTCCTTCAAAGCCGCCGGATTTTAGCAGGTTGCAAATTAAGCTGGTTGAGAGTACCTCCTTCAATTGATCCGAGTATAAGTTGGTGCCGTGATTTGTTTGTTAATAATGTGCAAAGAAAAATGGTATAGGCGATATGGGAAGTCGTGGATGATGGTTTGGAATAAGTCCCGTGACGAGTTTCATTGATTATTCTATCCTGATTTTTTAATAAGACTCGCAGCAGCAGATGAACGTAAAAATATAAGCTTTGGAAACTTATATATAATTAGGGATAGTCCGCATTTAGCAATATATATGTATGATATAAATGCTATGATAACATATATATATATTATTTATTGTATATATATGTTAACACAATGCAATTTTATGTATCATAAATTAAAGTATGCGTTTAAAAAAAAAATGACTTGGATGAAGTTATTTCTGTTGCCCAGGCATGATCAATACAACATTTCAGCCGCTCTCGACGCTACTGCCAGTCTGCCGGCTGACGTTGTGTCTACCTTACGTCATTGGCATCCTGAAATTAGAATTAAAGTTATCTTGTATTTAGGCGGTACATATCATATATACCGTGTTTCCACGAAACTAAGACCTAGGCTGAATTTTAAAAATGATTTTAATATAAGCCCTACCCGTAAAATAAGACCTAGTCAATAGCGCGAATTTTTTTTACTTAGTCGATAACAGGAAATCTCTCCTACACGTTTTAAATGATTGATAATCTATCTATGTTTCGCAGTTATTTTGACCAAAAACGTGTCGTGGATGTCGGTCTCCATATTTTGTATGTTTGAAAATCTCGTAATTTTCTACTTTATAATTTTGTTTTCGAAAAATGAAAATATAAGACATCCCCCGAAAATAAGCCCTAATGTTGCTTTTCGGAAGAAAATGGAAATTAGACCAAGTCTTATTTTCGGGGAAACACGGTAGCCTATGTGACAGTTTTTATAAACTTTTGACATTTAGCCATTTGTATAGCGGGAATGTGGCGACATATTCAAATTCAGTTATTCGCGGTTGTTTTTGTTTGAAATTGCGCCTCGGGCAATACCGTATGTATTTTAATAAACCGCAGTGACGAAAGTCATTGAATTAATAATATTTCCTACATTCCGAAATTTACGGAAAAATGACGTCTTTAGTTTGATTCGGAAAGTTTTCAAAAAAGAATTAGTCTCGGATAGACTGTTTAGTCGACATGTCAGATAGGGAAACTCACAAAATCTGTAAAGATTGTAACAGCCAGTAATACCTTATATTTCGTAATTAGGATATCAGATGACAACGGGATATCACCCCACAGCAGTACTGTACAAGCTTATAATCAAGATTATCCGAAAACCAGTGCGCGTGATTTTTATATGTGATAGTGACAGAAAACGGACATTGAAAATAAATCAATACTCGTTCCGTTCTCCGAATGCCAATGAAGCAGCATATATATATTATTTTTGAATATTCTTCCACTTTCGGGCTTCCAACTGGGATGATAACGATGATGCATTGGCAGCATTTGAGTCGTCGTGCAATGAGATTTTATTTTTGAACACGCAATATTGAACAGTATCCTTTTCCATACTTTCAACTTGGACAACCTCTGAACACCATTAAGTACAATGACTTTTTTAAATGAGTGCTTTTTTTACAACTGCACATGCACCGCGGGGTTTGATTTAAAATTGAAATTTTACATTTCCAGAGTTTGCCCTTTGCGTAGCGCATTATTTATTTAATAATAATAATTAGGCAATGTTCTGGCTACATATACACATCAGTAAAGGTTATATATTTGTATTTTCAAACCAAATGGTCATCACGAATAAATCGCACTAAAATTATGAGAAGTTCCGTGTGCTCTGCAGGTAACGGAAAACGTTCTGCTTCATCATGCGTATGTGACACACTCTGATCACGTTTGCACTATATTTATATATATATATATTAAAAATTGATCGGAGAAAAATACGAAAGTTGTTCAAGATGTTTTGACATTTATTAGAATTTGTTGGTTATTAATGGGTGAATGTCGGCTATTATTTGGGGTGATATAATGTACGGTAATAAAGTAGGCTACCTTTCTCAAATATTGCGGACCCGTCGTTGAGTAACAATAGTTCGGGTCTGTCGACAAGACAACCCCATTTGGGAAAATTAACTCTAGATCCCAGTTACGATGGGATAGCATTTGCATATATAACATGCGAAGGACGTAGTTGAAAGTAAATAAATACCAATACGTTATATAGTACTCACAGCGTATTCTTTAAAATCCAAAATTGAGTGACAGACATCAACCAATAATGCGTGCAGCGAGATTACGTAAAGAATGAAATGTTTGCAGAGCTGCTGCGGTCTCGTTTTGCGGTTTTGGTTTGATTTGTCTCGGTGTCGTATTTCCATCCATTTATTCATTTATTGGTATTGCTTCTGTCGTTCCATGAACCTATATAACTTTACTGCTGCATCATATATTTGTGTTATGTTGTCATGCCCCCCAGTCTGCCCATTCAGCCATTAAGCTTCCTTCCCCACTTCCAGACTTCCCTGTCACTGCGCCAACGAAAGTTTAGTTCACAGCAGTAACCTGACCAAAACGCGAATTCACTAGTTAGGAACATAGTACTGTAATACAGTAGTAGCCTATAGCTGTATAGTGCAGCGATTAAGTTGAATTGAAGTGATGATAACAAATAAATTAATGTATATTTACTGATAAAAATGGGAAACTTTATCTGGAATCAACAATGGAATAATATGAATTGCTGGATGATACTGAATGATGTTTACTAATATATTTGTTTATTATATGTAACTATGTTCTATGATTATTATTTTTTCATCATTTATTTATTTTTACTAAACTGTTATGAATCCACAACGTGGACCTTTAAAAAAAAAAAAAAAAAAAAAAGAATTGAAGTGATGATGATGATGGAAGTCGACAAGATTTTCAGATATTCTTAAATAATAAACTGTACCGATACGGTACTAACTGCAGATCTGACTATAGAATACTTGTTGCAGTATTAATAAATCAGCCTCCTGACCTCCTTACTGGAGTTACTGCCAGACTAATCTAAGTAAACTACATAACTTACAGATGCCTGGACTAACAGACTAAGGTCTGAAGGTACTTTTAAAGAGAGAGGTAGGAACACATCATTGTTAGTTACATCTGTACATTGTACATGATACATTAATAATAGTCTGATAGTAAGAAAATGCTGATAACTGGATAAAATACTGGAATGATAAACTCTGAAGCTGGTGAACATTCATGTGTATTGCAGTATTGAACTAAAAATAAAGCAAAAGGATATTGCTTGGACAAAAATACAGAAATATCTAGTAAAGCATGTTGTAACTTAGCAGTAAAATTAGGTCTGTCTGTCTTTAGGTCCTTCAACTTACTGGTGTAAAAACATCTCTCAGTCTTTGACTAGTTCCTGGACTTTGTAAGTCCAATATTATTTTGAACTGTGTGATAAATTAATTTTGGCTTCGGTTTCAAAGCACTCTTGGCTACACAATAGTAATGCATTTTTGGCAATCTGCGGCTTTTTGCTTCAAAAATGATTACAGCGTGTATAAACATCATTTTGAGAATATAAATTTACTGCTTGGTTGACAAGTTTAAAACCATTATATTTCAGTATTTATCAGGAGTGTGATTACAGGTTTAATGACATCATCATTATATGGAATCATTCCGCTATCAAGCATATAACATTTATCCATAAACACATGCTTTGTTCCACTAATGTGATTATTGGACACGTTTAGTGGACATAACGATCGTTTCAATATTATGTTGTTATTGTTATTATTTGTCTCCATCATTTTTAAAAAATCGCTTTTCTCTTCAAATACTGGACCAATTGCTTTGAAATTTTCAGTGAGTAAAGATTGATTTTTTTGCCAGAAGGCTATTACTGTATTACTTTTATTTATTTCTAAATTTCGCATGAAATCGGATAGGCTGTTTCGTCTAAAATTTCGCTGTATCAATTTATCCAGAGGGAACACTGGCTGTCCGGTTTGATTCTGTAAATTATTTCTACGCGAAACTCGGAATTTTTTTGTGGGTACCGGTGGCGTCAAAGGTAAATACTGCTTCGCTCTGGTTAACATGTCCATATATTTGAGCACAGCTCTCTTGTTGATAAGTGACCCCAAAAGAGCTGCAGTAACGTCAATAAATATTTGTTTAGACGCCATCTGATATCGGTTGACTTGAGACAATATAAGTTAATGAGCTCAGGTGAACACCTGAGAGAATACCAAAGCTGAGACTACCACAATCAGAAAATAGTAGAAGTCTGATTACGGTACTTGTTCTTCTGAAACAATATTTTTACCATAATGGTTGAGGGGAATGTGAATATATTTTGAATTAGTATTATTCAAATAATCAAAAGTATTTATTAAATTCTATAATTAGGCAGCTTTATGAGAAAAATCTTGTGTTCGTGGTTTTTATTGACAAATTTTTCATATAATTTTGCATATTGCATCAATGTGATTCAATGCAAATCTAATGTCAAAAATTGCTAGTTGACAAAACTTTTTGTTCGTCAGTTTCTTAAAGTAAGCTGTGTCATGAGACTTTATCATCGATTGTTTTATTGGTTTCACATGAATTGCACATTTTATGGAAAACTCTCTGAATCATTCAATTCATTATTCAGTTATATTCATTCAGTTATATTGCATTGTGATTGTAAAAAATACCGAAGACGCCAAAGAAAATTTCTTTGTTGTAAAACAGTACATGGCTGTTTTTTGGTATTTTATAGTAAATAGTCTTGGATGCAAAATGTGTAAGAAAGGGGACTTTATGTCACAAGTACTTTATTTGAATGTAATATTTATATTTTATTATGGTAAATATTTAAGAAATTTGCTCTTGGCAAGGCTATTGATAAGCAATTACTTTATAATCAGATCTCAATCTAATACAATTTGCCTTAGACAGGCTGGTGTGTTTAGGAATACTCTTTTACTGAACAGCTTTCAAACTCCAAACCTTGCAACAGTCAACATGAGGTGTACATATGGATCGTTTTATTTAACTATCGTTGTTGTGTTAGTCTTGTCTAAGTGCTCCTGGTTGTTGTGGTATTTTCCCTCAATGTTTTTCATTTCAATTCATGGGAAGTTGACTGTCGTGCCCACGTATTTGAGATATCTTGTTAATTCTAACAACACATTAAAAAAAAATACCGATATAGTTCTTGTTATAGTTTATAATCTTGGATAAACCAATTAATTTTTATGGACGTTTGCAATAGTAATTGGCAGTTATGAAGAATGCGCTTTGGCTTAATAAGAATGAGTTCAATTGTTTTTATGCACTCAATTATTGAATATTACATTCGGTGACAATGATTTATTGTTTTAGTATCTATGTGTTTATTAAATATTGAAATTGTTATTTTTGTTACGAATAGATATTGAACATCGCTTCATGCCAGAAATACATATAAATCAAATCTATTAATGTGCATTGAATATGATCGGCATAAATGCAATGTAAAAATGTTCAAATGTGTTTCATATGGAGTACGCAACCGAGGTCATTAAGAACATATTCTGAAAAAACATCATCTTTGTGCAAATCATCCCAGATTACTGACATTTTTGGGTAGCCTACAATCATACGCACAGTTTAAAAAACATTTTCATATGCATAGAAGTAGGCTAATTAGGAATTTCATGGGTTTCCCCTTTTTTGGGTTACCCTGCGTTTTAGCGATATGATTTCTAACATAGAATCATAGATGTAACATGTAAGCATACGTTATATTTGAATGATGTCGCTCGTATATGTCATAAATTAGTGATTGATATCAAGCTTCCATTTATTTATTTTTGTAAAGGATATGTGTGACATGTGAGAATGATTCATTAACTATGTTGCTTAAAAGTTGTATTATTATCAATCCAATTAATCCTACAAGGTATGATCTCATTTACGTCATTCAGATTTTCTATATATAGTTTAGAAGAGTTCTTTCAGTTCATTACTTAGTCTTATTCATTTTTTTATATTTATTTCTATGTTGTGATAAGTTTTTTCTTGTCTCTTGTTTTTTGTCTAATTTTTCTTAAATACATAAGTCTCATATAGTATTTATTCTAGTAAAATCATGTATTATTGCCATCTATATTTCTGTCAGGAAACAGATTCGCTTTCATTTTTTACTTGTTTAATTAATGATAATATCAAAAAATATTCCCTTTTTCATATACCGGTATATTGATTTGCTATATTATGCCTTGTTTTGTTTCTATGTTTTGTTCACGTCATGATTAGGTATAATTGGCAGGTATTATTGGAAATATGTTAATAATAACTCTATAATATATTATTGCAATTATTATGAACACCTGACTATCAATATGTCCAGATAGGGGCAATTGATCACACTCATTTTGGGAACTATTTGGGTTCAATGTGAAAGAGTGTCTAATTTATGTAATATTTATATAAATTGATTGCATTCTAAAGAAATTCTCACTGGCGGAATAATCTTTATCTATTTATACTTACATAAATCTGTCAGTTTAGTTGTTTTATCGATATCAAGCTTATAACAAAAGAATTCTGTATATGGGTGTATTTAATGTAAGTCTTGTTGCAATCAAATCGATTCTCAGAATATCTTATTAACCAGGTTTGTTATATTTCAATCAGTGCTTATTTGAGTTTTTTACCTCATTGAATACACCTTTATTTGCACACCATTGCACTAATTACATCAAAGATCTTTTTACCTAATTTAATATGGAATTTATGAACAACCAGCATTTCCATGCTATACTTATTTATGTCATATGCTTATTATTAAAATTCCCAAACCATTGTTTTAGAATATTTTTTATATACAACAATGAATACTGAAACCTATACTATTATAGTTCAATGTTAATCATTTGGTGACTGATGCACAATGTCACGGAAAAACGTCAACGTGTTTTCAAGACAAAGAAGCTCTAGTTTAAAAGAAAAATTCTTTGCAAATAGGGACAGGAAAAAGTCACAAAGTACAAGAGCTCGAATACAAAGCACAGGAGGACGTAAGTTTCCCTTTTTTCTCTGTATTTCGCATGAATTTTTTATGGAAAATCTGTGCGCTCGTTGGTGGAGATAAGTCATGCACTCATTGTTCCAACTCTAAAATAAAAGGAGGAAGTGCGTAATGATTAGTTTCAGATCATTGTAGGACAGTCAGCACATTGCAACATGGCATCAAATATAATATGAGCTATTGTATCAGATATCAGTCAGATACGCTAGTCACTCAATGCACAGGGTTTATCGTACGGAAATTCCAAATAATTTAGTTGAATTATTTTATTTAAGAATGGAATGGAAAGATGGTGTTAGAAATCATTTTAAGGAATCTGAAATTTTATTATCATCTTAGCAATAGATTGGTAGCATTACCAATGTCTGTTATTTTACTTTACCTTGGGTTATTTGTAGTTATGAATAGTGTGTATTTAGTCTCTTTGCCACTAAATTATTACACATGCCTTTGAAGTTAATGTAAATTGATATGAAGTATTACTTAATAACAATTAAAATTGGTTTCGGTCTTTCGGGCATTCATTACTAAAGTACTTCTTCCAAGAAAATGTAATGATATTTATAGCCATTTGTCATACAGGGCACTGAGGGCAGCCCAACAGAAGGTTATCAGTTATTAAATAAATTACGGTAATTACATTTCATATATATAATATACCCGTCAGAGATTTTAATAATTATTTTCTAAACATCCAACTACTAATCAGAACAGCTTTTTATCCATTTTGGTTTTTTAAAAGTTTTTATGAAAACATGAGAAGTACCCAAATTACGAGTTTTTATGAATTTCAAATACACTTATGCCTGAAATTTTTTTTATTTTTATTTGGAGTACGAGTATAATAGTATGTTAATAAAAAACAAGTCACTGTATTGTGCTATTATTTGAGAAATGTTTGAAATGCTGTTAAGAGGATGATTTTAATTTAACGCTACAAGTAAATCTTTCCAATTTGGTTATTTTAATATTTTAAAACATTTTCAATTTATTATCATTTAAATGTTCATTCAGTAAAGACGTCTACAATCAAATGTCTTCCTGTATTGATATCTTATACATAATATAATTCTATGCAAAATATTTCTCTAATATACCGTAGCTATTATAAAAAACATATTACACAAACCGGAATCGGGATTAACTATGTCTTCTAGAGTCGAAGAACAAGATTTTTGGGATATTGTGTCTAAAGGTGGATGCATTGTATATATGATTAATGATTGTATGATTATATATATTTTCATAGGCAAAATTTGTGTGCCAAATTTACTTTCTATTGAAAATAAGTTTCTCTGGCATGAGTCAAGAATGGTGGTCAAAGAATTTGCCTTAGATGTTTGAGAGATATATTAGGCCAAGTTCATTTTTTATTTAAATATTTTACATAAAAATATTCATCTATATTAAAATATTTACTCATTATCATGGATTTTATTAACTCCTCTGCATTTTGTCATTTTCCCTAATTTTTCGTTTCATAACGATCAATTCGAAACATCTACGTTGAAATTAAATACTACCAATTTGAGGTATGACATTTAACTATGTAGTTATTTTGTTTTATTCTTCAAGATGTTGTTATGTTATGTTGTTACTTGTTGTTATTTCTAATTGATTGATTAATTGGATGTTTTTATAGTTATAAAAATTTACTATAAACTATCTATAAGCTTTGTTAAAAGTGACAAGATCATGTGGGAACATTCGAGTATAATCTATAAATTTCAAATTATGGTTATCGGCAGATAAGTTGTGCAATCTAATCATTTTTGTTGGGAATTAATTGGTCTTTTGGAACCAAATTATGATTACCGGTATTGAATTTTTCAAGGTTATTTGAACTCGTAACAAAATACATTTTTCTCAAATATATCATTTCAGATACGCTTTGAATTATATTCTTTAAATTCCTTCAAGTAGTTTGGTTTTTTAATCTGTGGTATTGTTATCTTTAAGTGAATCATAGAGTATTGACGTCATTCCTTTTCCATTTTCAGTAATTATAGCTTATCCTGACTAATGTTTACAACTCTATAAGGCTTAATTACAGTATTGGGTTTAATATATTTCGGAATTCATACATTTTCCCTCTATAGGTATACGTTATTATAATTTTTGTTTATAAATTAATCATCTCCCCTCAGGGGCTCTTTAGTATGCAAATGTATAATGTGAATTTTACATCATTTTAATTTATTTTATATTGATTCCTCATGCAACAAATTAGAAAATGCAGATTGTGTTTTATATGTTAGTATGATGAAAAGCACTTTAAATTAGTTCTAATACCGAAAATTGTGTTTTCTCGGCTCCTTATCTTTTTATTTCAGTAAACATGTACATTATATTGGAATTTTATATAGGACTAGTAAATCTAGATCAATTATTTCCAGTGTTAATTGGATCACGGTTCATGGTAATAAAAAATGTTGAATTTACGAAACAAAAAAATTGAATTATGAAATAAAATTTTTTATAATATAAAACTCATTAGAATTAAGTATTTCTGATGGATTATGACTTCAGAAGCAACTTTTTGCTATTTTACTTAATCTGCCTTGTAAGTTATTTTGACATCTCGGTGTAATGAATAGGTCTATTGATATAGGTCCAAATATTGATATATATATAGGTATAAGATGAAACATTGAAATATTAATATATCTATTTCTAATATTATACAGCTTCAAAGCCTATATTTATGTTTTCTTTATTCATAGCAAATAATATGACTAATTTTGACTGATGCAGAACAATAACTGGTTATTAAATTTGAAATGTTTGACCCATTATTTTGTTATAAAAACCAGTGCTGTATTGTCATATAATTAGAGTTAGGATGTTAATAAGTGACAGCACGGCCCTGTTAAAAACCAAAGTTATTATTCTTAAATGCAAGTATTCATATTTGTTGATAGTAGCATTAGAAATTGCCTTTTCTTTTTCTTTTATAGTGCGAACAGCCATACCATAATCTGACACTTGAGCTTTCACACATAAGTGTGACAGTATAAGAGCTTGTTATTGTCCTATAAACATACAAATGTTTTGTGATAAATTTTATATTATTTATAATATGTAATAAATTTGCTGAATAGCTAGACTCCAACCAACATTGTCATTTAGAACCCTGGAGATTTTCAATTTGATATTCTGGAGATTTTATTAATATTCTAATAGGATATATAAGGCAATAAAGTTAGTTAATGTAATATATTTCACTTCCTGTAATGTGATAATAATTTATAATCTCATACAAATAAAATGAATTTCTCTAGTAAAAAGTACCGTAATTCCATTTATTCAAATTTTAAAAACACCACTTTTTTATATCAGCAATTTAGTATTTTATTCAAAAAAAAAATTTATTCTACATCTCTAAATTATCTTTGACGTCAAAAACTCAGATTACTTGAGATTTGTCGCTTGTATGGGTATTTGTTTTTATCATACGGAATTGTAAAATCAAATAGATGGTATGATATAGATAATCTTGTAAGTACTAGATGATCAAAAATTGACGTCACAGTCGCTACCACAAATAATTGTGTCATTGTTTTATTGCCGTAAGCAGATATAATGATGACGCCTCGCCGTTCAACAACATATATCAATGTGTCTGTGTATATTTTTTAAGTACTTCGAATTATTTGTCATAAATCAGCTTTATTAATATTATTCCAATTTTGTTCATCAAGCAAATGAAGTAGGCTAATATGTCAAACTCTGCTTTGTTAAGTATGAGATTTTACTGTCTAATCTAGAAGTTTTATCCTGAAAATTAATATAAGCTACATGCAGGTATTACATAGCTTTCGGGAATACACTCATCATGATTTATGTAGAACAGTCAGAACATCGTAATACATTACTATTTGAATGCATAAAATTACAAAAAATATTTGAATTGAGAATATATTTTACAACTACCCAGAAATAATGTTTTGAATTTTCAAATAATACATTTTAATACTTTCTTATTCAGTGCGGTCATGTTCAGCATCAGAAGCACCTAGTCTTGTGTCTACCACCAAGTACAAGTTTGTCAAGGAGGCCAATGTACGCGTCTACACTCTTGACAACATGTCTCGTAGTGCCTGGGAGAAACTTATCAATCACACAAGGTTTCCATGGAGTTGGGACACGTTTACGGTCATCCTTGGGGATACAGAGTTGCATTCTCCCACGGTTAGTTATGACAACTTGTTGTTCTTACTCACCTTCGTCTGGAATGACTGATTTGTTTTCCAAACTATTTATAGATCCGATCGATGTATTATTAATGATCAGTAATTCGGTATTGCTAAGAAATTATGATAACATCTTAACATTTGTTTCCTTTTTTGGAATTTTTTCTCCATTTTATTACTAGGAATTGGAAGTTTTATAAAGAGTTTATTTTGGAAATTTCCTTGTCCAAACATATGACAGGAAATAATCCAGTATATCAACATAACATGAGCCGAATGTAATATTTTCAAGTACTTGGTTTCCATTTCGCTACTTGAAAAATGGTTCACGATCCTTGTTGCAAAATATACATTTTCAATTATACCAAAATAAGATGTAAGCCACATCTATAATAAATACATAATAGTCACCAGATTAGCTTGTTTTCAATTAACTAGAGCGTCTATTCTAATTTTGGTCAGCAAGTTCCTGATTTACCTATATTAATTAAAGTTTTGTTTTTAGCGTAGGTGACTCACTTCTGAATATAGGCTATGTATAATATGAGTGTTCCCAAATATCCTAATTTAATTAATATTTCATGTTTCCTTTATCACCCTCTGCCTCTGTTTTGACGATTCATGCGTGAATAATATGATATGGGTATCAAATAAACCAAATATGTTACATGGTATCTACGTAGTATTCTGATGACATTCACAGTTGTCATGAATGCAAAAATTGCAATGCACAAATGCATTAAATTGAGTTATGGGCAATTTAAGATATTTTTCAATTTAATATTATGTAATCAGGCTTCGTAAAGTTAGTTGATATCCAATTTTATCCGATCAGGCCCATTTCCATTATTAATAAATTATATTCGGCTGTGTAATGAATATGCTCAGAATAGAACCATCATCTATATAATATTTTTGGGCTTATTTTGTCACTCTAATTATTTACGGCAGGTTTTATAATTTGATTTTATTTCTAAGGTATTGGTGTCGATAATCGAAAAAATAATCACAATAATAAGATGCTATTTTTGTTTCATGAATTTAAGATGTAAAATTGATTTTTTTGTTATTTTTTCATTGCTTGGCGGCTTCATAAAAGTACTGTAATATTGACCGGGTTGTGCAATTGAAATCAGGGATCATAAACTGATTTGACATTTTCATTTCCTGCTGACTTCCTTCCTTAAAAATTCGTCACAAAAGTTTTATTTTGTGTTATTACTCCAAACATTTATGAAAACATGACCAATTGCTGTAACTTGATAAAATTTTCAATGCTTTTCATGCCGTAGCTTTATTTATTTGTGTCTTTACCAAGTGTAAAGTTATTTATAAATTGTTATTCTAGTCTATTGTTCATACGAAAATGTTTTTATAGCGTTCTGTTTGAGATACGACTTGGCTGTCAGTTTTAAAGTTTTGCTAAGAATAATATTCTTATTCTTTTCAAGTTTGTATTTATTATTATTATGCGTTTGTTTTTTGTTCGAATTCTTACATATAATTTTAAATTTACGACAGGCTGTTGGGGTATTTTCCGAACCTATTCCATACATCAATATAGATACATGGATGACCATCAGCATTCCTCATTTGTCTTTCCATCTTATAAAGCTCGTCTGTAACGATGCTTCCTACTTGATTCAGGTAAGTAAGCAGAAAATAATCAATTTATCAAGTTATTAAATTGTTGGCAATTAGTTAGATTATTTACTATTTTTCATCAATCAAAGTTTGAAACCTAACATTGGTGAGTGGTGACGTATTTGTTTGTGTGATCAATACTCACTTTTCATGACTGATGTATTAGATCATAAATTACTAGAAAATTTTACAAATTGTGTCTTTAAATTATGATGGATGTTGTTTTCAGTACAGTACAGTGTAATTCTTTAAAAATATTCTGTGTTTCTGAATTATTATTGACTAATTTCCTTGCATATCCCCAATAATCATGGTTAATAAACTGCTCCATGATAATGCTTGAGAAAAATAAAACTGGAAAATGTAATGTTTGTTATAATACTCTCTGTAGTCTGTATTCCATCCCAGAATGCGTTTTAAAATATTTCTTCTGTTTTGCATTTAAAACTGAATTGCATTATAGATCACATTTAGGCAGGGATGTCCAAAGTGAAATGGATATCAAATTTCATGTTTTGAATTCTTGATTTTTGACCAATTGAGAATGGTTCTTTTTCAAAAATTATCATTTTGATCATTTGAAGTCTCACATTAAACTTTACTGCAAACTGCAAACTCATGAATATTTGTTGACATGTATGTGTTCTCTGTTGAAACTAGCCCAATTTAGTATTTATTCCATTTAAAAAATGTCATTCAAAATGTATTCGGTTTTTGGGTTATTATTCAGTTTTGGTCATTTTCGGAATTAATAAATTAGTCAATCAACTAACCAAAATTCTCTTCCTGATGGATGTGTATATACATTGTACATTAGACGAATAGTTCAAAACCGTCATTGTCAATAAGTCATTCCTGCACTCAGATGACATGGTCTGATTAATTAAAATCTGTATTTCCATTGTTAAAACTTAAAGGCAATTATTATATCATATTATATACGGTATTATCATATACCATTATTATATCATATATCTAATTATAGCTTTCACTAACAGCTTATTTAAAGCATGTTTGATCATAACATAACAGCAACTGTTGCAAAATTGTCGTTCGTTACTTAGTTATTACAGAACTATCTTTGTAATCCACACCCCAAAACACAGTGATATAATCTGTTTGGACTCCTCCTGTATTTTTCGAGTTGTTTGGACTTTCTGCTAATTAATCAAATTTTTAAACAAGGCATACTTTGTACCGTGGGTTTCGTTATATGAATAGTTTATATCATCAGTATTAATATATCATTCAATATTAAGATAAATTAATCCTATACCAATACGTTTATGCGCGTTTCAAATATAGGTGTGTGATAGGGCAATGAATAATAATATGGAAATATTCTCATTGAAATAATGTGCAGCTCTGGAAGAGTTTAAATTACAAAGACACTGTATTCAAGCCTCAACAGTATTTCTAAAATGACTTCCATTTAAATTATGAAAACTGTAAAAAAAATATTGAGAATCAATCAAATCATTGTCTATTTAATTCTCTTTTATGTAACAATTCTAACTCATCAGGTATACACTCACCTTCATGTGCTCTTCGTTAGACATGGCTCAATTTAGATGTATTCGATATTCAAAAATATATTTCAGAATGTATGGTATATGTAAATTCTTTGGTTTTGGCCATCATTGGTCTGGTCTGGGCTGATAATTTATACACCTGACGCTGATTAAGAATTTTAATTCTTCATTCGATATGCCAATATTATCAAATATAGTAGAATTTACTGCTTTAATAATACTGCATGTACTTTTAGTAACATTCATATTTCAATATTATGTTTATATCTATCTTTATCTCTTCAGGCACCTGATGCATATCAAAGAGACAGATTATTGCACTCTGTTGAATGGAAGGTATGGTATTATCAGTAGATTTTAATTTTATTTATCATTATCAGGGAATATATCCACCAGCAACACTAATTGGCATAAGTGCCATGTCATGATGTCATCTTTGGAAATATAGTTTAATATTATTAATTCTCTTTAATTTAATTTTCACATTTGTACTAAGGAAAACCTTACTTTCGAAACCTAACTCACATCAATCCTGCATGATGCAAATTTTTTTATGATGTATTCATGTTAATGCTACTCTTTGCCGAGTTTCAAATGCAATTGTCGAAACAAAGTGAACTCTGTCTGTCTAGCTTCCAAGCTATAAATAACTCTATAGACTTTGACATTTCAAATTTGTCTTCGATTTATAATATGCAAATTTGATTTAAGAAGATTGTACATGCGATGGGAGCGATGGGCCTAACTGTCTAAGGCAGGGCAACATTTTTTGTCGGTGGGCCATATAACTAACTTCAGACATCTAGCTGGGCCACACAAATAATTTAGATGGAGGGCAAGAGGAGAGAATGTGGATATCGCTTTATAGCCTAACAGTAATCAAGGCACTGGGAAAAAAAAGAAAAAAGATTTAACATAGTGACAAGAGCAAAATGCATTATGTGTTTTCACCCACGTGAACGTCTTTTCAAACATAAAGTAGGATTATAATTTTATGCTTGATGGGGGAAATCTGAGTGATGAAAAGGGCCACCATCTTTTGGGAATATAAATTTTAATTGTGAGCATTAATCAAGAGATAATGTTAGGTTTGCTTTTTGTTACTTTTATATTTTTCTGCATTCTTATTTTAGGCTCTCCTAATTTTTGTTATAGGGCTAACTGTATTAAAATTATTACGCCAAGCAGTGCAATGCATATATTTTTCATAGGGCATACTTGTTTAATTTTAACATGTTCTTGTTTTTTTTTTGTGTCGATTTTGATTTATCTAGAGCTGTGCTGTGCAGCGTTGCAAGAAATAAACACTTTTGCAGTAATAACACTCAATGAAAAGAGTTTTTATTTTGAATGAAACAATCTTGATTAAATTTTATCTTATTTTGGCAGAAAAAAGTTTGCAAATACAAGAAAAGTCTGTCTTCTAGTTCAAAACCAGAAACTACATTACAGGAACTGCAGGTTGGCTTTATTATCTATTAATAATAAAAACACATTTTTTCTAAGAACATTTACCCACTCACTCAGAAGTAAAGAAGACTTATACCTGATCGAGGTTATTAACAACCACTGAAATGTGAAGGGCTACTGAAAAATATATCATTTTATGGTGGTGCATTGAGTGTAAGCAAGTACTGATTGATCTTGAAAATTTTAACAAATCATTTTATAATATAATCAGGAAGACAGTTATGAGAAAGTGAATTCCACGTAACTTGGCAAAACGTTTCCACGTTCTTGGGAAAAATTTCTTGGCAATCAATGATTTTTAATATTTTCCTTTATTTTAGTCTTGTGCGATAACACTAAGTCAATTTTCACTTTTGAGTAAATATGATTCATTTGACGTCAATTTTATGTACTTCCTTGTGTTGTTGACAATTGCATGTGACATGAATCACGCTTCCGTGTTCCAAACGCTTAAGGAAAGTACCTTGGCGTATTGGTAAATTCGCCTTTTCAATACTATATGCGAAATCTATGAATTGTCCATTGGCATACTTTGTATTGATCAATACATGAAATTTATTTTGGGCCGTTTTTGTTTTATGCACAAAAAAATTTTATTTCTGCTATATTGCAGACATATTTCCGCTTTTGCAGTCTTTTATAAAAAAAAATATCATAATTTCCTGATCTTCCATCGCATTTATAATTTTTGTATCTAGTTCCCATCCTTGATAATAATCCAAATTTTCACATTTCTGATAAAATTTTTTTTTTTCAAAAGTCTATTTTAAAGTTTATGAATAAATTTTTCATGAAATTTTTGAATATTTTATAAATGTGAAAAAAAGACAGATATAATGCACTTTACAATATAATGGAAGAGGGAAAAAGGGTGTAATTTCTGCAAGCCATAAAGTATTTATGTGTGTATAAATAGAATGTGTATTTATGAAGCTTTGATAATATGTTTAAAAACGACTTGGTTTGGTAGAATTATATGATTTTCTTTGTCTCATCGCGACATATTAGATGGCAGCATGGTTTTTTGGACCATTTCATGCCCCAGAAATGTTGATATTTCATTTTAGACCTGACATTGAATATTTTAAAGATTAATGGTTATTGCAAATCGTATTTTGTTCAAACTGCAAAACAACGTGAGGTATAACATTTATTATTACCGTTATTATATGACTCTACCGAGTACCAATAATAATATATATCTGTAATAATGCCCACAAATTTATTTCAGAAATTAGTCAAATTGACTCTTGATGGACCGTTGTATATTGATGATACTCACAATACATTGTTGGATATTGTATCCAATCTAATTTCCAGAGTAAGTATTGTACTTTATCAATTAAGCTTCAATAATTCAACAAAACAATTTGCATCCATTGAATTTTACCAAATTGATTGAATTAAATAGTAAATAATCTAGTCTTTGATCACTTGTTCAAAGCCTTGTTCAGAGTGAAGGTTCAAAACCTGCGAAAAAAAAAATTGTTTCATAGAAATATTTGAAATAGCTTTATTTTAGTACAGTATATCACTTAACTGATCGGTTTAGGTAAAATAAGGTTCAGAGTTGATGTTTGGAAAAAGTTTGTTTTTAGAATTAATGTAACTGAATTTCTGTGTTTTTTTAGTCAATTTATGATCTAAAATCTGTGACATTGTGATTTTGTTACTAAATAGAGAAGATACCATACAGCGATGTCCCAAATAAATCAAATATTTGAATACATTCAAAATTAATTATGCTCGACTTATTGTTAAACAAATGCTAGTTAAAACAATATTAATCTCAATTATTCTGCATAAACAAATTTAATTAATTTTTTCTCATGTGGAACAGACCCATTTCAAAATATATTCAATGTTTTATATTGGATAAGAATATATTCTGAGTACTGAATTATGCGGTTGTGGTCATCCCAAATAATATAATTATTTGATGAAATTATTAATTCAATTGAATGTTATGAATGCTTATTCTGAATCATTTTCACAGCAAATCTGTTTATTTTTAGTCCAACAATTCATCCTCTGATAATTTATTTAGTGTTTATTCTACCATGAAGCCATTACTCTATTATATAACAAATTACCCATAATTTTACGGATAAACGAACCATGTTTGTCTCATTTTCCGCATATCTTCGTCATAACCCTTTCAAGTGTGTAATTTTCCTTCCGGCATAATCAAGTACCGTAACCAAAATGTGCATTCAACCATTAAGTTTTGTTACTACTAAATAAAAATTCCGCAAAATTGAACACAATATGTCATTTTCAATTTGCAGCGTTACATTATGTTCTAGTCAATTTTTCTTTTAGATCCCATTGTTAACCCGTTATCTTTGATTGAAGATTGCAAATAATAATTTCCTATTAATTATTTATTCAGAACCAGGATGTGGTCAACTCAGTGTCGAATGAATCTTTGATAACTGTAAGTATATATCATGATCAAAGAAGGCCACTTTTTAAATTTTTTTTCATATAATGATTTTCAAACTGGGCGATATGGCCCTAATGGGTGAAAAAACCCAGAGGGGCGTTATCACATTCTCAAAAAAGTCAGAAATATTGTGACATCTGGAATATACCAACTCATTTCACTGGAGTAAAACTATGAACATCTCTTTAATATCAGAACACTGGCTTATTCAAGATCGTACTTGATCAGAATGTCTCCAAATATCAAAATATTGAAAAATCATGATCTTCGATTGGTCTACTTGTTTAATTGGATTTGTAATAAATTGGTTTCTAACTTTACGTTTTATTTTGTATTATGCTCTGGTGGAGAATGATATATAGAGAGGGGACGACGGTACTCATACTTACTATGTTTGTTGTTTTTTGGCTCAAATAAAACTTGTTCATATATGTATATATATATGAAACTTCTGCTTTGTAAACTTTTCTTTCTATCTAGCTTTTTCCATGGCAGCGTTGACTTGAATTGTTTCAAGTTTCATGTTAGCAATATCTATTAGAATCTATAAATTTGAGTATCAGGATATTTTGCTCTGCCATATTGCGGAGACAAAATGATGCAATGTGCTTCCTACTATTAGTCATGAACAATATCACATTTTTTTGTCTATTATATAAAGCCGGAACAAAGTATTATTAGTCGAAAATGATAATAGATAATCTTGAATTTAAAATCTATTTTGGATAAAAATAATAATACATACAATTTTTGATTTTAATCTTATTTTCAATAACGTCGAACATCGAAAGGTGGTCTATAAATATTTTAAGATTACCGAAAATAATTTAAAACTTTGTTTGTCATTTTCTAAGACGCTTCGGTATTTTATCAGGATATCTATCTTTACCCCGAGGTTATGTGTATTTTAGATTTAATTTAATACTCAAGATAGATTTGTCATCATGCTTATCTGATGGTGTGCATCTTGCATATTGAAAGCGGAATTCTGGTTGGAAAGAGCATGGATTAGGGCTTTATAAGGAAAATATACTTGATTTATCCTTCGAAAATTTTATCTCCATTTGATGAGTTTGCTCTGCTAGGTGCAAATTTTTGTATCTTTTAGTCAATATGTTCAGCTTGTGGCCTAATGGTTGAAGGCATTAGTATGATGGCATTGTAGATTAAAATCTCTGGTTCAAATCCCATGCCCACCACCCCAAGGTATGATAAATTGTGTAGGCAATGTCAAAGCAAAAAGTCATTTTTCTTTTTTATATTTTAGACGTTAGCACCACTTTTTGAGAAGAACGAACCTTCAATCGAAATATGCAATTTTTTCACAAAGGTAACGCTGAATTTATGTGTACTTGTTATTATGTTCAACTTTTTGACTAGTATGGTGTATAAAATAATAATACCTTCAAAAAAGACGTTTTCGAATTGTTAAAGTAATTTGGAATAGTTCGTTTTTATAAATTTTCAAATCACTATTCTTTTTCTGCAAAACTCACAATTTTGATGGTGACATCATGGTGATTATTATCATGAAATTCATGATTATATTTAAGGTACTTTATATTAAAGAGAAAAATTTCGCATACATCGTGATTTTTTCGCATAATAAATAACTTTTTTCACTCCAATTCAAAATTAATATCAAGATAGAATTTTAAAGTACCACACTATTCGCGATAATATCGTAAAATATCAAGATATCATTGACAGGGACAAATTTTGAAAAGATTTGTTATATCTTTTCATATGCTGATGCAATACATCAAAAAATTAAATTGTTCGTGGCTGAGCATGAGTAATACTTTGATATGATGGTTTGAAAGATTACAAGAATTGTAGAACTGAAATTACTGATTTGTCAGGATAATTTGTTTATATATAAACTCATTTTAAAAAGAATTTGATGCTTCATTTCAAAAATTTATTACATATATATTTTTTAATATTAAAATTAGGACTGCCTCATGGCTCATAAATAGGTGCAGCGTATTGAAACTAGGGACTGACACAAGGGTCATGAATGGGTGCAGCATATTGAAACCAGGGACCACCCCAAGGGTCATTAATAGGTGCAGCGCATTGAAACTAGGGACCGACCCAAGGTTCATGAATAGGTGCAGTGCATTGAAACTAGGGACCGCCCCAAGGGTCATGAATAGGTGCAGTGCATTGAAACTAGGGACCGCCTCAGGGGCCATGAATAGGTGCAGCGTATTGAAACTAAGGACTGCCACAAAGGTCATGAATAGGTGTAGTGCATTGAAACTAGGGACCGCCTCAGGGGCCATGAATAGGTGCAGTGCATTGAAACTAAGGACTGCCACAAAGGTCATGAATAGGTGCAGCATATTGAAACTAGGGACTGCGCCAAGGGTCATGAATGGGTGCAGCATATTGAAACTGGGGACTGCGCCAAGGGTCATGAATGGGTGCAGCATATTGAAACTAGGGACTGCGCCAAGGGTCATGAATAGGTGCAGCGCTCTTTAAAACAATCATTCATCCAGCAGTGAAATAATAACTGTCTTTCACTTGTTATCACCAGTTACTATTAAAGGAGTTGCTATATGCTTAACAATAAGTGGTTAATTTATTTAATTCTTTTACAGCATTGTCGGGATTGTCCTCGTTCAAGAGTGGTTATTGACATGTTCATGCCGGTTGTTCTACGAATTCTAAAATACAACACGGTATGTCTTGTTTATGTTTTGATCTCTTATATGTAGGTATGTACATAACTTTATACTTCTAATCTCCTTGTATATCAGATTAGAATAGATCTGAAAACGAGATAGCGAACTGTTTGTATAATCCTTGTGTAATTACAATGTAACGCTTTGTTCACTTGTTAGATGTTATTAAATTTTACCTTTCATTTTTCACTAGTAGGTCTGACTCTAAGAATTTACTGTCTTGGCTTTATTTGATTCGACATATTGATTCGCCTATTGCTCTTGACAAGGCTCTGCATAAGTGGCCATTGCTAGATAAGGATCTACTATAGTTTGGAAACACCAGATTCTTTCCGGTTTGGCATTTTGATATGAATTTGGAATTTTTAGGTTTGGACTGTTGATGGGTGATAGATGCTTCCAGTCAATTCTTTCTGTTTTTTTTTTGTTGGCCTTCGCTGGTCCCTGGTTGCTTTCACATTCCCAGCCTTTTTGATAGTTTCTGTGATAGCTCCAACAGCAACCGTCTCATGTCACAGGTTATTTAAAGCTATTGGATTATTTATATTAACATTTAGAAGCTGTATTTGATGGCCATGTTATCTCATGTAGGCTATTTATTATATTGACCATTGTCATCCAGTAAACACCATTGTCACACGATTATATGAGATGCATTATCTTGTGCCATGACCATGCTGCAATCCTTAGAAGCAAGGATAGCAGTGGCATCAAAATGCAGTAGGTGGACAAAAATTACCCAAACAAAATAATATAATATCAAAAAATTTTTTTTTTTTTCAAATTTCAGTCATTAATTTTCGGGGATTACACTCATTTCCTTTTGGAATCGTTCCCCGAATATTCAAAATTGTCATAATACATAGTTCACAAATAGGAAATCTAGAATGCCACCACTCTGCTATGTCTGTTTGTGTTCCTTGTGAATCAAGGCGTAGAGAAGTTGTTTAAAAAGATTTTTCATTTTACTTTAGAATTATGGAAAATCTATGTGGCTTCGAACCTTTGTTAAAGAATATATTCAAGCACTAAGCATGCAAAATGATGGGGAAGAAGCTGTTCGAGCGTTCGTTCGCAATATTCATGGACCACTGAGTGTCTGTCCTCATAATCGCATATTGAATAACCTCGTTGCAGTTTGTTTAGCAGCGATTTATGACAGTTTTTCATCTGATAGGTGTGGATTTTTATGTAACGTTTGTATATCATCCCCAAAAAATTGAATTTAGAATTTTCCTCAACAGATCAATAAATACTCCTCGACAACAATATGACAGTGTTCTTTTTTTTAAATGAGACCCTTTTGACAAAATTTATGTTCCCTCTAGAACTGGAGTGTGCAACCTGCGGACCACACGGGCCAAATATGCCAATTTTGAATGGTGTGTGGCCCGCACGTTTAATCTGGAACGTCTGAGTAATCCCGATTCCTTCGCGTTGCGCAGCCAATACTTGAGTCCAATTTATGCATATGGCGATGCACAATGCTAGCTTGTGCGAAGTGAACAACGCATTTCATAAGATCAATAACCTAAATTTTTGTGCCTGAAAGCCTATGTTTAAAAAGGTGTGGCCCGTGGTTTAAACCAGTTACTGGTATCTGGCCCTCCTGTACTAAAGGTTGCACACCTCTGCTATAGAATATGTTTCAAATGTTCACCCTCAATTATATGAAAAAATACTTACAATACGACACATACTTGCTTTAAAATGTTCATCTTTTGCTTGAGAAATAAAACATCCATATTTTTAGTGACAACAAAGTTGGCAAGAAAGGCAAACATCATGGGAACTTTATTCAAAAAAATCTGGTATCAAGATCTCGAGAAAACTCCAACACCATTGAAAATTGTAATGATGAAAACAGGGATCCACGGTCAACAACTTTGAAAGACTCACCCAAAAATCAAAACGTTCCTGAGAAAGAACTCTGGGACATTGTCGCTACAAAATACAGCAAAAATGCAATGACAAGCAAAAACAATAACGTCGTACCAGAGGATGAACCTGAGAAATTACAGACTAGCAAAATGAATGTGATTCATAATAATGAACAAAAGAATCCACAAGAGAAAAATGCAGAGGAATCATCTCCTGATATCAAAACGGCAATACTTTTTGCACAAGTCTTAGATGAAGTGTGAGTGTTATTTGACTGTCTATTTTCTAAACTCCAGGTAGTTAAGGTGTAGTTCTGTGGTTCCTAACCATTTTCATTAAATTCCCTTTCTTCCTAGTTTCGAACTTTTTAATCATACTTACTTCACATTTAAACTACTTTATTTGTTTGATCTTTATAAGATTCTTAGCTAGTGTTATGTGCAAGTCGCATTTGAAGCGTGCATAAATATTATAGTAAAAGTATTGAAGTAAGAATAAGTAACTAAGAGTACTAGTAATACTACAGCGAATACAAAGCAAAATTCCTGCATAAAATGGAAAATTTCTTTCTTGGGAGGAATTCCTTTTCGAATGGGAAACGTTCGTGTATTGGTTAGCGTTCAGTACATTTTCCAGGATGTACCTATCCTAAGTAAGCGACTGAGTAGTTATCTATCTGAGCCTTTTCCGAACAACGGCATGAAAACTTTCAAAATTTGAGCAGTGTTAATATTATCTGAGTGAATATCAAAGTGCCAATGCTTGATGCTTTGCCAACATTTCATTTTGGCTTCCCTTCACACCACTGTCTGATTGACTTCCTTCATAGTATCACATCTTGTGAAGGTATTTTGTGTGAAAATATTGCTTGAGTCTTCACTGAATCGTTCACAAAGCTATTGTGGCCAATCATTTCTAATTTTGTTCATTGTCCAAAATTATACATTTGCAACGAGTTATTATCAAGCTAGAACTGAATGGAAGCCATATGAAAAGAATGTATTTTTGATATAATTGAGCCGCTTTATTGATATTTTTCTACTTGGGATGAATGTGAAAATCTTACGGATTTGTTTCTCATCAATGCAATATCCATCCTTTTTTCTCTATTTAGTTTCCTGTACCCTTTAGTTTTCTATTCTAAATAATTTGACATATTGTATTTTATTCCAGATCATCAATACCTGATTGGCTGTCTGCACTAGCTGTTATTCTTCAGCCTGTGCCATTTCAGAAAATGTAAGTAATTAGTTTAATTATTTGTTCATGTGTGGATTGTTCAATACCTAATAATTCAAATGTTTTTATAAAGAAATTTAAATGTGGCTGATTAAAAGCCGTATCTGAGTTTTAAGGACTGAGAATGATTATATATAACATGAATAAGTTTTATGATTATATAATGCATATGGACTAATTGTTATGAGATTATTCTTATGTTAATACACAAATTCTGACCCTGTAGTCAATCAAGCTAACCACCTAACCTACTGATTCTTGAATTTTACTCATAAGAGGTATTTTTGAGAAATACAAAAAAAAAAACTTAGTTTTTAAAAACCAATATTTCTGACTGTTGCATATTTTGTCATTTTTCAGAGCTATGCAAGATGAAGACTTTTTGAGGTGAGGACAGTTATGCTTATCATGTATAAAAATTGATTTAATCAATTTTCTGGGTAATGGAATAATTTGTCTTCCCCTAATTGTTTGAAATACTCTTTCTTGTTGCTGCAAAAAATTGATCCATTTCAATTGTTTGAAGAGAAGATTTATTGTGAAATAGATTGAGTGCCCTGCTTTCTCTTTTTGTGTGACTTCAATATTGAACAATGCTTAAAATATATACGTAGGCTACATGTAGGTCAACTCCCGACCAAATGTTAGAATTACACCAAATGTCATATGAAGGCTTCCCAAGCTGGGGGTTGCAACCTCACAGGAGGGCACACAACAAATTTCAGGGATCGCAGAGAGTTTAACAATTTCACACAAAGTACTACATCTATTGTACATTTTTAGACTTTTGATTCGAAACACAATTATTAAAACTAGTGCAAAACATAAATCTCTCGATTTCTATAGAATAGATATGATCAGAGAAGCTTGCATAACAATGCCGACTTTGGTCGTAAGACCCGCTGCACTACTCGGAACAGGGGGTCGCGGAAAATTTTAATATATTTGAAGTGGTTGCAAGCTTAAAAGTTGGGAAGCCCTGATATGAAGGACTCTTGAAGATTGAAATAAACAGTCTTTTGATATCTTCGATCTTAAGTATTGAAAATTTGAAATCTATGGATCTCTAAGTTCAATTCTAGTGCAATAAATAAATATCATTCTATTCATTATAGATACGTTGTTCAAATTATTGAAAGAATTGCTGCAAATGGACAAGACAAAGTTGTTTGGTGTCTTACCGGTGTCAGAGAGCAAAAAGATGGCTGGTTGCAAATATTCAGTCCTCAAAGTAATTTATGCCAAGATGAAGGCGTTTTGTTCACAAAAATGGTTAGTCTCAGAAATACAGAGTAATACGATTCAGGTTTTTTATCAAATATTCGAATACATTCAAAATTGGTTTTAGTTTTATTCAATAAGTAAATTTTTGATTTGCTGAATAATTTGGCGCTCCAGAAGTATGTGTACTACCAATATGGAGGTAACTAATTTTGTTCGCCTATTTTTGATCAAGTTGTGTAAAGGGACGGAAGCCTATGGGCAGGGGTATATTCACTTGGCTAACACCTACAGTCCCTGAACTCATAATAAAACTAAAATAAGGAAAATCGGAATAAAATTATGGCCTAATCCTAAATGGGTTCACATATTACAAAAGCACAAATAATTCTATGAGTTTCATTTGAAAATTTGTTCAAGACAAAAAAATACACTTCGCTCAAGTTCTGGATATGCAAATATCGAAATCAATTGGAATAATAGGAGTGTTGCCTATTTTGTTTATAGAGATGATATTCCTGTTTTATGCTTTAATTGAATTTTTCACTCATAACATTATTCTCTCCTTTATCTATGTTCGTCAAAAGTCAATTTTTTCCCTCATTTAACCAAAACCTTATAATTAAAATAACATCTTTCTTTTTACAACCTAGACAACAGCTCTCCTTGCATCAGCAAAAAAGACATGCAAAGTAAAGAAATTTGTCACAGTATTAGTGAATACTTGTCTCGATGCTGTTCTGCTGCTCGCTTTGAGGGAATCGGATATTATGAACGAAGTAAGTTGATTGTAAAAGGAATTATTTGTTTGAGTATTTCATGTTCACGTGTTATACCATTGAATAATGCCATTATTTTAAATGTTCGAGAGTTCGGTATGTGCCGTAATGGTAAATCAAAATGAGACAATGCATATAAGCTTGGTTCAAACTGTACCAGAAGCATATATAATATGAAAATTACCATGGGTTACATCGGTCTCTATAGTGGCATCATTGTACACAGAGGCGTGCAAAACTTTTTATGGCCCAGGTCGAGTTTCTGTTATTGATGCCCTTAATACTTAACTTCAAAAGTTATTCGGGAGATAAACAAAGTACGGATGTTTATATTGATGTTTAAAACATGTTGATCGGTATTTAAAAATGTGCATTCAATTTACTTTTACTTTATAGTAATTGAATCGCTGCCCTTGGATCATTTTTAACAAAGTAATCTCAATTCCTCAGTAAGAAAAACCAGGAGTCGTAGTTTTTTTATATTAAAAATTTTTCAATAGGTTTTATGCCTTATATTGGAATACAATCTTGCTGAGGGTCAGCGGAAAATTCAGATTATCTCAACATTGAGAGGAACCACTATCGGGAGTGATTTCTACGAAAAATTATGCAAACAAGAAATGATTTTGAGACAAAAAGGTGGACCAGACGAATTCACTTTGCCACCTAGATCAACGGTATGAAACAGTTTTGTAGTCTTTTGTCTTGGCCTTTTCTTGAATTGAATAATGGGATCAGTTGAGCGTCAAAATGCATTTTTATAAAGTACAGTGAGTAAGTTGGGGCCAGGGCAGGGGTTGGCAAAGTTTTTTTGCAATGGCCGCATTTGATTTGTTTGGCAAAGTGCTGCATCGAGAAATTGACTGTGGTGTCACTGTTACTATTCCCATTTGCTATGCGAATATAAGGTGGCTGACATTGTTTACCCAGAGATGGAAAAAAACCTTAACGTTTTTTTGACAATTCATAGTTTACATATTTCAAATGAAGTTTAAAAATAAATTTTGTATGTAGTCGTAAGAAAATTTAACGACCTTTTCAAGAGCAGTGTGGCCATACAAAATGCTTTGCAGCCTGTGGGCCATAGATTACCCTTGGTCTGGGGAATGGCAATACTTCCATCATCAATTCTATCACTGTCTCATTGATCAAGCTAGATCTTTTGACAATCTTTATCGTGTCCTGATTAACTGTTGACACATCTTAGTAAGCATTAGAAACACACTTCGTCTTGCACCTGTGAACCTCATGCACACGCTTGTAGATTGTAATTGCGTGGCCGATAATTGTGTGCAAGAGGCCTGGTAAGGATGATTCACCTAATTTTTTGGTCAGTTATGGCTTCCTCAACCATCAAGTTCATGCACCTGAAATGAATATTGGTTACACCTGTTCCATACTCGATTTAAACTGGAAAACGGATGATTGATCGTATGCTTGTCTAAAGTTTTGTTTCTAATGAAAAAGAGAAAAATGGCACTTATAATGCACAATTTCATGTTCTAATAAAAATGTGCTTCTTCTTTGCAGGATCAAGATCTTCACAAATTTCTTAGCAGTGGTTCCTACGGTAACCTGAAAAATCTTAATCTTTCGTTCACAAGAATCTCATGTAAATCAGCAGAAATCATCTCGAAACTTCCTTCGCTACAACACTTGAACTTATGGTCAAGCAGTGTAAGTCTGTGCATTGATATTATTAGACTTGTACTACTAATTTAATATTGGAATTTAACTTATTTATTAAAAATTCTCTTCAGATTCAAGATCTGGGATTGCGAAGATTGTGTGAAAGTTTGAATTTAACGTCGTTGAATTTATGTGAGACACATGTGGGGGATGATAGCATAAGATGCTTGAAAGGTGATATATTATTTTCTGATTAGGAGGTTTTGCTTTGTCACTTTGCAAGCCTTCTTAAATTTTCTTTTGACAATGCTGTGGGAAATATCGCCATTAAATGTATAAATTCTGACTCATGAGCTTGAAGTATTCATGATTTCTACAAAACTCCCGGAATGAAAAGAATAGTTTCATCAAAATTATTTGATCCAACATTCCAGAATAGTTACATTTATATTAGACATTATCAAAACAGATAATCTCTTTAGGAGAAAACTCAATGATTTTTTTACTAACTAATTTCATAAAACAGATAGAAACACTGATTAAAGTACATAATAGTGGATCATGGTAAGAAAGAAGTAATCAACCAATAGTACCACCAGTGTAGAATTTTTTTTGCTTATCCTCTGGTCAGCTGTTGAGACGTTTTATTCATATGGCAAACTATTACCTGTTATCATCCCATGCCTGGCATGAGAATAGTTATTCCAGATGGACTTGTTGGTGAAAGAAGTTGTAAACCTAACACTGGTAACATGAATTACTCTACAACAACAGCTAGGAGTCCAGTTATACCCTTAGGCATAATTATCTCTCATGGTATTCGAATCTTTGGGCCTACTCTGGCAGTTTTTTGATGATTTTTTCAAAGCACCAGCCATTGTACCCTATTTTAATATCTGTTTTTGTTTTATCTATAGATATGACCAACCTGACGAATCTGAATTTGAACAGCACTGAAGTTTCCGATACAGTTTTCCAAGAGTTGCGAAGATCTCTTCCCAATCTTGTCAAGTTTGACGTTAGTTATACTTATGCCTGGCCTGCGACACCAGAACAAATACAATCAAACAACGCTATACCTGCAAAACCATCATCAGATCCTCCAAAAAAACTCGAGTACAAGCAAAACGTATAGTTTTTTCATGCCTGATTCTTCAACATTTATGCTTTTTTTCCTATATTTGGATTGTCTATTTTTCTTGGTAAAACAGCCTTGCCATTTTAATTCGTCTACTTTTTTGTACTTTGTGTTATAAATGGAATCTGTGCTGAATGACAGGATATAAAAAGTTAATTTCAGTGAACAATCTTCGCAATTTGATATAGATTGATTAGGGGTTTTCATCATATTGTATCCCAAAGCGAAATTGAAAACAATCTGTATGCATATTAAAATAGGCAATTATTGATCACAGACTAGAGTAGTCAAGTAGCTTTGAAAAACAACTCATTAAAATTTGAACCTTTTCATTTCCGAATGTGTTACAGCAAATTGAATACTTATACAATTGACCAAATAACATTATACCCAGGTTCTATATGATTTCACGTAAGTGCAACAATTTTTTTTTGCTTTTAATTTTTTTTTCAATAATGCATATTTTTTAATGCTAAGTTTTGTATTCAGAAATCATGTTACTACATTATTAATATTGTCTATTTTTGTAGATAGAGTGTTTGCCCTAATTACTTAATTTTTTTTGTGTTTAAAAGAGCATTACGTTTTGCAGCTTTCAGCTCAATACAAATTCTTGATTTTGAGCAACTTGTCCCTTCTAATAAGCATTTATTCTAATATGCTTCATCAATGTTTCCCTATTTCTTATTTATGTGTGATTTTTAATGTAAATTCACAGGACTGAATATTGGGGAAATTAGCTCTAAATGCGTACTTGATTTCCAAATGTTTGTAGGCTCGATTGTTTTGAATGCTTTGCAAACTATGATATGTAAGATAATAGTTAAACAAGATAATAAAACAGCATGATTATATGGTGCATCAAAGCATAGTTGGGATATGCCACATTTGGTCCAACGATGAATAAAACAATTCACAGAACAAAATCCAGGGGCAAAATAATTCTCTTTCACACGATTATCTTTAATTTTAAAATAAAGTGATAATATGTAGCATGGCTGTGGGAAAATTACACCAGACTCGAAGGGATCATTCAAAAAATGACTCGGGCTCTCACTTCAATGAGATTTTGACTCTCAATACGAGCTCTTACAAAACCATATTTTGTAGCAAGTTTTGGAGTATGCTAGCCTTTATATTTGTCTTTATACTTGAGCATCTCCATACTTTTTGTTTCTCCCGTGAATTTGACTTTATTATAATGTCCGACTCCCATGAATTTAATCATAAGTAAGAAAATACCACCTGCGGTGGTCAATGGTTCAATGCCAAGTTTATGAGGCTTAGCCGTGATGAGTCTTAGTTTATATTTTACAGAAAAACATGATCAAATTGCCTCCTGCAATTCATTGTTTTCAGTATTCGATATTCAGAAGTGTTTTTTCTCAACTTTCTTTATACGGAGGGCATTTCGCAAACAATTTTTTTCTTTTGGCCATCTCAATGATGTGCATATCAGCTAGTTCTGATAAAATAAATGTGTTCAAAAACATTTTGATCTCTCAGTTCTGTGCCACAAAATAAGGAATGTCTGTGTGGAGAGTTTAGAAGATAGTGAGATCAATGGGAATCGCAGCTGTCCTCTGCGTGTATTACAAGTCATAGAATTGTTCGTTCATTAAGCTTTAGCCTGAAAAAGGATGAAATTACAACGGCTATAGGAGAGTAGTTCTGAGAGGGCCTGGTTTGACAACAGTTCAAATCTCGACCTATTCCAATTATGATTGGAGAAACATTGCGTGTCCAGTTTCTGATCAAAATTTTGGGTTTCATAAGATTGAAATTGTGGTCTTGACACAATCCTTGTGTAAACCAGTGGCGATTGCATGCGAGTAAGAATTCCAAGTGTTCTCTACTAGAAGCAATGTTATTTATCAATTCTGCAGGCACAGGCCGCCTAGGATTGGAAGATGATTTGGTGTGCAGTCAACACTCAGATTTTGTAAGGTTAATAAGTGATAGCCGCATCCTTTCTTTTTGTGCGTCCAGCGAGATGCCCGCAGTTTGTTATATGGGCCCCCGTAAATGTTGCACACCCTGGTGAACATAAAAAAAATAAGCGCTTGGCGGTTCAGAACTGCAGTGGCCATTAACTTCACTGTGCTATTCTGAAATTATATCATGCATGCAAGTGTGAACCATTCAAAATCCGTCTGTGGATCCCAGGTTGGAACCACTGCTTCAAAGTTTACTGATGACTACTCTACCAAGACTACTGCCATCGTCATGAACACAGATACCGTCCTTAAAAATTAACATGTTTGATACATTCAAATGATTTCAAAGAGGGAAATATGTTTATTGCACACTGTTTGCATATAAAGAATGGATCATTGCAGTGAAAAACAATAATTTTAAATAAATTGCATATACGATTGAGAAGTGATGCAAAAATCATACGAATTATCGAGCATAAAAAATTAGACTGGGATATCACAAACATATTTAAACTCGTAATTACGATAAGAATAGTGATCAATGAATTGATAAAAAACAACAATAAAGTTACATTCAATCAGGGCAGAAATTTAGCAGGTAATGTTCAAATACTCCCAACCGATTCCCAATCATTACTCTTTCAAATGAGTGCATTTGACCTCGTTCGCCAATATGAGCCGGAAAAAGGAAGTAGTTCGTCATACGGTTCAAGTTACGTTATCAGCTTTCCCATATTCCGCCTGCAAAGTAATCCTACACTCATGACAAACAGGAAATGCATAATGGAGAGATCAGTGCAAGGTAAACAGTCATTAAGTGAAATTTTATATGATACGACCCCACTTTGGGCAAAGTCTGGAATCATTATTACAAAAGTTTTGAAGTTCTATATTTCATCTTGTAATGCATCTTCAATTTCGTCGTCATTTTCAATTGCCTTCGTATGAGTATCTTCTAATTTCCAGATTCCGTTTCGAATTGCTTCTTCTGATTTTTTCTTTCTCTCTCTTCTATTTTTCTCTATTTCTTCCAATAGACAAGAATGCTCATTGGCAAGGCTTGCTGTAAACAAAAGTTCAAAGAATTATAAGTCATTCGTGGCGTGACAGCACAATAAAAATAACCGAGACTCGCCTTTAAGGTCTTCGAGTTCCTTCCTGGAAAAAAAAAAAAATTAAATTTACTAGTTATCAGTATCTAATATATCCATACAAATTCTGATTAATTATCATTGTATCATACATAGTAGTGTTTGGAAGTATAACAATTTGGAGTAATCAACCACTTGGACACTTAACATACAAGCAGAATGGTTGGTTCGGACAATCCTCATTGGTTATATGCTGATTGCACTAAAAAAATATTAGTAATGCGGTTTGAATATTTCTGAAGTGTTAAAGCAGTCTTTCATGGCATTATGAAATTCACACTTTCACAAGTGTTTTTGGCTGGTATTCTGGGCCATGAGATCCTTATTCGATGGATAGAATGAAAAAAAAGGATTTTAAAGGTTCAATTCTTGCTTAATTGCATTACATACATATGCGCCGTCAACACAGTCATTCACTATCTTTTCTTGTATATTGATTGCTTTTATTGTTTTTAAGGTATTCATAAGCCCAAATGAGTACCTATATTGAGGCAATTCTATATCTGTCAAATAGAGGATGTGACATGTGGAGATCTATTTTTTATTGATAATAGTGTCAGACAGGGTGACTCATTAAGAGCTTTCTTGTGTCTTATTTTTATGGGCGACTTCAGTTAAACGAGGTAATGATTCGGTGTGTTGTCAATATTAATATCATTAATCATATTTCATCGTGCTGCACTTCTACTTCCGCAACAGGATCTCTGCCCGTAATATTGATCATGACAAGTTTGCATTTGTATTCATAAAAAAGATCATTCTAGAAACAATCATTTAATTTGATAGATGCTCGTGATAATTTATTTCACTCGATTGTCAAGTTAGATTCAACACATCAGACTGCGTGTTAAGAGAGTACTTATAGACTTTTTCGACAAATATGGCGATATAAACTTACACCTGCTAAAAAAATTATTTGTTTCCATCAAGTTTTTGTGACTGCTTGTAAATTTGTTTTGAATGACCAGAAAATGCTTCCCATCACCCTACCCAGGGACAAAGCAATAGTTTGCTGGGATTGTTATGTTTTGTATATCTAAAAAAACAACTTGAGCCATTTTATTTATTCTTGACAATAGAAAATGTATAGAACAACATACAAAACTTTGAATGAGGCGAAAAAAAAGAAACTTTACTCAAATGTAATCTGAAGTTTTAAATAAAAGATAAATATTATGTCCTTTATTCAAACTGTATTAGATATACTTACTGCCTTGTTATTCTAAGTGCATGAACTTCATCATTTTTCTTCAGTATTTTATCAACTTCTTCCTCTTCATCACAAACTGATTCAAGTAATATTAAGATTTCTTCTATATCATTGAAGTCACCTTCTAGTCTACCTGCAGAAATAAGAAATCTGCAATAGTAATTAACTAGTAAATGTACCAAGGATTTTGCTGAATGAATGGCTTGATTTCATGATTGTTCAACACTTCAGCATATACTCTGCTACCTGCTCAACTGAATCAATAAGCTCAGCGGAGTGGCGCATTGTGATAAAAGCGGGGAATACGCTTGCCACCACACCTCTGATTACCCAGCGTGGGGTCGTAGGTTCGTATCCAGTGTGGGGATAGTTATGTGCGAGAGGATTGCTGAACTCGTCACTTCCTTCACCATCAAGTCACAGATTCCAAAAACAAATAACTGGCTAATCCCGGGATAAATATGTAAATCCCATCATGACTAAATATTCTGCTAAAAATTGTACGACACACAAATCAAAAGTTTAGTTCACACAGCATACCTAAATTGATAGTGATGTTATCAACAGATTCAATCATGAAGGGAAGCATTTCTAAATGTTTGGAAAATCTTGAAAACTGATTATTCATTCGGAGATATTTCTTCTGAACTGCAGAAAGAATGGCCATCATGTTCTAGAAACATAAAACTCTCTTTAAAGGTGTCAAGGGATATCCAAAACAAATTAAATGTGCGAAAGTAGCTATATTAAATACTTTATTAAATAAATTCTTGATTTATAAATGAATCAAGAGAGTTTCATTAGAAAAATTCATTTTGAACATTAGAAATCTAACAATATCAAGAAATAGTTGTATAAACAGCGAACCAATCAAATCGATGTTTACCTGAATTTCCAAATTCAAACCCATTGAGTATACATTGATAAGTATTCCTTGTTAACCTTAACCTAATTTAGAGCATACCGTAGTCAATATTCAAAAATATTATTCTAGAATGCATTTGAAATAGTAAATTACTTGGCCATCCCTAAACATAACAAAGATTTAAATCAAATTATATGTACAAGTAAATGTAGTGAGATGCTTCGTGCATCTGCGGCACATTGCCAGACTTTTTCAAAAAATGTCTAGCTGAATATACTCAGGTTGTGGTGACAAAGCTATCACTGACTCAACATTATTGATTACTCTTGGTGAAAAAACATCTAAAAATTCTGATTCACATATTGTCTATATTAAAACAACATTCAGTTTGATTATTTCATCATAATATTATAACAAAATATATTGCAAACCTTTATCAAGGCAATATTTCTAGTCCCATCTTTACTGATTTGTCCCCAATTGCGTTGAAACCTATGACAAGATGATAACAATCATGAAAATTATATGATTGCAATTAGTTTCTGATCAATGTTTTTACACAAGTACATTCAGGAGCGTAGCCAGAAATTTTCAAAGGGAGGTTCTGAAATTTTCATTTGGCAAGTTAGATCGAAACAGCTAGCGGGTCCGATCGAACGCTGGAATACGCATGTTTTTATTAGTCTTGAGGGTCTAAAAAGCATTTAAAGCTACAAAAAATTGCTATCTATGATACAGGAAAATGTTTTTTTTTTTTTACATTTCAAAAGGTGGGGTTTCGACCCCCAAACCCCCTTTTTCACCCTAGATGTAATTCTATCTGTTATCTCCAGTAGTTACCAACAATCACTAATCTCACCTTTCTAGAAGTTCGAAACCAGCATATTCACTCATTTTTATGAGTCTTTTTCCTATTTATTTCATAAGTAATAATATAAGCATAGTGTGTTCATCATAATTCTACATAAAAAGATAAATAATTGATCACAGTTCATGCAAACATATGGTAAAGAGAACAAAAGATATGAAAAACTGAATTGTAACATTACCAATTAACATATTGGTACAGAATTCAACACATAACGAATAGGGTTACCCGGATGAGGGAGAAACGGGGAGGTTTTAATCACATAATCCGAAATGATAGTTATTTATGGATATAGCCAGTATGAAGTGAAATTTAGTAGCCTATATATCATAACTACTTTTAAAGAAATGAATTCCAAATGTTCAAAATACAATGAAACACAAAGAAAAATGGTAGAACAACAAACAAGTGAAAATAGTTCTATCATTTGTTCTATCATTCTGAAATTTGAACAAATATTGGTAAATATGAAGGACAAAATGAAAATTGTGACCAAACGATATGGAAATCTCTCACAAAATGTGATCCTCAAAAAACTATATCAAGGTTTGAAATACGTCCAATTTTATCATTAAATGACTACAGAGGTATTCATTATAATAAGTCATGTACTCTCTTATGTTTTGTATGGCTTTTTCAAGTACCGAAGTATAGAAGGATGGATTCAGCATATATAAGTATTAAAAACAAAAATTACAAATTTGTGAGAATCATTTTTAGGTACCTTGAATTAGGTGAAAAATATTTCCTATTTATTAGGTAAAAAAAATTAGGAATACACCAAACAGAAGGCACAATTAACTATATTTAATGAATAGCACATGCTCTAATCATTGTAGAATCAAAGTAGAACTTTCAATTAAAGAAAATGCAAATAACATCTGCCTTCACAAAAAAATTTATATTTATCTTAGCTGGCATAGGTTAGAAAGCACACACAGTTAGACTGACTAATAACTCAAAGACCCTTAGATAACACCTTCAAATTATAAATACAATTTTTACATAAAATGAAACAGATTAAATTTGTACATAGCTAATAATAGCATGAAAGCTAACAGGAAAGAAATGTAAATCAAAATTACTAATCATACAGTAAATGTAGATAAAAGGTGTAAAGAGAATATTTTGCTCCAAACAGTATGGTTAAGTAAAACATGTTTTTTTTACGATAAAAAAAAAACAATTGGGCATTTTATGCTAATAAATGTACAAACAAAAATAAACACAATTGTTAATCAGTATATAGTATATATAGATTTTAGAATCAAATATGGACATCAAATTTAAGTCGACTCTTGAGTAACAGGAATTTCGTTGATAATTCCATAACCTTTTAATATTATCAAACAGTCTTCTAATAACACATCTAGATTATTATTACCTTTTTAAATCATGCCCATTTAATTAAACATTTTTCTAACTACCGGTATGTGTGTATAAGTTACATCCTAACATGTGATTATAAAAAACAAGAATACAATGAAAAATAGAAAAAAAATTGAAAATGTAGTAAGCCACTGATGATGAAATAATGTAAAAGCCTATTTTCAGACATGGACCGAATTAATCAATTCAAATTTATCTGTTTCATATTTTGAATTCCTCATTTTATGAATAATTTAGATACCATTTCAAGCACATTATTAGTGAGCAGATTGTAATACAACAACGAAATGTAGATATTCTGTAATTGGGATATAAAATGAGAGGTTTGAAGGTTGATATTTTGTGAGATTAGTTGTATGAGTAGACACAATAATCTCATGAAAAATGATAGAAAGAATAAAAAATGGTGTATTTATAAGGTATTTGATCAATTAAACAAATCTTACAGGTCAAAGAAAATCTAAACAAAGTTGAAAGTTTCATATAAGTAAGCACTGGGTAATAAATAGGTACTAAATCTGAATAAACCAAACTTTTTCAAATCAATATAACATGGGTAATTTATTACTAATAGGCTTGTCAAATTAATCTTTTTGATTTTCTTTTTCCAATATCTTGCAACAAATTTAATCCTTATATTTACCATAAAGGTGCCATTCCAAGTTTCAAGCAAAATTTCTAAATACTGTGAAATGTGGAAACTGTGCTAATGAAAACACTAGCTTTGCAAGTATATTCAATGATTTATGAATTTTTTTCACATATACTATAGATAATGGCATGTTACAGGGTATAGTGAGTGTGACAACTGACAAGGCACAAGCACCATGAAACATTGGTACGAAAATGAAAATTTTACACACAAAATCACTTCTGACTAAAACTTATTCATATTTCATAGCATCAATCATGCAATAATGCTAGCGGAATCAATGAAAAAATGAAATACTAATAAGCCAGTATACTATACATACTAAAGCAGTTATTTCAAAGCTTGAGTTAGCTTCATATAGTAATTCTTCTATCATCAGTGTGAATGTGATTATTGATGATTTTATTTTTACAAATACTTTATAAAGATGAGCTGAGAACTTTCTGAGAAGAAAATTTCCTCAAAATAGCGTCATCTTCTTCTTCTTCTGAAGTAGATCCAACATCCATCATTGAGTGGAAGTTACTTGTATCTCCATCGGAAACAACACCATCCTGTTCATCGCTCTGTTGTCCGAGTAACATCGCTCCAATATTTTCAGGTGATGAATCGTATCCTAATTCATAATCAGTGTCGGAAAGATCAGCGGAATATGCATCCGATGTTTTTCTTCTTAACAATTCTGAAAGATCCGTAAATGAAGTGTTTCCCTTTAAATTAGCAATTGAAGACTTTCTTCTTATATTTGAGAAGGTCATTGTCTCTTCCGACGCTGATCCAGTACTTTGTTCCGTTTTTATATTATGAAGATCGTTCCAAAATTTTCGTCCCCATTCTTCTGTACAATTTTCTCTACCATATTCATATCCAATCTCCAGAATTTCTTTCCATTTGGAAAATTCAAGCGTAGTATACTTTGTAACTGGTGGTCTTAGGTAGGTACAATAGTCACTGTGAATAACCAAATCCATCAGATAGAAACATGAGATATAAGACAGACGTGATTGAATGTCATTCATGTCAGGAATTCTGACATGTCCTGTCCATCTACCAGTCCATTTTTTCCAAAGAAGCCACCAACCAGATAAATGGTCACCGTAGTTGGTGAAATCGGTTTCAGTGGCCGCACCAACATTAACAGCGATTACGCGACAAGCTCCTCTTGATTTAGCTACGTCTCCTGGTAAGTTATTAATATATCCACCATCCATGAGAAGATGCCCATCCTTTGGATCGCAAATAGGTGGTAGATATCCAGATAAGGACATGCTTGCTCTTATGTATCGCCATAGTGACCCGTCTGTGTGTACTCTCATTTTTGGACTTGTGATATCTGTGGTTATTGCAAAGTATGGTAGCCAGAGATCTTCAATCTGGGTTTCTTTAAAAATCATGTGAATTCCATTGTTAAATGAAGAACCGCTGAACATTGATGTTATAGGGTAGGTAAGATCAAATATTTTTGGTAAAAATGATCCCATTTCAGATGAAAAAATAGCTGTTTGTGATTGAACCATCGACAAATCTCGATGACTGGCCCAAAGAGCTCCCATGAAAGAACCAATAGAAGTACCACCAACCATGTCGATAGGTATTCCTGCTTCTAGTAAACACTTGATAATTCCAATTTGCGCAATGCCTCGTGCTCCTCCACCACCCAGTACGAGTGCCACTGAAGTTCCAGTTAAAAATCGAGCAAGACGTGAAAAGTCACTAAATCGATCAACTTCACGTTTCTCCAACTTTTCACGATATTCTCTCAATTTCGATTTACGAGTTTTGGTGAAGACCCGCTTAGATGCTTTAATGTGAAGATGTTCAGTCAACCATCCTCTTACATTAAGCCAATCAGCAGTCCTAGTTGGCTGTGACACTTCAGGTCTGTGAAGAAGAACCAAAACTTTCAAAGCACGAACAGAGTAAATTTCCAATTCCTGTTCTAATTCACCAACTTCTGGTCCTGCATCACCTAAGGCAACAATCAAAACAGCATCACTTTGTCTGACACATCTTTTTGTCCAATCAGACATATAAGTATCAGTCTGATACAAAACAATTCTATGAAGATCTTCTTGCTGAGCCAACCACCCTGTGAGTCTATATTCATTGGCAGAATCAAGTGCATTTTGTCCAAGCCTTTTTCTTATAGTATCACTATTCATATGTAAAACTTGATCGCAAATAGCAGATAAAGCATGTTCCAACTCCATCGTAAATTTATCAACAGGTACATGTCTGCTTGCAGGCAACACTGCAACTGTTGAAAGGTTGGCAAGATGATTAGACACATCACCATATGCAAATTTAGTTTCTTCTGATATATGATGCTTGTGTGATAGTAATTCAGCTGGATGGCTGCGATGCAACTGTCGATTTGACATCATAGACCCTATCAATTTATCTGACATAAGAGATACAAGATGGGACACTACACCAGGATGACGCTGCCTAATGTGTTTCAATAGGCCTTCGGGAATTTTAGCAAGCTCTGTATCTCGTACAGCATGCATGGATACTGTACGACTTGTCCCACGTAGTGCTTCCATCATACCAACCAACTCGCCTCTGCCATACTCAGCAACTAATTCTTTTTTGCCGCCTCCGACTTCACGTACCGATCTCAAACGACCATGCAAAATGATATACATGCAATCACTTAGAGTTTCTTGTTTGTATAAAGCTTTTCCAGCTTCGACCATCGTCCAGTCAAGAGCAAAATCGATTTGACGAGTGAACTTACTCACTCTCTGTACAACAGTATGAGCGGTGTTGAGAACCATGCGAGGATACTCCTGCATTATAGTGTAAAAATCGTTTCTTTTCAGTTTTGCAATAATAGAATTCTTAACTGCACGCGCAGAAAAGAAAGAAGGTTCTCCAGTCAAGACGGCCAATTGTCCAGTCAGCATACCAGGATGGGCATGAAATAAATTCACGTTTCTTGTTTCGTCTGATGCTTCATGATCTTGAATAGCTTGATATACAGAAAGTGTTCCAGTCACAACAAAGTAGAGAGAGACATCCTGGTCACCTTCTTGAATCAATTCAAAGTTTTGTGGTACTTTGAGAAGTGTTACGTTATCTAACAGCATTGCATGGTTATCAATCCCAAATATTTTCAGCATATCTTGAATAACCAACTCAAGAATTTCAGGTTCATTTAGTTCGACCATGGTATTGGCATCTTCAAAACTTTCTTGTGAAACAAGACGCTTTTTATCTATACCATAAGTCAAGTTACTTTCTGTATCAATTGGTGCAGACAAAATACTATTTCGATGACGACTGAAATTTTTCATATATCCATCTTGACTTTGTAAATCTCTGGCTGCTGTCTCAGATGATGTTTGCTTCAGCAGATCAGCCAATTGTTGTCTTTGTCTGCTTTGAGCTGGTAAACTTGTTTGTCTGTGGAAAACATTATCATTATCATCGACAACAGTATCAAACTCACCAAAACGAAGTTTTTTCGACTTTTCTGGTACCATAATAGGATTTGATTTATTTCTAGGTAACACTTCTTTTATAGGTGGTGGCTTTTCAAGGAAAACAGCTGCATCCACTTCATCATCTTCCTGTATTGTCTCTATCTCATCGAAAGACGATTGACTATTTGTTCCGAACGATTCTCTAGATTGAGAAAGTTTATGGATGGATAGCGTTTTTCCGCCGACATTTTTAGCAGGAGTCAATAATTCTTGTGAGAGACCTAAGTAATTATGTAAAGCAAGAAAAGTTACACGCTGCATTCTTGTCATTACAACTTGTACAATTTGCACGAGTGCGTCTTGCCTGTTTTCAAATGCGATGTTGAATGCCTCAACAGGCAACCTGATGACTGTCGAATTTTCTACAGCACGAGCAAAAACAGTTTTATATGGGGCAGAGTGACCAGTCAACACATCCAAAATACTTAACAAACTATGCAAGCTTTCACCAGTAGTAAATTCACTCAATTTTATTTCCAAACTGTCTTCAACAATATATAAATTTACTTGTCCTTCTTGAATAACGTAGATGAATTCATCGGGGTCACCTACTCTGAAAAGATACTTATCTTTTTCTATTTTTAATATTTCCATATGACGACATAATTGAAGAAAAATTCCTTTTTCAAAATGACCAAAAACTTTAACACTTTGCAACAGATACATCACCTCCTCTGGTAAATTCGGTTTGAGAAAATCTTCTGATAAGTCTGCCTCCAACATAGATGGTGGCAATTCCTTCTTCAATAATTTTGGAGGTTCTCTATTGACACGAAACATTTTTTTCGCTAGAATATACATCCTCTCTCTTTTGTGTAGTCTTCTACCTGAACGACTGTATTCTGGGACAGAAACTCCCTCCTTGATCGCTGAGGCTTGACGTTGAAGACGTGACGCCGCATCTTTACCTTTACGTAAAACTTTTCTTGCAAAAAATTGCATTTTATCACGTTTGCGGAATCTTGGACCTCTGGTTTGTTTTATATCTGGAAGTCTTATCTCAACATTTGGCTTTTTTATTTGCTTGTAATGGTAATGCAAAATTGTAACAATAATAACAGCAAGTGTTGCTGTGATGGTCACCCAAATATGTATTCCAGTCATTTCAATATTGGGAATATGATCATAAACATGATCAAAATATTCCTGAATCATTTCCATATTGCTCAGTAATCCAGTAAATGAGTAAATGGTCCAATGTCTTTATTCTGTTATCACACTAAGATCTGCTTTTATAGAAGACACAGTATTATTTAAATAACAATTTTAAATAAAGAAAATCATATATGCCCAAAATCAAATATTTTAATATTTCCAATTATTATTTTTGAATACGGAATATCATTTCAACTTCATTTTCAACCGAGAGACTTGCATGAGTCGTTGTGAATTCATAGACATTGAAGTCAGTTAAGCAAAATAGTTTAGACAAACATTGATTTTGCGATTTTACGTTGTCAGAAACTTGATTAAAGTCAAGTTTTGTATGCCATGCATGCTAACGTTGAATGAAAAATATGAATATATTACAGGCTAAAAAATATTTTTATATACAGTAATAGCAAAGTGCTGAAGTGTTTGTATGAGCTGTTGAAGTAGTGGGGCACAGTTCTCCAATTCCAAGTATAGCGCCCATATTAAGGGACATCATCTATAACAGTGAGTACGAACCCCCTCATTTACCAAATGGTCTAGGCATCCAAATCGACTCAAAATGGCAAACTGGCACTGTGCAATCACCTAAAAAGAAGCACAATCTAAAAACATCACCATTGGATTCCTTGAAAAAAAAAACTAATTTGCCAAAGAAAACTTTTTTTTACCATATCATTCGAGAGTTTTTTGCAAAAAATTAGAATTTTTGTCACATGGCAGCCGATGCATGTTGCGATTGGTTTTAATTATTATCAAGACAAGCTCGGCGCAATCGAACACATCTGTAGTACTGTGCCCTACCGTAAAGCTTGAGTAGTAAATTTAGAACTTTATCCATGGGACATTTGATGCATTTGAGACAGAAGAACAACAAAACAATGCAATCTGGCAATGGTCAAGTTATACAAATCATCTAAATCTGGTTGAATTAAAAAAATGAGAGTACATACATAGAACCAGCTCATTGGTTACTAAATTCATGTCCATATTTAAATACATTGTTAATGTGCAATTCTGTTTTAAAATTATTCATATTATCTATACTAAACGAAAACCTGGTTTAGTCATTATAATAGATTTTATTTCCATAGAACATCCTATTGCCGCAATTTCAATGAGATTAGAGCCTATCAGACACCCTATTTCGGGGGTCATCAGCTGCCAGATTGCAGTTAACTATTCACACAATCATACACATGCAGACATGTAAGGCAGTACGGATTGAATGACATATTCACATTATAAACGTGGACAGCTTATATCATTTACCAGTACTGCCATACGTTATAGCGTTCTCGAATCATGTATGTCTCTATTCTGCGAGGCCCACGAGTATTTTTTTTTTCAATAATTCAACGCAATGATACCAAAATGCATACATAGAATTCATGATGACGAACAAGCATGCGGTATGTGAGTTAGGCCTAACTATTGCGCAATAAGACTAAGCACTACTTTGCAATGACGCCGAAAAGCATACATAGAATCAATTCCATACATTAAATCTCAAATATGTCTTATTAAGAACTAGGCATATAATAAGTTACAACGTAACGTGAAATCAAAAGCTCGCGGAACCGGATTGTGATTGAACCAACCTTGAAACTACTTTCGGCGAAATTACTTTGATGTCAGCTGACATGAACGTGTCGTGACGAAATAGGCAAAAATTATAATAATATCTATTGCTTTATTCGTTCTATTTTATGTTTTTTCCATAACATTTCCATGCTTAATGATTTAAAAGTATATATTAAAAATTTATAAATTTTATTTTCTTTAATATTATTTGATAATTGCACTATTTCGGTTATTTGAAGAATATAAAAAAAATGTCACGGCGGGTAAAATGGATGTTGACCACTGGTTGTTAACAACGCTTCGCGCATTGGAGCGAATAATTTTAAATTTGAAAGCATGCATTTAAATTTATTTTATTTGTTCCACATTATGGGTTTTGACTGCATATCTTAATATTAGATTGATGTAGTCTAGAATTAATTTATTCGTGTACACATTCTATGATTCAATATGGACGATGCATCTATCGAGGAGGATATACAGAAAGAACTTGATGCTATTTCACTTTCAAGCTTAAATTCCGATGAAGAAGATATTCATGAAGAAGATCAGATAGTACAAAAGTCCTACGATTATGGTGAGGGTTAAATTGACTACTGTTATCCCTTTTTTTCAAATATGTTCAACATTAACCTTGATTTTGCGACAGTAACAGCGGTATCTGAGTATGGCGGCGGTGTGGCTCAACGAGCTAAGCGTTAGGAATACGCTCGCCACTGCACCTCTAATTTCTCTGCGTGGGTTTGCAGGTTCGAATCCCATGCAGGGATGGTTATGTGCGAGAGGATTGCTGGACTCCTCACCGTCGTTGGGTGGTTCACGTAACCGCTGGTCGGTTACGGCTTTCCTCCACCAAGTCCATGCTTCCGAAAACAAACAATATAACTAATCCCATACCCGACTTGGAATGGTAACCGGACGAGGCCGTGGTTCGCCATATGGATAAGCCATCTTATCGACTTTCCTCTCCCCCCGGGATAAATATGTAAATCCTATCCTATGGTCAGATAGAAGACCTACAGATAGAGTCTTGTGATAGTGAAAAGTATAAATAAATTGACAATTATTAATATTTGAAACCGGATGCATGCACAAGACCTACTGGCCTAAAACACAGATGTCCGGATTGAACCCTTTTTGACTAATATAAAACTAAAAACGTTAGATTAGATACGTATAATATGGTCCCTTACTCCCTTATACAGACAGTTGTGCCAATTGGGGCAATGAGTTGATGTGGCGAAAGTGGTCAGGGAGAAGTATACAAAACTGTTTATACAGGGGAGTTCATAAGACAGAACAATATATATAAATAGGGACAACGCAACACAAAATACACATATACATAATGATGAAATAAAAATTTTGGCGTAAATGCAGCACCCTTGAGTGGTGATACCATATATGGCATGCGTCACTCAAGGGTGATAATAGTGTCTTTGATTCGCCATATGATTAAGCTGTCTCATCGGCTTTCCTCGCCCCCAGGATGAATATGTAAACCCTATGCCATCCAGAGAGACAGTAATATTATACATTGAATAATACTGCATATCATGATACTGATATATCTGTATATTTAATATTCTTAGATTGACTCATCCTTCAGATTTGTCAAATTTGAAAATATAACTTTATTATCTGCATTTAATTTTTTATAACAGATTCAGTTGGTTTATTTCTGGAGAAATCGTCACAGAGACATCAAATTGCTCATGATATATTAAAAGAAGCAACGGATATTTTGACAGTGGTAGGCAAATACTGAAATGTATATTTGCGCTTGTTAACAGTTTATTGTGGCACATATGCTACCCACTCAAACCTATTTTTGCTTTCATAAGTGTGATTGGACATATTTGATTATTACGATTTTCAGACAAGTGCTGATAATTCTGTGAGACCTCAATGCTGCAAGAAAAATATATAATATATTTCAATATATAAAACTTAATGTATTTTAGAAAATTAGGCATGGAGGAAATTGGAAATATCTTTAGTTTGAAATATTAAGGAAAAAAGATTAAATTAAAATTTAAATCATTGTTATTCTATTTTACTAAAAATCCAGTTTTGCTAATAGTTGATTTATTAATACAATGCATGTGTAAGAAATTAGATTTGTTTTATATTGTTCAAACTGAGTTATATATGTGAAGAGGTTTTGTCCATTTTATAATACTTCTGTAATCTGTACATGTGTAGAAATCTCTATTTTCATCTCCCCATTGCACGTTGATAGGATTTGCACTTTGACCTGAGCTTTCAACTCCAAGAAACTTAAATTTCAAATAAACATTTTGGTAATGCAAGTCTAATTTCATGGCCTGTTGAAAATGACAATATTGAAATGCAATATTTATTTCAGTGTGACCATGTTGGAAAATCACTGGTTTTATCAGAAGAAATATCTGAAAATGAAGAAAATCAAGAAGAAGATTTTCCATCATCTTATATTCTCACATATCGTGATAATAATGAAATTTCCACAAAAAGCACAAATGAGGTAAAAAAAATAAAAATGGCATTGTGCCTCATTTGGATGTATAGCTTTGAAAAAAGAATGATTACTTTACTTGTAATATGAGTAAGGATTGGAACATTTGAATGAATAAGAAATAGGACATCTTTGTTGTAATAAAATTTGATTTCAAGAAGAGTTTAGAAAACTGGATTGGGAAAGTTTGTCCCTATAACTGAGGTATTTAACATCTAGTAGTCAGACATTTAATAGATTTTATTTGTCGTTGTAAAAATAGAAAATCAGTCAAAACAATGTTTATCTAATGTGTTCTGCACCACCAAATTGAATTTTTACTGATTTATAGAGATTTGTGCAAATTCTTCATTTAACATTGGTCGATATTCCATATTCGGATATATTATTTTGAAACAGTTCAAGGTGACCCAAAAAACTATACCCATAAACTTCTCAATCACTTCTATAAAAATGAAGAAAATATATTTTTCACTTTAATACTTCCTTCATTATGTTCTTTCTAGAAATGTTCCAGATGATCTAATTTATTTTTGTCAATCCGACTATCCCTGGATATGATTTTCACTCTTCTGTGACTATAAATTCTAAGGAATATGGTCTTACCACCGGTATTAGAACTATATGTCACCAGTTCCCAAATTACATAAACAGTTCAGTTCAGGATATAAATAAACATGCAGCTGGCGAAACTGCAGTCTAGGCAGACACTACATAACAGACAAAAAACAACATAGAATTAATTTATTGATTTATATACCAATCATTCAATATGAGAAACAATAAAAAATTTATAATAAATACGATATGTTAAATATTCTATCATATATTAGTTATTTTCAACACAATTCTGGTAATTTTCAGGGCGCATTAGCAAATCGCCTCCTTTGGGAACCTCTACCATATGCTATTTTTATCATGACTGACTCATTGTATTTCCCTGTTCTATTCCAAAAATAACTAGATCGAAGAAGAAAATAGAGTTAAATTGGAGGAACTTGAAGACATTCTCAAAGTAAAAGAAGAGGATGAAATTTTACAACTTGAGAAGAAGAGAATCTCAGAAGAAGAAAACTTAAATCGTTGGGTAGAGAATGAAGAAAAGATGAAGAAAAATATAGAAGTGATGGTGGACAAAGAAAATTACTGGGAAAAGGTCTAAAATTTTGTTCTTTTACATGAAGAATGTAACTTTTCTGGATTTCTACATTGTGCGAAATGTTAGGAATACACTCGTCACCGCATCTCTGCTTACTTTGCATTGATTCGCAGGTTCGAATCCCCTGGGGGAGATTTATGTACGAGAGGATTACTGGACTCTTTACGGCTTCCTCCACAATCGAGTTCATGCATATGTAACGAATAACTGGTTAACTTATCCCATACCCGGCATGAACTGGTAATCAACGAGAGGCCGTGTCGCCATATGATTAGGCCGTCTTAGCGACTTTTGCACTCCCCCAGGATAAATATGTAAATCCTATCTTTTTGCAGGCATGTTTGCCTAGCTACGTGGTAGACGAGACTATATTAGGATAGATGCTTCAACTTCTAATTAATCACAATTTTTTTCTTATTTTTCACAATTTTTTCAACATTAACACAATTTTACCTAATGCCTGATCATATAAATTTTGATCCTTTCAGAATAAAATAGCTTCTAACATATTAGTGACTGCTTGCGCAGAGTCTTGTTTAGAGCTAATCTCAGCATTGTGTCATTTTTCATTTAGACTTACGGGCAAGTTGCCAAAGAAGAGATATTTAAAAAAGAAAGTGAGCTAGAAAAAGAATTTCTAGAATCTCAACAGAGGATTCAGATAATGCAGCAAGAAGAGAAAAAAATTCTTGAAAATCTATTGAAAGAAAAAGAGGAATTGGATAGCGAGAAAAAACGAAGTTCAGCTATATGTATTCAGGTAAATGAATTATGCTCTTCTAATTAAGGTAGGTAAAGTCTAAATAAGTCTTATTAAAGGTATTGCCCAATGAAATTTATAGACTTTGTTGCAGATATTGTTTTTATGCATTGAGTTCAAAATTTTTCTGTGACCACTAGCTCAAATATAAAAAAACTTAATGGATTCTCTTCACAATTCAAGTGCATGCATGTGATAATGGGTAAATTATGTATTACAGGTTACAGCAGGAGATAGATTTTCACTTTTTTTTAATTTTATCATTATAAAATAAATTTTCAGGTTATTATGTTTATAGAGTATTCAATTCATAACTTTTCAAATCCTGAATTCGAAAAATGTTGTATTTTTAGAAATTTGTCTATTTTCATTGATATGTTCATCACTGAATAACTGGGTATTATAATAATTCTCATTTGCATTTAAGTTTGTAAGATAATGAGTGTTCTCTTATGCAGCATAATCAGGATGTACACGCTGTATTCTACTTTGAATAATTTCACATAAATTACCACTTCTTTAGCACATTGGTTAATTCAAGTGAATTTAATCTATTAACTCTGGTCTCTGGGTCCTATATTTTGTTTAAACTAAGCCATTTTAGACATTTCTTGAATCAATATTTTAAATACATAGTTTTTAATTTTAGGCGATATTTCGTGGTTACAAAGTGAGAAAAATATATTGGAATGAATTGCAAACAAGGATTTTACAATCAAAAGAGAGAAGACGACATGAAAGAATTGCTAAAATGGAGGAAGCTCGTGCAAAAGAAAAAGCTCGTCAAGAAGAGGAAAAAAGGAAAATGAATGAGAAGAAAAGGAGGAATGAAAAAATGAAGGAAAATTTGATAGAAAATAAAAACTTGACTAAAACAACTTCGAACTCTGAACAGGTTTCCTTGTTACCAAGCACTGGAATTAAATCTAATGCTACTCAAGAACCGGATTCTATGAAATATAAAAATAAAGAAAATAAGTTGTCAGATGCTGAAATTGAATTCAACGAAACAGTAAATCAAGAAAATAAAAGTATGGAATCTCTATCTACAAGCACCTCTGAAAACACTGATACCCGAAACAAAAATAGATCTTCAGCTTTGGAAAGCGTAGCACACGAAACTGCATTAGATACTGTCTCCAATGAAGGCAAGGTAAACGATAAAGTTTCTAATGGAAATATCCAAAATGACAGCAGCTCTTCTGCTTTGAAAAATTCAGCACAAGAAACGACAATTAACGCTGTCTTCATTGAAGACAACTCAAATGATGGTTGTAATGCTGATACAAGTAATGCCATTCTATCTAACTCTGTGACAAATGAAATTGAAGAGGTGTCACAAGGTATTCCAGTGGAATCTGAGACTGATAAAATGATTCTTGACAAACCAAAAAATGAAGAAATTCAACTGTCTACTGATAATATTATAACGGGTAATGTATTAAACAGAGAAATAGAATTTGTTAATGAAGATTCCAGATCTGTGGAGAACGAAATGACATCATCTCCTGGTAACAAAGAAATCCAAGTTTCTTTAAAAGTAGAAACAAATTCTGGAGCTAGTGATCATACTGTGGTAGCTCAAAAAGATGTTGCTCAAAATATCATGGAAAGCCTGTCTTTAAATGATCCCAACCTACAACAAAATGATTCGTTTGATGGTGTGGTAGAGCCAGAACCTGCAGCCCAAACAAGAAATGAAGTGGTGGAAGAAGATATAATAAAACAAGACTCTAATCAGAATGTGACTACTAATCAAGCTCCAAATTCGGGATCACAAAGTAGGGGGGAATCTGAGAGTTTAGTAAAAAAATGTAGTAATGCTCCTGAAAAAGATGATAAATTAATCCCAGAAAGAGATTTTGAATTGATTAACAAAAATGAAATGATTTTAACAGGATTAAACAAAAATCAGGACTCAGATGATATTTGTGTAACGGAGAAAAACATCGAAAACCATCCTCGAAGTACATTACAATTAAAGGAAGAAAAGTCAGTTTCATTTGAACGGACGCAAGACACTTCACTATCCAGCTCATTTGAAAGCACACAAGATATAAATTTACCACCGATTAATTCTGAGAGTGCAAAGATTGAAGAAACGATATCAAGTAGTCCAGTTTCAGAGTTGAAAAACGATTCACATCCTGCTGAGGATACCTGTCCAACAGTGCAAACATTTGAAAATACTTATTCTAAAACAACTGAACTCGATAATGGAGATATATCTAATACAGGAATTTTCAGTCTATCAACAAAACCTACTAACATTATTGTGGAAAAAAATAAAAATATTCTTAGAGAAAAACAAACTGATAGTACAAAACCTGAATCTACCAATCTTGACAATTCTGTTCCGTCATCTAATTCTCATTTTAAGAAAGAAAAAATTGAAAATAATATGGATGAAAATTGTTCCTATTCGGAAAAATTGGAATTAAGGAGAAATGCCTGGTTAAAAAAATTCAGTTTGAAGGGAAAAAGGGAACACAAATCACCATCTACGTTGTCAAAAAGAAGAAGACTAATCAGAATTTCTTCAGCTGCGAAACGGCTTCCTCCCTTCTCACAAGAAGAAATATTTAATGGTAGGCAACCTTGTTGATATTCACTTCTCATATCAAAGTAGCACCCACTTCCTAATATAGAATTTCATTATGGGGAAGTTACATGTATGTGAAAGATATATACTACATATTTGGTTGATCATAGCGAATTACGAACTATTTAACATTTAAAATGTAAAAATTTAGTTGATAAAAGTGTCCTAGGACCTAGGGTATAATAAATTAGATAGGCAATGCTGAACGGGAAAGACTGGTTCTTCCATTAAGCTTGTTCATAGCAAACCTGTAAAAATATTTTTAGCGATAAATCCAATTGTCGAAAACTTATCTCGGCTATATATAAATACCGCATTTCTCGGCTAATAAGTCTACCTGGCAAACAAGACGATGTCTATTTTTAGCACTCAAAAATAGAGTTTTTCCATATAGCCATCCAATAAGACGGGGTAGAAACTTGCGTCTCTGTTAGTCAGCTAAACACTAATATGCGCCAAAATTTTTATATGGTTAGAACCAGATCATGTTTATTTGGTAGAATCATACTCCCAGAATTAACTATTCTTAAAAATAAAGCAGCATCATTTTGAATAACATCTAATTTTATATGGTTAGAACCAGATCATGTTTGTTTGGTAAAATCATACTTTAAAAAAAGTGTTTTTAAAAAGAATATGACAAATAACAGCTGCCACTACATAGTCAATTAAATATCATGATTGGAGACCCTTTGGCGTCATTGAGTACATAATAAAATATATCAAACCAAATATAAGGTTAACACAAATTATGTTTTAAGCTTACTTGCCCAATAAGACAACCCCCCACAATCAGGCCACAAAATTGGGTATAGAAAAGCGACTTTTTACCCAGGAAATATGGTATATTTTTTATATTTAGGATATTGTTTTAAATAAATTCAAATTAATATAAGCAATATGACAGGATATTTGAGGATTGAATTTTGTGAAATTATTTTTATTAAAGTATGTTGCATATGCGATTCAATTTAATCAAAATTTTAATTATTTTGATAATTTTTTCTCTCACCCTTACTGTGAAATAAATTTTCATAATACTACTTGGTAATTCAAAGTTAACTTCGGCCCGGCGGTGTGGCGTATCATACTAAGCGTTAAGAATGCGCTCGCCAACAAACCTCTGATTACGCTACAAGGGTTCGCAGGTTCGAATCCCATCTGGGTTAAGTTAATTATGTGGAGAGTATTGATGAACTCTTCGCCGCTGTAGGGTGGTTCACATAACCGCTGGTCGGTTACAGCTTCCGCCACCATCAAGCCCATGCATCTGAAAACAAATAACTAGCTAACCAATCCCATACCCGGCTGGTTACCGGACAAGAGGTCGTGGTTTGTCATATGATTAAGCTGTATTATCACTTTCCTCTCCCCAGGGATAAATATGTAAATCCTATCCTATTCATTACTTTTGTATTTCAGGTTCTTATCAAACAACAGAATGCAGGATAAACAAAAAGGCACTTTCATTTGAACAAATAAAGTGTGTTTTCCTTACTGGGATTCAAGAAGGAAGAAATTTATCGAGTGTGTCAAACTGTGCTTATTTAACTCATCTAACTGTTCAAAACTGTGGTTTATTATCTCTTGAGAACATGCAATCTTGCCCTTGTTTGAAGGTAATGTTTTATTTATTTTTTATAAAATATGACTGATATGGAAATTTTCTAGGCCTACCTATTTTTTATACTATGTTTTTATCCGTCAACCATGGAATATGTATACGACAAATACAAACTATTAACAAAAATATTACTCAATTAAGGCTATTAATAACAGACATGATTTTACTTATTGTGCATGGACTTAAGGACATTTTAATCTGAATTTTTTAGTACCTAAAATTGGAAGTAATTTTTTCCAAATTTTTGCCAATCCCGATATTTTAACCAAAATTTTGCTGAGGTTTATAATTTGCAATTAAGATCAGAGGTTCTTAAACGTTTGGTGTGATGGATCCTGCGAGGATGTAACTATTATTTGCAAAGCCTCACATAAAATTCTAAAAATAACACAAAAAACACATTGTTACTAACTGATTAATGTTCCTAAGAAGATAAAAACACTTTATTTAATAACTCGTAAGTATTTGCTGCTTTGTATTTAAAAAATATTCAAAATTACGGTTCAATCAAAGTCGTTGTCAAATTTTATTATTGCTGTTTTGCTTCTCTGGACAGTTACAAAATTAGCCAAGTCAGTATTTTAAAAGCTCGTGGAGCCCCTAGGTTTCACTCATGGTGCCTTGGGGCTCGGTATGGAGCATTTCGAGAACCTATGATTTTGATTAGGGGTGTGCAACCTGCGGCCCGTGGGTCAAATGTGGCCCATATGGAAAAATTGTGTGGCTTGCTGAGAAGTGCCAATCTTGAATGCAAAACGAGTTTTTAATTCAGTTTATTCTGGTATGTGTGAGTACTTCTAATCCCCTTGTGCTGCGAAGCCTATACCCGAGTCCAATTTATTATCTATGCCTATGACGTTACAATGCCCCAATAGCTAGCTTGTGCGAAGCAAACACTGCATGTCATAAGATCAACAACCAAAATTTTTGTGCATTTGACTACTGGAAAACCTGGGTTAAATTAATTAGGGTGCAGCCTCTGATTTCACCCAGTTATTAGTATCTGGCCCTTTCGTATTAAAGTTTGCACACCCCTGATGATGTCGTTTAGTGGTCACTGGTCAGTCATTTTACCCTCATGTCTATATATTTGACCATTACTCTTTCATTCAGTTCATTGATGTTTCTCACAATTCTATCAATATGATTTCTTGTAATGGAATGAAGCAACTTCAATATTTGGATGTTTCATGCAATCGCTTAACTTCAATCCATGGAGTAGATGGTTGCCATGGTCTACTGTACTTCAATCTATCTCATAATAATATCACTAAAATATCCGGACTGGATGATGTTATAAATTTGCTTAATTTGAGGTTTGTATATTGATAAATTGTTTTTATATTTGGTTGTATTTGATGTAACTAGTAATATAGAATCGTCCTTTATTCTTCTTTTCGCAGATGTGGCCAACATGGCCAATAATGACAATTTAATATTGTTTTTTTGTTTGTTATGAGTCTTTTTTATACCTCGGAACAAGACTTTAAACAAGTTGCTGTGACTATGTAAGAAGATATCTTTGAAATACCGGTATCGTTTGGTTTGCCTACCAATGTGTCTAACCAATTTATTACCCCTGGGTGGATGGGCAGGCGATTAAAACCTGATATTTTTAATCCATGAGACCAACAATCAATGTTTTAACTACTACGCCTTTGCACCCACTAACTTAATGTGAAAGAGCTGTCATCACATCATCATTAAAAATTATTAAATAGGTGTGATTGGAAATTTTGTGAAACTGGCCATTTTCGGAGTGAAATCACTGTCATACAACTTGCCTTTATTACTTATCGATTTCAATCGGTAAGTATGTTGATAGGTATTTGTCTGTCTGTTTGTCTCTCTGTCTGTCTGTTAGATGCACGCGATATCTCACAAAAGCGAGATTGAATGTGCTCCAGATTTTGCATGTGCATTCATCATATGGCGTACCAGAAGCCTATTGATTTTGGATAAATTATGTTGTATAATTAGCGAGTTATTAATTAATTAGTGATGGGACACAAGGTGTCACTATGGAGTAAGAGCGCTGTTTTGGGGATCCCCTAATTTTCAATCGATAAGTCTTCGGTCTCTGACCGATATTCTCATTTATTCATTTATTCTGTTTCAAAATTATACTATCAAAATCTAGAACACTAAACTGATCCGATATGGACAGAATGAAGAAAATCCCGACTCTGACTTCGGTAACCAATTCCCAATTTTGACCTAAAGAACTTCAGATTGAAAACTTTGGATTATACAAGACTTCTTATTTGCCTGTTTAGGAATGCTTAGTCAACTTGCTGCAATTTTAGTTTTCATATGAAGATCTAACTCTGATTACCGTTATGAGAAGTTTAAAATTTCTACTTCGCTTCCGGCTTGGGCCTTATGAAAATACTCCAGCTCTCACCATAATATCAATAGAATCTGCTAATGTCCACTGACCTGATTTTGACGACATTTTTTATCCATACTCTCTACACAGGATATGTAACAACCAGTTGATCAATATTTCTGGTCTATGTTGTTGTGAAAATCTCTTATATTTGGATATTTCTGAGAATCATTTAACAAATCTGGATGATTTGGAAGATTGCAAACTATTACTATCTGTAATAGCATCAGGAAATAACTTGGAACGCCTGGGACAACGGTTTTTGGGGAATATGGTATGTTCGATAATTAATTCACAATAAATATTTATGATTGATAAAAAAAATCTTTTTGTAAAGTTTTTAATTCATACATATTTAAATCACCTAGCCTAAGGGTCAAGTTCATTGTATTGAAATGGCTTTTGATACATGAATTATTAAATTGATTTTACCTACATATGGTTTAACAGTAATCAGTGTACACTGTTATCACCAAGACCCATTGAACATATAAACCGCACCGTATAAAACCACCGTATATCCTCGCATATAAGCCGACCCCCCCCAAAAACGGCCCCAAAACTGAATTCATAAAAATTGGCATATAAGCTGACCCTACAAATTGTACGCTCTTATCATGAAAACTTAGCATGGTTCAGGTTGTAGGTGTTGGAATTAAGTTTGCATATTCTCATTTCATTTGAGTATAGGCGTAATTTTTTGTGCGAGGTATGTGCGTAAAGGCCAACTTTTTTAACTTGTTGTATATGAGAGGATATTCTGCAGGCCTAATTAATTTTATATTGATTTTTATGCATAGTGAGGGACAAACAAATATTTGAAAAATAGGCTGAGGGAGGAAATTCAGCCAGACAGTATTTTTTGGTCTTTTTATCATTTTATATCTATCATTTCAGGTTCTTCTATCTAGATTAGACGTCAGTCGAAACAGCTTACAAGATTTGGATTTGACAGAGAACACTTGGCTTCCTTTTTTAACTGATCTTGACGCTTCCATAAATAGAATAGGATCTTCACAAGATTCCGATTTGCAAGCTGATTTCTCTATTGTGATGCCTTTCTTGAGCAATCTCAATTTAAGCAAAAACTTAATATCGAATGCAAAAGAACTCACTTCTCTTATGAAGTGTAAATGCATTAATAAAGTTGACTTGACTGACAATCCGTTATCGTCAGACGATACAGAAAACGATTTTCGTTTTATTCCAGAGATAGTGACAAAAAGTGAATGTACTAAGCAACATTTGCTTGAAAGTACACAATTTTATAAATTACTACAAATGTTTTGTCCATTAGACAATTTTGGAAAAACATTTGCATATATGACTCATCAAAAATCAGAAATTTTGACTCAACATGACTCGGCTAATAATGTTATCGAAATAGTCTCAAAACAACTTGAAGAATTGCAATCTGAAGTGAAAAAATATTCATCTGAAATTCAAAGAACGTTAATTCGTTGGGGAAACAGAGATGAAGGAGATAGTAATGAAAAAACCATTACTCCACCCGGTATATTCACTAACCATGTAGAACATTTGAAAAGTCTTCAAGAAATGTCACTATATTTCAGGTAAGATATGCTTTTAATACAAATACTGTACAAATAAGCTTTTCCAGGGAAATAATCAGGATAACAAGTGTATTGTTACTAGGAATGGGCCGGGATCCGGACTCGGATTCGAGTCGAATCCAGGCATTTTTTGGACTCTGATTCGATTTCCACATCGTTTTTACCGAGTCTATAATCAATTATGTTTTTACTAATTTACGCCTATGTTTGTACTTTTACCCCTAAAAATCTCACTACATACCTTAACTAGTTGAAATTCAAGGTTAGATACGTAACAATATCACTCGTGCGATTATAATCACTCCTAATAAAAACGACGACAGATATCCAGATAATATAACGCAAGTTAAAAACTATTGATAGCTTATAACAATGATGCGCCAGTCGCCTTCAAACTATCTATCCTTTTTAGTATACATGTGGTACACAATAAAATATGTTTTAGCGCAATATTTTTGGGTTTTCGATTCGCGTAAATAAATATGAAACATGCGCAGGATCGACCCAAGGGGGTATCTCATCAATACCTGTTTTAAATCGAGTTTATTACGTGCAATCCTTTCTCTAAAAAGGGAGCAATGGAAAGCATGGAGCATTTTAGAACGTTTACATGAACTACTAAATTGCAAGCATTGTATTGACAACGAGTGGCATCTCTCTATCATTTGCGCACGCGACATAGTAAATTTGAGGCTAGGAATATCTGGAATTATGAAAAAGCATTGTAGTCAAAAGCTTTTTATTTTTCATATTGACATGTAAGAATTTCTAAATAGCCGACCAGATATGACGCAAGGTGGTGGACTGGAAATCCAGTTCACAGCCAAGGCGCACATTGACCCCCGTTTACGTTTGTTTATGGCCGCCAAAAGAAAAGAAAAATATATTTTTAAATTGATTCAAATACTATCTACGGAATCATTAGGGAAAAAATATGAGCTACGACGTATGCTTGTGAGCGCGCGATGCTGTAGTATGGTCAAAAACGTGTTTTTCTACTTTTACATTGTAACGTCACGGACCCGGGGGATTCGATTCGAGTCCTTGACCTATTACTCGGACTCGTCGAATCTCTGTAATGCCGGACTCATCCCATCCCTAATTGTTACTATATTCAGTGCTAGAGTCTTTACAAAATGAATCCAACTACATGTTATATCTTGCAGAGCATGCTTTAAAACAGTTGTTCCCAAACCGCGGCCTGCGGGCCAATTACCTCTCGCGTGACGATTTAATATGGCCCACCGACATTAAGTGAAATTGTTTAACATTTTCTTTTTGTGTTTTAGATACTGCCAATTGTTACATCATTATCACAGTTTAATTATATGCGAAACAATTCAATTATAACGGTATTCCAATTATATGTACCGTATCTGCCCCTTGTGGGCGCTCCTTCCTCCTGGCCCGTGAACGTTCTTCCACTTTTAATTGTGGCCCCCAGTCAATCAACTTTGGGAACCACTGATTTAAAAGGTCTGAAACCTCATACTTCTTTCTGATCCTGCAACCAAAGACATATTTCATAATCAAACTTTATTTAGTTTTTTAATTATTTGAGTTTTAATTTAATTTCAACTATAATGTTTCAACATTCATAATTAAATAACCTTTACAAATTGTTATTAAAACAAATCAAAACTGTTTGGGGCTGTAAGATAGTAAAACAGTTTTAGTACTCCATGTATCTTAACCGAATAACTGGTTAATTATACCCATACCTTACATGCACTGGTATTCAGATGTAAAGCTGCGCCCTGGCCCTCTCTTATCGTCTCTCCTCTTTCCGAGATTTGTATGAAAACATTATCCTGATATGCAATCCTATATTTTTTACAGAAATGTACATGAACATGAAGGATTCAAGTTTGTTCCTATTTCTACGAGTAATACTGAAGATAATGGTTTGCCAATTTCACATACAACTAGTAGAAAAAGCTTAGCAAGCAAAAAATTTGACTCCAAAACAAAGAAAGATTGCATTTTGAAATCGTCTCGAATAATTCAAAATGTTTCAAGTGAATCTATGCAAACAGTATCTAAGCCTGAAGATGTAAATGTGGAAGAGTCGATAAAATTGATCAAACAATCTAATGGACCTGGTGATAAAAAATTGGATTCGAATACCGTAAAATCATCAAATGTGTATGGAAAATTGAAATTACGAACAGATGGTAGTGTTATGGAAAATGTTGCAGCTAAAAAAATTCAGGTTTGATATTATAGTAAATATATAAAGAAGTATTGTAAATATATTTTGAGAATTCCACCACACAGTTTGTTTTGTGATTCAAAGGCTTCTTCACGAAATTGATTCTTTACTGTTTTACATGTCTTGTTACAAATGTTATACAATATAATAAATTATTTTGTGCTATTGATTGGATTTCTGTGGGACCAACTAACTACTCATCCTTCTTCTATGAATTGTATTCTCATTCTACAAGATAACAAGTTTTAATATTGTTATATATTATTTTTTGGGCTCTTATCAGGTCATTGCCACTTTTTTCAGAGAACTTAAAGGATTCTCTTATCACAAACTTATCATTCGTTATTCAGTTATTTATTTTGTTCAGAGTTTCTGGAGAGGATTCCACGTCAGAAAAAGACATTCTAACATCAAGAAAGCAAGAGTAAAAGCAGCAATTAAAATTCAATCTACGTGGAGAGGTTATCAAACTAGAATGAAAATCAAAAAAGCAATGGAGATGTTGGAACAAACTCAAATGGTATGGAACTTTGGAACTTATTTTTTCACACCATAGTGATTTAGAGCCTTTCGTAGGTTTCAACCATAGTTAACTAAATAAAGTTCGCTCATGGCCGGTTCGCTACGCATGAGTGAGGCGTTACTACGTCATCAGTTTGCTATATTTTAAAGCTTTCGGTAAAGGATTTTCTTTCAAATTTATTCGCGTATTTGGAATGGCTTTGTTGGTTGAAATACCAGCAAAGATATACTGAGGCATTAGGATAAAGTAGGGGGTCGTGGCATCTGCCAGTCATCTTAGCGTCGGTACCATAAGGCATCAAAGTGGAGTATTCAGATACTCCCATGTGGGGATGGGCGATATAGAATATCGAATCCGGAAGGTTTGAATCCCTAGGATTCGGTTTCCGCCTCTTCAGCGCTGTGCGTCAATTTTTGTATTCCGGATTTCTAATTTTTTAATCAGTGACGAGCATTTTTCTCTGGCGACAAAATCGCAAAAGCGTTTTTGGCAGACATCAAATACCGTAATCCCAGCTTGAATATTCAAAACGCGAAGATGGCGTTATTGCACCATTTTTGCATTTTACAATTTTACTATGTAGTTCCCTTATAATAAATTATAATAATATTTATTGGTGCCGACTGCCATCTTACAAGCAATTTTCCGATTGCAACAATCTTAATTTTTTGAAATAGTGAAACATTCTTTATTTAAGATTTAAATGACCTTTCGAGTTCTCATGGAAAAGGAGTACCCTACATTAGATGATAAAACATTATTTGCGATTAATTCAGATCAAATTTTACTTTACATGACACCCTTTTCCCAAAAATACGAAGTTATAACGGAAAACAATGCGTTTTGTTATATTTATTTTGAGCTCCCAATAAAATACATATACCTTGGATTTCGAGTCGCCAATGAATCCGTTCCTATTGCCCAAACGCGACACACGCCTGGTATTTCAGTCCTCGATAAATTAAAAAAGTCGCCATATGTGTTATGTATGACGATGATAACTGGAAATTGAAATTTGGTAACAGAAATGAATTTGTTTCAAGTTGTTATTTTAGGAGTTTTGCTCGCAAAAGCAATCGATTTCTGTCAAAGGCACAAGGCATTCAAACAATATATAACGCTATCATATCATTCCGATAACCTACATCCCCATTATACATCGACTACAGTCAGATAGCTGAGTGGTACACGCGCCACAATATCGCGTTGAGAGAACACCATGACGCATCACCCAAGCTTAACGAGAGAACTGTGTAACATAAATAAACACAAAGCCGACAAAAAAGCGTGAGCGAACTATATTCAGTAATCAGTAAACTATGTTTCTACTGTATATGTCTTAACATTTTTATACACTGTGTTGAAAAACATAAATTTATTTTAGAACACTGCAAGACAGGATGATTTTGAAGAAGAAATTGATTTGGATGGTTTTGATTTTGATGAAAAATCATTTGATGAAAAGTGGGCTTATAAAGTTTCTGGATTAGAAGATTTCTATCCTAAACCACAAGAACAAATATCTGAGAATACAGCGATGTACTTTAATAGCCCTTCCAGCCATGAAAAGGTAATGTCATAGTGAAATGTAAATTTGTACTGGAAATATTTTCAATTATTCCTGAAATCCAGAATTACCTATATCGTATAAGACTGATGTAGAATGCATTGGAAAATTTGATTCATTTTGGGTATTCCTAGATATAATAGAGCATTAATTCAAAATAAGGATAGGATTTACATATTTATTCTGGGGGAAGGGAAAGCCTATAAGACGACCTAATCATATGGCGAACCACAGCCTCTCGTCCGGTTACCAGTTCATGTCGGGTATGGAATTAGTTAGCCAGTTTTTTGTTTTTAGATGCATGAACCTAATCGTTAAGGAAGTCGTAACCGACTAGGTGGTGAGGAGTCCGGCAGTCCTCTCGCACATTATCATTCCTGCATGGGATTCGAACCTGCAAATCCAAGCAGGGTAATCTGAGGTGCAGTGGCGAGCATATTTCTAATGCTTAGCACGATGCGCCACATCGACGATTATTATATTATCATCATGCTTTTGTTTAGACTGCTGATCAACCTCCACATTACCAACAAAGGGAAATGACATATTCAAAACCACCTTTACCACCAATATCATCTAGAGGTAATCCAGCATTCTTATAGCAAAATTTAGCATTTAATCAACCTTGCTATTGCCTATTTATAAACCTCCATATTTTAGGAAGCACACCACTCAGCACTCGTCTTCGGCTTGGTTTGGATTCACATGAAGAATCTGTGACAGATTCAAATCGTTCTAAAACGTCTGCTAAACAGGTTGGAACTTGATTTAGTTAAGTAATCCAGAAAGGATAGTGTTATTTCTATAATAGAGTAATATAATAGCGTTCCTCGATTAGGATAAATTGATTTATATATGTACACTGGGTAGGGGATGGCTAATGAATGGACTTGATGGTGAAGGATTGTATGTCCAATCAGAGGTTACACAAAACACTCTACAATAAAAAATTATGATTTCAATACACATAGTACGGAGAGGACGATTAATGCAAGGATATGAAGGTGAAGAATCCTATGGCCAATTCGAATTTTACACAAAACACCCTACAGTGATGAGGAGTACAGCAATTCTCAACATATCATCACCCAATTATTCGAATTTGCGAATAGGTAGTAGAAGGGTGATGGCATGTCTATATGGCAAAGGAAATCGACCGCTTTTTAAGATTATCAATGTAATATGTTGGTAACACTATCACAGGAACTTCTCACAAATCAATGGGGAATAAAATCATCCAGTACTGCGGATTTGATGATGAGAAGAGCAAAAAGGTTAAAAGGAGGAAGGAAGAAAGCACAATCTGCTGAAGAAAAACTTCACAGATTTCAAGAGAAAGCTTCAACTTTTCAAACTTCAGAACAAATCTCTCATAGAAGACAAACCCCACCGAACAAAATAGATTATTTTAAAGGTGATTTTCGATAATATAATAAAATTATGTTCGATTATATTGTGTGGCCATTGGTTAGTTCATTGCTACATCTATATTGTTATTGTAGTTGAGAGAGTTTGAGTTAGAGCTCGGACAGTGTGGTTACTCGATCCAAACTTACTGGCTGTTCAATCGCATGTTGCACATTCATAATTTAGGTTAGTATGAACTTTTTTATGCATCCCATTTCCAACAATCATTTTGCCATTTTATCTATATATGTGTATAAAAAACACACATACCGGTACATACATCCCACACAGAAATTTTAGAATCTTCTCCACCTGGACTCGTTGGTGTGGCGCATCGCGCTAAGCATTTGGAATACGCTCGCCACCTCATCTCTGATTACCCTGCTCAGGTTCACAGGTTTGAACACTGCGGGGGATAATTATGTGTAAGAGGATTGCTAGACTCCTTGCCGCCATAGGGTGGTTTACGTAATCTCTGGTAGGTTGCGACTTCCTCCACCATCAAGTCCATGCATCTGAAAAGAAGTAACTGGCTAACTAATCCCCCATTTGACATGGACTGGTAACATTATGACTCAGCCATCTTATCGGCTTTACTCTTCCCTGGGATAAATATGTAAATTCGATCCTATCCTAAACAAAATTTCATATCAGATGAATAATCTGATTGATAACTTTTTAGCTCGTGAACAAGGATACAGTATGAAAAATCTGAAAGATGCTGAGGAAGAGCAACAAAAACAACAATACACATATGAGTAAGCATTTTTGAATTATATTTTAATACTATTTTATTTGACGAAATTGGCACGGGTTCTGCTTTTGATCTTAATATGGTAGTGACGTCCAATTATTTGAGCCTGTTCAATTGTATCTTTACTCTAGTGATGTTTAGCACTCAAATGAAGATTTTTTCACTTAATTGTGCATACACATAATGCTAAATTTGATAATTATATTATGTAGTTCAGATTCATTTCTACAATGTTGCATTAAATCCCTACAAGGGTTTATGAATTTTAGTCTCTAGTCTCTTTCTAGTTCTAGTTCTAGTCTCTTTCTTAAAATATGAATGTCTGCTGTTTTTCTTACAGATGGTTACATAACCAAGTAGGATCAAACTACAATCCCGACCATAAAATTTCACCACCTCGAAAACTTGGTCAACCACATCCCCCAGAGACAAAAAGAGACTCATTCAGGATTTTTACCTGTCATTCCTAAAAGTCCATCATTAGTGGGAGTACAGGACTTAGAGGTAACTTTATGGTGATTTTCCATCTGGAGCGCTGTTTTCAAGTGTTTTTCTATTGGCCAGGCATGTATAGCCCAGAATAGATTGTTAGTCTCAATAACAGAAGTACTTGTGAACTATGTCATCTCACAGAATAACTCCATACAAGTGACTGCAACAGAATAATCTTGACATGATGGATTTTTCATGAATACATATGCTTAGGACATTTCAACATTGGCTTAGATATTTCTATATCCAAACTCAACTGGTATAGTAATAGGTTGGGCGACTTGGCAACTCTTCCTCAATATTACTATGATATCTCATTTTATATCTATCATATGCTGTATATATGATATAAACACATTTGATTCAGATTCAGTCATTGACCAGCGGAAGTAGCTACGCTAGCAGAAGTAAAGATAGGCTTCTAGATATTGTGAGAAGACACCATCCTTCAGGTCTGTATATTTAATTTACTTGCAGTACCATATCTTTTGTGATGTTCATTTAGTTTTAATAATTTTTCTCTATCTCAGGTCAACAACAAAGCTAACCCGACAGCTTCAGCCGTATTGGTAGCAGCATTACTTTTATAAGAAATGGACATTCGCAATAACCATACACCAGCTGATGCTGATATGCCCGTCCATGCTGAGAATTTTACTATTGAGGGAGAACTAAAGACGCTGCATAAATCTGCTTCTGTTTTGCATGCAAAAGTTGGGCTGTTCACATAATTTTTCTCTCCGTCGATAAATATGAGAATCTATTTGAATTGAATTGTCGTTTTATAACATGTTACTGTGATATTTATTGTTTAATAAACAAATTATAATAACAAACTGTAAGTTGTGTTTATTGCACTTCAATTAAAAATGTATCACCATCAGGATCTACATAACGTTGATGACCCATTGCGTCATATTTTGATTATGGATATAAACAATTGGTGGGGAAGTGCCTTCAATGTCTGTCGGAAATTATTTTACAAAAATTTCTCTTTCTTATGTTTGCCAACTTATGAATTATTCCAAGGTTGCTATGGTGACAAGCACTTCTTATTAGATATAAATGGGTTTACATTGCGTAAATTAGATTAGCCGTGAGCATTGTTGTCTCGGAAATGTTTTGGCAAATCTGCTGAATTTCTGTCATATTTCCTGTATAGTGTCATATTTGTACACTGGTGAAGAGGTTGATTCGGCGAACACATCTATGAAATATCTTTTCTCGCTAACCAATGAAATGTCAGCTAATGAGGTGTCATTCAGGCTTGCAGTGGCACGCATCGTTATACAGTTATAATTGTGAATTCTTTGGCACCCAGAAGATTTCTCAATCATCTGAATTCTTGAGACTTTGAACTGTCGCACTGAACAATTTACGTGTCTTGAATCATCCCACACACCTAAATGAAAGAATAAATGAATCAAAAACTATTCAACATCTGCTGTTTCAATACCCCAGTAAAGTGTGTATGTTACCCAAACATAGAAGATCGCGGCGCCTTCGCTGACGTCACAAACGCTTCTCAAATCAAAACCCGCCAAAGTTCTTGAACACGTGATGCGACTTCTGGTTTCACGTGATGTCGATCGAATCGCATCATGAGATTTTTCAGTGCGTTCTTCCCTCGTTGACTCAGAAGGGTTTTGATTGCCTGCCAACGCTGCAATGAAGAAAGGGTAAAGTGGCCCGTGAATATATATAGCCAATATATAACAAGTAATTCTACGTACACGTAAGTCCTTTCTTCCTTCACTCCTAGTAGCAAGTAAGTGCAGAGCATCACTGTGTGTACCATCCGGGGTGGTTTTCCATAGCTTCGCATTCAGACACCACACTTTGCCGAAGGTCTCTAACAGCTGCCCGAATTCTCTCTAAATAGGAGGATAAGTCATTCCGAAAGAGGGTATAGTTGGATACGTGAACACACTAATAACCCGATTTGTCTAATTCACACCGGTATCGACTGTCTATTTCGAAAGCAAATGATTTTAGGGCACTTAGTCTCATGTCATCCATGCGGATGTGAGCCAGAAAAGCCACTTTGGGGAAAGTTATTATCGTATTGAACATAATTCCAAAATCGCAACTTGTCTAGCAATTGTGTTCTTCATCACGCAAAACGATTGTTCATCACACAAAACGATTGTAGGCTACTTACCCATATCCGCAATTTGCCGTATGCATCTTGATGCGTGATAAATTTCATCTCTCAATTCTGCTTGAAAGCCGTCGAACCTTGCCCACTCAATAGCGTCTTCTAGCTTCGTTACGTCATTGCTGACAACAGCATCACTCAACTCTTTAATGTGTGTAATAAAATAGCTAGGATTGGCATGGGAATAAAAACCATGAATTAAAATTCAACATCAACGTTCTTGCAGAATAACTGAAGTTGAAAGTCAATAGTGACGCTATTTATAAAATAATTTGAAGTTATAGCAAAATTACGAAATGGGAACAAAGATTGCATTTGAAAAGGAGTAGGAAGCAAACTAAAATCCGAGCTTAGTTTTGTACTTTTGCCGAAAAAACGGACCGTGCAGAGCAAGCCTGGAGTCTTGCCAAATAGCAACTTAATAGCAAACGTTATACAAAAAGAAATGTAATGGCATTGCATCACAAAACCTTCTCAAGTCACTCAAATGTATTTTTTGAAAAGGCAATTTATCTAGTATATACCAAGAGTTAGATTACAGTCAAAATTCCTCTTTTGGCGTTACATTCATTCAACACCAGTGTCGCATTTATTTGATGACAGCAACTTATTATCAAATAGACTACAAATGTCTCGCCTGTTTTCCGTTTTTTCAGAAGTTCTTCATTCGTGCATTTTGTTTCAACTACGGCAATTTCGAGTCGTCTTTCGACTGTTTCATCATCATTGACCGTTTGATCATTACTATTCTCAGGGGGCAGTTCTCTGAATTAAAAACGTTAAAATTCAAATTATTTAACAGTTTTATGAGCCTTTAACGTTTTTAAAATAGATTTTTCTATTATACTAAATCACCGTCGCATGATATCTAAAATTGTGTTTAAATAAATAAATAACTGTCCTAATAAATAACCCAATTGAGAACGCTGGCTATTCTTTAATTGAAATATGATTTGTGAAGCTCTAATATATTACTTTCAATGGTCACATGCGTATTGGTTACGCATATGATATAATCACCATATTATTTATAGAATGATTCATCAGGAATACTATACCTGTAGAAATTTTCACTTTCTACGTCTATTGCATTTAACACTTTATCTATTTCACTATAAAAACGACGAATTCGTTTGTCCATTCCTATGCACAAACTCAATCAGTTTGATGATGCATCACCTCGTAAATTTACTCAATCACTGCGATAAATTTCCATCGATTATAAATATATTGCCCGCAATCGGTTCGCTTTAATTACCAATTATACTTCTCCTCGATCAGCTGTACAAAGTCATTTAAACCATTCGTTTCAGAGATCGTTTCGTCGCCAAAGAGGAAAGAGAGTTAGCCACTACGACTTCAGTTATTGAACAACGCCTTTGTCGCTAAAATAACAACATTGTGACACGGCGACACTTCAGATTTACAAGTACATTCAATTCGTGATTCCCAGTTTTAATGGCGTGTGTCCGGTTAAGGGGAAAAGAGCATACCTAACCATTGTTGTACCAAACATGATCAACTGACGCCGAAACCCACAATTCTAACGGTGGAATGTTGACTATTAGCGAACGGAATCGAGAGTACGTACCACGAATACTCAAATGCACTGAAAATTCATGATTTGTCATTGGATATACAAACAGCGAGTTTCAACACAGAATGATAAAATATCATGGAGACCAAAACATCATCTTATTACTTGTTACAGTTTATTGTATAGTTGCTATCTCACCCAAATGCATTGCCAGGAATATAGTTCAAGTTAGAATTGTTCTCAGCAGAACCCTTGTGCTCCAAAATTGAATCATTCGATGATACAAGTTTTAGATCACTGTTTGAAACAAAGGATGTATTTTTGTACTTTTCTTCTGGCATTTCCCTTCCACCATCATCCTGTGTTATTTGAGAACTTTGATTTTTCTTTTTTAGACAGTATTTCACCAACCTGTAAAAGTAATGGTTATGAATATTCATATACTAGACAAGTGTACTGTAAGTAGGGCTGGGCATTTTCGAAACACTGGTGTTTCGAAATCGAAACGAAATTTTGCCTTCGAAACGAAATCGAAACGAAACACACGTTTGTCATAAACAGTAAAATATGATACCATTATTACCAATCGAATTTAATGTATACTGACACCCATTTTCCAGAATTAAATCCACAAAAAGGAAGCACTGGGGTTCTAATTCGAGAGGATAAAACGATAATGATAATTCCAGGCAGGTTTCTGCTTAATGACAAAACGGCCAAATGGCAAAAAAATGGCCAAATGGCACCAGGATAATACGAATACCCTCATTGTTAGAGATGGTGCTCACAAGCGGCATAGCATGGGGCCTCTCAACTTCTCAATGCGGCCCTGCCCTCATCTAATGTAATAAGTGGGCTCATTTTCTACTTTATCCGATGCCACAAATCCTTGTGATCCAGTGTGGTACCAGGGAAAGCCATAACCGAATATCTGACTATTTCAAATACATTCTGGAAAAAGATATTTTTGAATCTTCCGAATTCCGAATAGGAATTGTACTTTATTGATTGAAATTAGTTATTTTTTTACTCTAAGGAAATGGACTTGATAAACATTACAGTATTTATGAATTGTGGTGCATCTTGGCAAGCATAGAAAAAAAGAACAACTAGGTGGAATGTTTTAAATTATACAGTAAAATCAACATCAATTCGGATTTTTGACACTGCTAATTTTCGTTATGATTCTGACTGTTTATCGTCAGCGTGACATCGACATCGTTGAGCTAAATTTGATTTGATTTTAGATTTATTGCGCGGTAACCCAGACTATCTCGACTATGTTGAAATATACGATGATAATTGTAAAATATTTTCAATTAAAAACTTCCTCGACGTGTTATAAGTACTTCAAGTCGGCGGTGACTTAAATGCTTTTATGTCGGCAGTAATTTATTGCGCCTCACAAAGAGTGTTTTCGTATACGATAAAACATAAAATGAAATAACTGTAAAAATTTTCAATCAAAACGTGGACGGCGGCGCTAGGACGTTTGCGCGATATTTAATATTCTTATAAACACTAAAAACGATATTTGAGAGTCACTATATTCGAATAAATACGGATATTTCATTCGAATTGGACATCCCTGAATGATACCTTGACTAATTTCAGGTTGCATATGCTATGACGTCATAATATCCGTTTCGAAGGTCGAAACGCCGCCGTTTCGACATATCAGTGTTTCGAACAGCCCTAACTGTAAGTCGAACTAACTTCACTAACATTTCTATTCAGTATTTTACAAATGAGAATTCGAATCTCACCTGCAATGTATCCATATACACGCTAATTTGAGTAAGAATGATACAGCTAGTGCTGGCATACCGATAGCTAACATAAGCCATATTGCATTTCTCATTCTTTTGAATCATTCAGAAGAATATTCAAATGAATTGATTTTCCATCGCACTATCATGGAGACGTAATAATAATGAATAACCTAATGGCATGCTATATTGGTTTATGATGTTTATTCGGAAATCAGCAACAACAGCGTAAAGAAATTATTCTGATTGTCCCGATTTTGACCTTCTTATTCGATGTGATCATGAAGCGTGATTAATTGACTGATGCGCTAAGGACGACGGCTTCAGTTTGCATTTACAAACACAAAACTATAACACAGATTTATCGAAATCCTGGTTTCATTCCTAATTCAAATACATTCTGGAATATTATTTCAAAAACTACATCTAGGATAATAAATGAGTATTACTTGTCGACACGAAAATGTCTATTGCTTTTTTGAAGATTGTTTGGCTCGATCCCGTGAACGCACATATTTCCTTTTAGGCGTATAATTTAGTTTAGTAAAACCGCAATAAATTTGAAATCGTTTTGTGTACTTATTGCATAGGCTATTACAAATCTGCTATAATAACAAAGATTGATTTATTCTCGCGTGCATACTTAACAGTTTCATTGTGTGTACAATATCAGTCCTCAATATCTATCTACATCGTTCAGTAATAATTCGCAGCTGTAGATGGATTATAAGTAATTGAGTAAATATGTCAATTTCTAGATATTTTATAGCAATTGTGTTGGTATTTATTGTGGGCTTGGCGCTTTTATTTGCGTATTTTCCCAGTCCCTTAAAACTTGTGCAGCAGCAAGACCAACTCCGGGCGAATGTAAATTCCGGTAAGACTTTCAACTACGAGTCTGCAACACAGGACAACCCTACTGTGAGTAGCGGTAATATCCCCGAACCGAATAGCCCATTAAAAGACGCTACAGTGAACGAAAATGTAAAGAGTTTGAAAGCTAAAAACAGAACAACGAATTCCAAAGAAACTTTAGAAGCAGAGTTAGATAAGGGTGACTTTCAAAAGTCAGCGACAACAAAAACTACAAATAACATCAAAAATCCTGAGAACGAAATACATGTAACAAAAGGCAGAGTTGAAAAAAATGAAACGTTGGGTGCACTGAAAGCTACAAATGATACATTTAGAGTCAATATGGCTGAAATGTCGAAATTCGCGAATGGCACTAAAAGTTTGAAGAAAGAAAGAAACGCAACAAGACTAGTGAACAACGTCAAAAAAAACCAAGTCAATTGTACTAGGAGGTAAAAACAATAAAATAGCTAAAAAAATAAGATGGCGGAGAATATATCAGATTTAACAAAACATCATCGTAAGTGGAGATAAACGCGAATTTTGTTGTTAAAATAGCTACCATCAACCTTGTTAAAGGCTTACGATTATGCAGTTGTAACAATCTTTCTCTTTCTAGTAAAAGCGCATATTCAAGCTAAGATGAGACAGCTCCATTTACGACATCCACCATTGAATTCAAATCACTCTCAATATCATGCTGATTTTTTAAATAACCATCGCCATCCATATCACGAACAACATCAAAAGCACGAACTTCGTCATTTCACTCATCATGTGCATCGTCCATCTCGCCACCAGTTCAACCATCACTTCTTTTTGAATCAATTTATTTATGTGCTGAAAGGCGTCCGATTTTGTGTCTTTCAATATGTCAAAAAGAAATGCTCACTGCATGTTTTGTACCAGGTGAGCAAACTTTCCTCTGACTGAGTGAAGAATTGACATGAGCACGCACTATTGGTCGGACTACCATCTATCTTCCATTTTGGGAGCATCATCAAATAAAATTACTCTTAAACTTTCTTAAAAAAAATGAAGAAAATATGTCACTGAGAATTTGGTTGAGAGTTCGATGAAACTTCTTCAATAAAATATGCCAGCAGGTTCTTTACATACAATGAACTATTGTCCATCATATCATATGGACAGCTATGGTAATTGTATTCAGTTATCGACGTCATCCTTGTATTCTAAGCAAAAATCCAAAATAACGAATTAGTTGGTAATGAACGATTCAACGATAACATGCCATTTAACGATAAATATGCCATTCAATTTAGCCATAACGTCAGGTACTTGATAATATGTTGTCGATCAGTCTGCTTTTCATAACTTATTTTCTAATTTTGTTGCAGAGTATGAATTTTGAGCCTGTTACGATATTTATCGCAGACGCCCAGAACCTCATTGTACACGAAAACAAACTACATAGAAGTGGAAGTTATCACAACATACCAAAGACCAGTGGTAACGTAGTTGTTGTTACTCTGTAACACCAATTCATATTATTGTGCATGCCTTTATCTTTATACTACCAACCAAGTAACTTTTCAAGTTCAAACGACTAACCTTCTCTATAATTCGTCCCTATTATTTTAAGTAAGATATATATATGCGTAATCAAACAGCTGTGTTTTCTCTAAAGTCCCGCTATAGCAGGGGTGGGCAAGGTTTTTGAACTATGGTGTCAATAAATTGGCCCATCTAGACTGGCGGGGCATGTGAGTATGACGTAATAGTTACCTTTTATGAACAATATTTACAGTTTTACAAAATCAAAAGTGGAAAACAATACGCCCCAAGCCAACACTAATTTAAATTGCAATCTCGACAAATTCCTTGAGCTATTTTTAGCTAAAACATCAAATTTGGTTCCAGTTTGGTTGTGGCAGCAACAGCCGGGTCAGATTGAGATACTTAATGGGCCGGATTGCCGCGGCCCGTAGTTTGCCCATGTCAGCGCCATAGCGTCGGCCCGTTTATTTTATGGACTTTACAGGTGCAAAGAAATAATGAAGATGATGGGGAACTCCTTACTAAATAGTATAAGGACATGTTATTTGCCACTCCGCGTCGATAAACAAATTAATTTCAATAAAATTTCATAAACGTATTATTGTGCGCAATCTTTCTTGGGCTAAAATTTAGGAGGAAAAGATATTTTGTTTCAGAGGTTGATTATAATTATTCATTTAATTTTGTTTGTAGGCTCGTTTAAAGTATGTATAGAAAACTACAGTTGGGGACCGAAGAAAATATTTTTGTCCATTCGGGTTGAAAATCACTGGAACAGTCTTGTTATGAATATGTCTCATTATCATGGATACACAACTCTGGTAGGTCTAAGATTTCAATACAAATGTATCAAAGTACTTTAATTAGTTTCTGTATTTGTTCAGTTTCATCTTCTAGATGCCAAGTTTTTGCCACTAATGCCAGAAATTGGACGTGGAGCGTCGGCTTCCGAGTTTTTTTTTTTTTATTCGTAGCAATAACTCAACGATTAGGTTAACAATTGAACCATACCCGAATGTTTTTTTTTCACTCAGACAAATTTTGAAGCATGGTCGTAACCAGTTACTCGTATTCATGTTATCATTTTTAAAATTGTATTTCCAAAATTATGTATATTCAAGATAACTCAGTAGTAGTTTTCTTGGTTTGTATATTAGGGATTTCTCTGAAGTCGGGGTCCGGGAAACTAGTCATTGCCGATGGATTATAGTAATTTGGTGGCTTTTGTTTTCTACTACTTCTAACAAAGTCAGTTTCCTAATCAATAGTATTTGACAATTTTTCTCATCTCTCGCAGGGGCGAATAAGGAATTTGGAGTTAGAAGTTCGTACTATGGTCACGCAGTTGAGTCAGAAAAGAGCAGCTGCTGCAACTGACCTTATTCTTTCAGAGGACAAAATAGAATTCAGTATATGGATGACATGGGTGGTGTTGATTGTGTCGTTGATGACATATATCTTGGAAGTTATAGAAATTCATCGAATATTCAGAATCGCTGAGGCAACAAGAACTTTCTCTATGGATCAAATTGGGAGAAGAAGATTGTTGACCAGTAAATAATGTGTATATACTATGATTTTGCAACTTATATCGAGCTTTTATAGTCCATTCTGATTCTAAGTTTTGTACACATTCAGAGTCCCGGTGATGTATTCTCATATCGTTGTCAAACGATAGCTAGATTGTGCTATATACTTTGACTTATACCAGCTTATTTAAAAATGAACACCAGTCGCTTTGTGATGTAAGTTTATCATTGCGACTTGTCGTCAATATCATTGGTTTATACATAATGGCATTTACATAATGAGAATTCAATAGAATTGTTTGCATTCAAAGGAAGTCTTCATATGTACCCTGATATAGAGGCTTATGGGGAAATGTACGTGTTGTTGGAAAGGCCTATTTACTCTTGGAACGCTGAGTTTAGTTAAATACCGGTATATATATATTGCAAGGTAAACCGATACTGATTACTGTATAACTAACTTTGCACACGAACACTGTACTTGGAACATCCGAGCCTTCATACTTTTGTACTCACATACAAATGCACCAATCGACGTTTACAGTTATGGACATTCTCACTTAAAGATATTTGCAAAAATTTTGTCATTAGCAAAAAACGCTTTGTATAGTACCAGTTCTATGTGTTTCTATGTGTGTTTTAAGGTGCAATCTTAATCCGCTCTATTGCGGATTGTTTTTCATACGGTCAAATTCTAAATACAATTGACGAAATTTAAACTCTAATTTACTTCACATTCAAAGTGTTTGTTTTGAATCATTAACACCCGTCGAACTCAGATCGCCGGTACTTTTGAAGGTTTTCATGTGAAGGCTTGGCATTCTGGCCGATTTTGTTCTGATGGTCGCCAGCCGTTGTAGGAGTGATCTGGGCGGACTTTTACTGCGAAAGGTCTCCGAAGGAAAGATAGGGAGATGAACGTCCACTGGGTCATTAGGGTTGAGCAGAAATTGTTTCCAAAATCTTGGATCATTGTTACATAAGTCTGCATCTGATTTTTTCACGCGACCAAGAATACCTGTAAAGAAATAGGACGTGTTACAAGCATTATACATGTGAATAATAAAATCACAAACAATTTCCCCTCGGATTTCTTCAGTTTGGTGGACGCTATATACTAATGCTTAAAGACTTAGAACTATATGCTATTTTTGATATATCGGGTTCAAAAAATATGCCCACAACTATAACTCAAGTTGTAATATTTCGACGGAGAATTCCAAACTGGAAAGATTCCAGATTTTCTAAAAAATAGCAGCGACGTATGTATAAGTGGGTGCTTGTATAGAGCCTTGTTCAAATTAGACTTCTTTTAAACTAGTTTTGTAATTGTTCATATGCAGAGTTCAAAGTTCATTACATGAAACGTCGGAATTATATGCCTCTCAACCCTTTGATTTTCTACTTACATCCCTCAGTTGAAACGTCGGAATTATATGCCTCTCAACCCTTTGATTTTCTACTTACATCCCTGAGTTGAAACGTTGATATAACCAATTCGTTTCTTTCCGTGAGAAGTTTGTGCTTCAACTGTAAATGTAATCATTTTCTCCATCAGCATGTCAGCATTAAATCCACGGATGATAAATATGTGGCCCCACCTAGGATGAGAATTGGAGGACTGTGTCGAATATTAAGATTTTCTGGGACCTGGGTTCAATAAAAACTGCAAAACATGTGTAGCTTTAAACTGGAGAAAGAGCAGAAATCTAGGTACTCCCGTAGTATGTGAACCAAGATGGCGGACACCGGAACGTAGTATGTGTACCAGGTTACGGTTAGGCCATAATTTCAGGTACAAATACTACGGGAGTCACATGGCTGGTCACCGAATTTGTATTAGAACTAAATTAGAGAAAATTGGAATCAAATTATGGCCTAACCCTAACTTGGTACACATACTATGTTCAGGTGTCCGCCATCTTGGTGCACAAAGTACAGGGAAATATACTACGCCGAAATATATGGATTATTATATACGAATTTCACATGTAATATTCGCCAAAATCCGTAAGTATAAATATTTATCTTTTGAAATGAAAATGGAACTTTATTAAACAACAGTTTCTTGACCTCCATTTTTATTACCTCCCGAATGTCACATAGAATTTGTGTACCGTGTCACGTTGTTATAATTGGGCTTTGTATAAGGTGTGGACATTCCGGATCCATACAGCTCACTATCCGGTTGCACCGCACAGACAACTCTCGATTTGAGTTTTCTGTCATGGCTGTGAATCCATTTGTGTAAATTTGTTGCTCCGACTACCATTATTCTAAGCTCAACTCTGCATTTTTTGTTTTTCTTTTTTTCATCATTTTGTACAAGGAGCGATGGAAATGCTTTTAGGTCGTTTTGATCTTTGTACTCAAATTTTGATATATTGTCTTCAGAGTCTCCGCTAAAACAGTTGAATTAAATTAAATTATATATTGATAAATAAAATAAAAACACGTTATTACTGTATTATTTATATATTTATAAACTTACAACAAACTTATGAGGGAGCCGTGGTCGTCGTGGCGTTTCTTCTTTTTGAATTCAAAGTACTGAACGCGAAGATGAAGAAGCGGAGGCTAAAAATATGAACCTCAAAATATAATTGCTCATCGATCATACTGTAAAACGGATGTTACAAAATCACCGGAAGATACAATATGAACACAGGCGATTGAAGCGATTTTCAAAACAAATTATACGAGTGCACAAAATCTTTGTTCCAAAAAACTAAACGTAGTTTCTGCATAGGATATTTTCTGATGAAATTTGCTCAAGTATAATACTATACTGACTACAATACTAATTCAATGAAATAAATGTCTTGAAATTTATAATTTAAATATAGGAGATAAGTTCACAGACCAGTTCCAAGTGACGTCAAGCCTTGTGCCAAATTGATTCAAGCAAGGGCGGATCCGTATGTGTGCAATCGTTGTTGGACATATTTAGCATGTCAAGCCAAAAGCAAATTGGCACTGTGTTCATGGCCGAAGATTTTGACACCTTATTTGATTCAAATTAAACCCAGTTCAGATCAAAGCATTTTACATGGAAGAATTCCTCTGAAAATTCTTAGAAATAAATATTCCTATGCCCCCAAGTTCTAATAGGAATTAGAATTGCTTACCATATTTTTTCTCCTCGCCAATTCTGCCTGTTTCCTTACAGATATACTTCCCAGTCTTGCTTCAATTGAATCTACCAACCGATTAGGCCTGTAAATACCAAATGACTCTTCTTGGCGAATAAGATGCTCGTTTCGTCTTTGTGCATACTTTTGAGGGTTTTCTAGTTTAAACCGCTCACTCATTTCAAGTAACGTTTCTTTCCGTTCTTCCGAATATAATATAATCTCCTTTTCTTCGCCAGAGCGTAAGTTAGATTCAGCTTTCTCCGGTTTTTCCATATTCGTTACAACATTTTTCCATTTGTCAAGAGCGTACAAGCAATTGTCGAACCTGCGATATTCAAATGTTACTTTTTTCAAAATGTTTGTGGACACATATGAAATTGTGAATACTCAGGTTCAAAATAGCACAAGGCTAAAAGTTTATGCGATCTACAATATAGGATTCTAGGAAAAAGTTACAGAAATCTCACCCTTGAGTTTCGTTTGCATCCATGCTGAGGCGAACATGAATTCTTGATGGACCACGAAAAAGCGGCTTCACACGAGCGACTGTTTTATTTTTTTCGCCGTTTTTAAAACCTGTTTAGAGGATGATACAACATATATACCCATGACAAAACTTTGTTTCCGTCGATTTGTAACACATGCTCACAAAAATGTTGTTTCGCTCGTCTTGAATTTGTGGTTCGCTCATACGTAAAGATTTCTTTCCAAGACATTTGCACATATATAAAATATAATATATCGTTTACCAGTTAACGTATAAATGCATATCTGCAGCTGTATGTCTTTGCAATAATTTGCTCTATAGGTCAAGATGCACATTCGGAATTGGGCTGCAAGAAGTCGTTGTGCTATAAGTAAACATAATGCAAAATACATTAGGCCTACTGTAAATAGAAATAATATGATAATAATATAATATGTAAAGCATAAATATATATATACATATAAAATATACGAGATATAGAAAGAAATTAATAATCACCGCTAATTGTGATCACTAGCTATACAAATTGAAAGCGAACGAAGTAAATGTTTCTGTTAGTAACAGTTTTTTGACAAAAATATGGGATTGGCGTAACTATGTCGAATTATATTTCGTATTGTTATTTGAGATAATAATTCAATCCCTTTTTTGTCAAATCCTACTTTCATAGCTGGCCAATATGAATAAATTGGGTTCAATTCGGTACTCACTAATCTTCATTATTCATCTCCAAATTGGGTGTTATCGATCCTGAAGCAAATCGAAGATAGACACGAGAGCAGAATAGCCCACACTGAGAGAACATTTTTCCAGAGCAGCCTTATGCGGAAGAAATTTCTGTTAATGTATAGATTTTTGAGAGAACGATTGACATGAGGCTACCAGAGGTGGGCAAGGTCTTTTAACCAGGGGCCGAAAATTTTGCCCGCATAGTCTGGCGGGCCATGTAAGTGTGACGTAAAAAGTTACATTTTATGAATAATATTTACAGTGTTACATAGCAAAGGTGGAAAACAATACGCCTCGTGTGAAAACTGGATTTGACCGCGTTCTCAACAAATTTCTTGGGCTATTTTTAGCTAAAATATCAAAATTTGGTTTCAGTTTGGTTGTGGCTGCATCAGGCGGGCCAGATTGAATTACCCAATGGGCCGGAGTTGGTCCGCGGGCCGTACTTTGCCCATGGTTGACGAAAAAATAAAAATAAATCTCTCTCTGTCTGGGCTACAAATAATTGAGGTTTTTGTATACTTCAAAGCTCTAAACAGGTGAGCCATATAAGACGCCCCATCCAATGAGGTAGCTCAGACAATAAAAGTTTATTACCAGACCATATAAATATATATAGAAGATTGCAATGGTAAAATATATGACGAATTTAACTTTTAATACTAGTATAGTTTTGCAGTGGCGGCGCGTGGTCATTTTGACAACCGGGGCAAGCTACTGCGAAGACCAAGTCACCCCCATCTACGGGGACAGGACGAGCGCTGTAAGTTCTCCCATCATTTAATGAGTATAAACACCATTCCATCGGTAACAACCAATCGGCAAAAGCGACAATTTTTAACGATAAGAAAGTGTCTTTAAAACCGGTCCAAGTCAAGGGATTAATAAATATAGACATAGTTTATTTTAAAACCTCCTTCAAAAGGAAAGGCAATATTTACCCAGATAAATAGAATGACATATTAACAGAAACTTCGGGAATGCAGACAAAACCTAAAATAAGGTTTAAAACGTTACTATGAAGAAAGGAAAGTAATGCAAAGATAAGGACATGCGTCGCTCACTCATAGATATATATGCTGCTAGACTTCTACTGCTTGAACATATATGCAACACGCCGCGGTTTCTTGGAAGCAAAATGCTCAATAACGCGCTGATTAAAGTCATGCATCCCAGAAATAACGTCTCTGTGAATGGATAAAACAGCCAAGGAATTTAATCTCATTGTGTTTCTGAGATACGTTTTAATACGCTTCAGCGTGCTGAATGTTCGCTCTGCGTCGGCGGAAGAAATAGGCGTCGTCAAAATGATGTCCAGAAATTTTGCAGACGCCGCAAAGGTAGTTACTAGAGTGTTATCTATGAGGAACCCATAGAGCGCGCAAGTTGATGTGATGTTCAAAAAAGTTTGATTGGTGTATATACATCGCAATTCATTTTCCAATTTACCCACGTTTATCATGGGGTAAAATTTGGAGACAGTAGCCAACAAATGGATGGGAAATTGACGTGCAAATTTTGAAAAATTTTTGGGGTTCATCAAAGAGAACGCGGCAAGGTGTTCAGTGCGCAGACGATCGCCTATTTGATTCACCAGAATGTCACAGCATTCCTTTGCAGACAAAATCAAACGCTGCGTTGTTTGCCCGCGGCGTAAAGAAGCACTCCATGTGTCGTCGTATTTTATTGTTTCCCGGATACGAGATACAGCATCGCAGAAGTCTGAAATACACGACTGCACAGACGCTCCATCCATTAGCCTTGACTGCAATGCGCCGTATAATACATCCACGTGATAGAATATTGTGGAGAAAAAGCGAGAAAAAATGAAAACTCACCATCTTCTAGCAGACGCTTTAGACCTGCCGCCTCCCTCACAGAGCGTTCGTCCCAAACCGGAGAGCTCTGAATGCCATTGAAACACTCAATGAGCTCAGACCTAATTTCGGACACGCCCTGCACCACGCGTGATTGGAAGTTCCAACGTGTTGGTGCACAAGCTGGGAGACGGCGGCTACATATCTGGCGAAGGAGGTCAGAGCGCTTCGGCGAAACGGAAAAAAATGAAGAAAACCCCGAAACATTTGCAAAAAATATACGGACGAGAGGGGTATCAAGACACATATTTTTAATAACGAGGTTAAATTGGTGTGCATAACAATGTAAAAAATGCGCATGAGGAAAATCTTCTTTTATATAAACTTGAACACCATGTTTCGACCCACTCATGACTGCCGCGCCGTCATAAGTTTGAGCTATCAATTTTGACTTCGCGTTGTAAGGCTGTAACACTTCTTTCAGTACAGCCGATATCCCGCAAGCCGTGCGATCAACGATTGGTACAAAGCTGTGAAATCTCTCGGTAGGTTTACCATCTTTCACAAACCGAAAAATCACAGCCAGTTGGGAAACGCACGTGATGTCAGTTGTCTCGTCAGACTGAATCGAAAGGAACTGGCAATTCTCAATTTCCAGAGCCAAATGTTGTAAATAAATTTTATACATTGAGTCGAGCAAATCATTTTGGATATCCTTAGATGTCCCTTTCGAAACAGTTGCGGCATCAAGATGATCTCTCAATACTGTATCTAGGGATGCGGTGTATTCCACCATATCCAAAAATACCCCTCTATTAGAAGAGCCAGCCCGTTCATCGTGCCCACGGAGGGACAGCTCGTGACAACCAATGAACTTCAAAACATCTATCAATCGACCGAGAACATGGCGGTTTTTCTCGACGTTTTGGTTGTGCCGACGAATAGAAACCGCGCGTCCTTCATCCAACTGTGCTGCAATATTAACATTTCCGAATGTTCGGTATTTTACTGCATTGTCCAGATGCTCCATAGAAGATTGATGATCCCTGGCACGCTCGGAAAGATGTTTAAGATCTCTAAAACCAAATTTACACCAACGTGAGTCACGGGCGGTAGCAAAAAGTAGGCAATAAAAACAAAAAAGTGCATTTTTGTCCTCGCTGTAACACAACCATTCGTGTTTTTTATACCAAGTTTCTGCGCAGAATGTACGCCGACGCTTTCCTCCGTCATGGGATTGTTCCAGTGAACAATTTTTTGGTTGATAAGGCCCAAGACGTTGTACCTCTAATTTTTGTTCCAGCGGCAGCTGCGAAAACGGAGTGCGAAGTAGTGCATCAACCTTATTCATTATGAGGTCTAAGGCTAAGAAATGCGAAGCCGGAAAGAAGTGAGGAGCTCAAAAGGAATGTGGAAAATCGAAAGCAAATGGACTAAAGGTCTCTAACTGATTCAAATAGCGAAACAAGCGACAAAAACGAAGGCGAGGAAACTATCAACTCTTCAAGCAACCAACGAACGAGAAGGAATGCGTGAATATGTCAACACGTTGTTGTAAGAAACGTCGGCATTGTGTCGTCATAATTTCGGGGCTAGCCCCCGATCGGCCCCGATGATTTAGTAAAAGAAACAGAAAACAAACGAGACAAACGCGGGGAGTGGAAGATAAAAGAGAGAATACGATATACAATGAGCAACCGGGGCAAAATCGACGTCGCCCCGTCGACGTTCGGCGAAGGCTTTGCGAGCGAAAAATGAACCATGTCGGGAGAATATGGCTAGTGTAGACAGTTTGTGCAACCGATATTGAGGTATTTTTCGAATATTTTTTATTATACCGAAAAAAACCTATGGCCCTATTGACGCGCCGCACGTGTCTCGCGAGAATGGACATTTCGAAGATTGTAACTTTCTGGAAGTGAACCTTTGTGAGCATAGAAGATTACAAAATATAATTAAGTTTGCAGATGATAGTTTAATCTTTGGTTAACTTAAGTACTAAAGCCTGCTACCTTCGATTATATCAACAAACGGAATATACCTTTCTAATCATAATACTACATTGGATTCTGCTGAAATAATTACCTGTTCAACTCGAAACTCCACGGAAAATCAATATGAATACCGAAGTTCATAACCAGATTCTGGCTGCTGTTACATCCCTCCAGGCCAACCAAAAAGCGCTCATGCAACGCTCAGATGAACTGTCTGCCACTGAAGACCATGGCAGCAAGTCTGAAGCTGTTAAGAAGTTCCAGCATGATGTGGCTCAAATCTCTCTTAAGATCGAGGAGATTATAAAAAGACTGGAGTTATGTGAAAAACAGCAAGATGATCAGGAACAGTACAGCCGGAGGAACTGTGTTGTTCTTCATGGCTGCAAATCTGTTCCAGAATCTGAGTACTACAAGTTTGAAGACTTTGTTGTTAACACCCTGAACAATAACTTCAATCTTGACCAGCCTATTGTTAACACGGATATTGATATAACCCATAAATTGCGATCCAAGTCCCGAAGAACCCCATCATTATTAAATTTGTCCGAAGATCGACAAAAAATTTAATATATGGTAGGAAGAAAGATCTAAAAGGCAGCGGTTTGTCCATCACGGAGTCCTTGACCCGGAATAGGCTCAAGCTCCTCGCCGCTGCCAAGGAAGCATTCGGGAAGCATAAGGTGTCGACAATGAATGGGACTATATACGCTTACTTGGACAGAAGGCGAGTTATATCTTGTTTAAATGATATCACTACTCTCTCTCGTCCCCTGTACTCCAGGGCTGCTGCTCGCCCAATGGGACCTAGCAAATAGGCACACTGTT